GAGAGAGAGAGAGAAGAGAGAGTGCAAGAGGGGATAAACTAACTACCAGACAGAAAGGAAAAAGAAAGCAGCGCTTCAGATAGTTATAGTTGTTGACACTTATCTTTTCTATCCTCCTATCTTTCTTCTTCCTCTCCTGCCTGCTTGCTGCAACTGAAACGCCTCAGGGAAGCCAACACTCATGCAATTCTTCCACAAAAACAAATCGCAGCCGACACTCTTGAATTCCGTGGAGTCGGCTCCGCACAGCAACAGCGACCACAGCATCAGCAGTCAGAACCATCACTCTCATCACAGCCGAGAAGGCAGCCAGCAGCAACTGCAACAACAGCTCTACCAGCAGCAGCAGCAGCAGACTTTCCAGCCAGCCGCCGGATCCCACGAGCTGCCCAGTGGCACGTATCAACTTGGCCAGCACAGCAACGCTGCCAGTTATACCCATCCTGCTCATGCGGGAAGTCGTTCTGAGAACTTCTCTCTCCCGCTCCAGGTTTCGTCCAATCCTGCAGCGGTTCCCTATTCTTCACAACCACTACCGCCGCCGCCACCACCAGCAGGCAGGCCGACCTTGAACCTCGTCCCGTCAGCGGGACATCAGCCTGATCACAGCATCGACACTCTCTCTGCCGCACCATCGCTCCCTTCCGCTCCTCACAGCACTGAAGCTTCCCCGCTCACCGAGACGCAGCCGCGCAAATCCCGCCGAAGCTTCTTTAGTCTACACTCAAAGGATAAGGATAAGGATAAGAGCTCGTCCCAAAACCCCGCCAAGCCTGGTCGAAACGTCTCTGTGAGGAAGAAAATTAGTAACCCGATCCCTCACCCGAAGCCGTACCAAGTCGGCCCGCTCCCGCTTTCCGACCCTGCCCCTGATCCAGAGGAGATCGATATCACGGAGAAGAAGCTCCCACAGCTCCCTAATAACTCGTCTCAACCCAGCCTGCCTCAATCGATCTACCCCGCTAGAGGTGCCAGTCGGTCATCGTCTCACCTTGATATCCAGCCCTTTGAGCCTCCGCAGATCCAGCGTGTCAGCACTGAACCTCTTGGTCAGCAGGACGAATACTACAAGGGTCGGCCACAACAATACAACCAGTATCAGGTAACCCGACCTGCTTCCCAACACCAGCAACAGCTACAGCCACAGCAGAACCCCCAATTCCAAATAGACCAGCCTCAGGCGCAGCCAGCCGCAACATCAATAGCTGGACATCGGCCAAACCAGTCTTCAGACCAGGTATCAATCCCCCCAAGATACTCACCAAAACCAGACCCATACCATCCCCCGAGGCCACCATCCCAACAGTCTCTTGGGCCTCCATCCCCTCTTCATCCCTACTACCAACCGCCGGATTCTAACTATCAAAAACCTCAATTCCGACAGTCCCTCCAACCTGTTGCTGGCCCTATACCTTCACAGAGCGGAATGGCCTTGGAACGACCTACAGGTCTCAGGCAGCCCATTGACACATCCCAGCAGCCGCCGCAGCCGTCACAGCCGCAGCAGCAGCAGGCTTCGGGACAACAACAGCAGTTTCCTCCAAGCATGCCTCAAGGGCAAAGTTTCAAGGGAAGTTCTTCACAGCCAACACCTGCCGGTGATCGTGAACAAGAGACTCCTCCACCTGGAAAGGCAAAGGACGATACGTCAGAGCTTGATGTAAATGGCTGGATCCAGAAATATGAGGAACTACGTATGTATACTTTTTAATCGTATGTCTTCGACTACAACTAAGGTTGTTAACTAATTCATATTTAGAGCTTAAATATAATCGAGTGAAAAGGTACTACTTCGACAAGGAAGCTCAAGTGCAGCAACTACAAAACACAGTTGCCCACCAGCGCATGTCTGCTTCTAGGACTGTGTTGGATGATAACGAATATGCCACTCGCTTGGGCCGTCTGGATGGTGCTATTAACAATCTTTCCTTCAACATCCGTAAGGACTGGAAGAATATACCGCCGTGGCTTCAAGGTGTTGTTAACGAAGATGCCCATACAGTGGGAACAAAGGAGATGACAGCCGTTGGCCGAGCCTGTCTCACACGCTGGATCGTAGACGAATTATTCGACCGTTATTTCCACCCGGGCCTGGAGCCTAATCTCAGCCGTCAGTTGAAACAGATTGAGCGAAACGTTCGGCGGATGGGCAAGTTTGTCACCGAGGAAGAACAGGAGAATCATCTGTCCAAGGTATCTTCCTGGCGCCGCACCACTCTTGATGGACTCGGCGATATTTTCCAGAGCAAACTTGCCGACGACCATCGGGCCGTTTTGACTCGTAATCTTGTGGAGAAGCTCACGGCTAGCCTAGAGATGAACCTGAAAACTCCTCCTCCGCCTGGGCTGGAGAATGGTGTGGCAATGATTGTTGAGCTTGCCGTCGGTATCAGCGCAAATATACCCCTGGAATCAAGAGATATCTCTATTGAATATTTCCTTCCTGGTGCTACAATCACGGAATCTCACATGAAAATCGAGACCACCCTACCACCTCTTTCCAATCCGGGCATAGAGCCACGACTGGGCTCAGAACCTTCCTCCGCAGCAACTGACAGGGTAGACCAGTCATCTATCAAGGGCATTGAGGCAGCAATCTCCTCCTCTGAGGTGGCAAGTGGAGATGACAAAGACTCAAACTTCCCCATCCAGCCTCAACCAGCCAGCCAGGGCCGCAAGAAATCAGTCTTTGGCTCGTTGATAAGCAAAAAACCACATTCAGGGCCTGGGAACTCCGTAGACCCTATGCGGCCGCCATCTGGCCATTTCCGAGAACGTGAAGAAGCTGTCGAAGCTTCTCGCGAGAAGGAGAATGAAAACCGCATCCGTTTCGCTGCTTTTGCCGCCGTCGAGGTCCGAGGCAAGGGAACCGGCAATGTCATTGTCAAAGCTCCTGTTTACCCATTCTCATGAATCATGACTCTCCTCGTTTCCAAAGGGCCGCCTACCCATTGCCATTCTCTAGTTCTGCCCTTTCAAACACGTCTCCGTATACCACTTTTACGTTGCCTGATGCTTTATATTTGATTGATCACACTCCAAAAAAAGATATGATTTGTTTCTCATCGTTTCATTTCTCCCTTTGACGTGGATATGGTTTTCTAACGCAGGCAGGATATGTATATACATCCATGCTCTTCTCTCTTCTTGATCTTTGGAAGCGGATACCTTCTCCTTTCACAGCGGACTTGGGGGTATTTTTTTGGACTGCCCTTTCCCTATCCTTTACGTCGTTGTTCTTTTCTACTCGGGCCCCGTGTTAGACTGTCTCAATACCGCGATAGACTCGATGGGTCTAACACTGTTCTAGCACGGTATATATTTATATTATCATAGATAGCTATATACGTGACTTCACTCCTTTCTCCTACCTTACCGTCGAAATATCGTACGCACTTTCGGCGAGACTGAGGATAACTTCATTCACAAGTAAGTTAAACCGTATATCTCTGTAAATACCAGATACTACAGGGCTGTTCTACGGACGATGTCAAACGTCTCTCCGTCAATGCCTCTTTCAACAGCGTAATAACTTTTGGGACGTTCTTTCTCCCATCAACATCGACGTCTTCCTCGCTCGCTTCTTCGCCTCGAAAATTCTGACCAATCAAAAACTACTTATCATGTGACACTTACATAATCACCAAGCGAACGGCTTTCCCACTCAAAATCCGAAAACGGACTAGCGTATTATTGAATCCCACACAAAAAAAAGACATCACGAGAGACTTCGACTTTCTCCTTTGCGACTTCGACGCAGCGACATTTCTGTTCCATCTCAACCCAAACCGCCAGACGGCTGATTCGATATTTTACATATCGCCCAGCATGTGTACGTTGACACCCTCCTCACCCTTCCTATCTATCCCTCGCTGTTTTCACGCGGGCCTGCAGCAGCCTTGTCCCGGAGCAGGCGGGCAGACGACTTGGAAGGAAATCGATATGATGAATGATGATGATGATGGTAGCGATGAATGCTGACGGAACGGTGATGATGGTGATATAGCGCTCGTATCCGGCGAAAAGTCGAACTTCCAGTTCATCCTCCGTCTCCTCAACACCAATGTTGACGGAAAGCAAAAGATCATGTATGCCTTGACCAAGATCAAGGGTGTTGGTCGCAGATACTCCAACTTGGTCTGCAAGAAGGCCGACGTCGACCTCCACAAGCGGTACGGATTCTCCCCCCTGAAACCCTCTCCAAAGTGTGGTTAAAATGAGATATATATATACTTATACGTTATGTTGCAGTGCTGGTGAAATCTCCTCCGAAGAGCTCGAGCGAATTGTCACCATCATCCAAAACCCAACCCAGTACAAGATCCCCACCTGGTTCCTCAACAGACAGCGTGACATTACCGATGGCAAGGACAGCCAGGTCCTTGCTAACCAGATGGACAGCAAGCTCCGTGAAGATTTGGAGCGACTGAAGAAGATCCGTGCCCACAGAGGTCTTCGTCACTACTGGGGTCTCCGTGTCAGAGGACAGCACACCAAGACCACCGGCCGACGAGGACGAACCGTCGGTGTCAGCAAGAAGAAGGGTTAAACGTAACGTCTTGGGCTTCCTTTATGTCGGCGGGCGTACTGCATGGTCGGGAGGTCAGGAGGAGGGGAGGAGGATGCCATATATGCATTTTGTCTTTCTTCTTCTCGCCAATTCTTTTTTGAGTACGTGCGCGCCGAGTGGGTGGTGTGAGTGATGAGATGAGAAATGTAACGATAATTCATTCTCGCTCGTGAACAGCGGAACTAGTTTTTCTGCTTTTGAAGGAAACGGTCGCTTCTTCAAACTAACTCCTCACCTTGGGCCATTTCCTCCCCCCTTACTGCCCATGGCTGGCGTTAGTCTGATGTATGAAACTAAAAAATATGAGCGATAATTATATAGGATTATCCCGTTTCTTAAAAACACTTTCTCACTCTTATGACGAGTTTCGCATTACATCTACGATTGTGGAGAACCATGGTTATATATTGTCTAATAAAGACGCTGGCATTCTGTAGAGCTCTATTGTCGGCTATACAAAAGCATTGGAAGTGTTAAAACAGTTCCGAACAAAATAACAAGCCGAACATACGATACTGTAAACAACAGTACGAAAACAAGTACAAGACATTCAAATTATGGCAAATCCGTCAACTCCGGTGGTTAAGTACGGCTGCACGTCCAAATACAGCGGACCGTCTAATGCCATTCACCTCTAAGCCAGCGGTTGAAGAATTCCAAACTGGCCTCTGGCTGGTTGAGTGGGACCATGTGGCCAGCACCAAAGATACGCATGAAGGTGAAGTTGCCGCTGGACTTGACCTGGCCGATCTTCTTGCCCTTGTTCTTGTTATCGACGATCTTGAGGTCCTGGAGCTTAGCTTCGGTAAACTTCTTGTGGCCGGGCCATTCAAGAGCCTCGGTCCAGGCCTGGTTACCGAGCCAGTTGCAGATGAAGTCAGCATCACCGGCGTAGATGAGGACGGGAATCTTCTCGAGCACGCTGGGGACGAGGCGGTGGAATGGCTTCATCCAGTCACCGTGGAAGAGGAAGTCACGGTTAATGCCAGAGTTGCAGCTCTCGTAAGACTCAACTTCAACGCCGAGGGCCTTCATGACAGACTTTTGGTTGAGCCATTCAGTGATGGCGTTTAGCTGGGGGTAGCAGAGAGAACCCATATCCTCACACTTGGAGCGGACGTCATAGGGGTTCATGCCGGTCTGCTGGTAAGGAGCGAGGATGGCGCTGTTGCAGTACATGGCAGCGGGAACACAGACCCAAGCGGACTCGGAGCTGTAGCAGGTCTCGATCAGGGAAAGACAACGCTCGAGTGAGTTGTCCATGGAACGGCAAGTACCCTGGTCCAAGACGGCAGGGTAACCACCATCACCGCAGGCCATAGGTCGGTAATGAGGGTACTGGGTCAAGGGGTCAGTTAGTCCGTTGCCGATGAGGGCGGACTTGAGGTTGATGTTGGTGTTCTTGTGGGACAGAATCTCGGCAGCAAAGACTGGGATGTAGTGTCCAGCATAGGATTCACCGGAGATGTGGAAGTCCTGGGTGGCATATTCAGGGAACTGCTTGAAGAACAGAGTCAAGAGGGCATAGACGTCCTTTCCGGCAGCAACGGTGTCGGAAACGGAAGAGCCACTGTAAGAGAAGCCAACGTTGACTGGCTGGTCGAGGAAGATGACGGAGGCATTCGAGTTCCAAGAGTAAGGGTTGTGGACAACCTTGAGGTTCTTGTCGATGGTAGCAGGGCCAAGCTCGAGGAACAAACCAGTCAGGGAAGAGCAGCCAGGGCCGCCGTTCAGCCAGAGGACGACTGGGTCGTTCTTGGGGTCGTTTCGAGACTCAAAGAACCCTTAGGTTTAACAGTGTCGTCAGCAGAGTTTCACCTTGGATGACCGACAAGCACGGGGTGGTTGGGGGAGAGCAGGAGGTACTCACAGTAGAACAGATGCTTATCAGCATCGTTGTCATCGAGGTAGCCGCTGTACTGCTTGACACCAGGGTCGATACCGAGCTGAGAAGGGTCGACAGACTTGACTCTGAGGTCGTAGTTCTTGAGCTTGCCGTCAATTTCCCGACGCTTCTCGCCATCGGCACCCTGGACCCAGACGCTCTCGACGTCGGCTCCGCGGACGACATGGTCCCATTCCGAGTCAGGCCGGCGGTTGTGCTTCTTGGGGAGAGAGATCATGGGCAGGTAGTCCTTGAAGTTGGTCTTCATCTCGGACCAGAAGTGGGAGATGCCATCCTCGATGCTGGACTGGAACTGCTTGATGGTCTCGTCGAAGATGGATGCGTCCGGCAGTGGTGCCTTGCCGAAGACCTCGTCTGCCCGGAGGACCTGTTGCTCCTGGGCAGCCACGAGGGCAGCACTGGCCAAAAGCCCAGTGGTAAGAAGCTTCATGATGGTGTTTAGTTCTGCTGATAGTGGTTGGTGGTTGGTGGTAGCAGAGTGAGAAAAGGAGGAAGAGGAGAGGAGGAAGAGGAAGAGGAAGAGAGAGACGAGGTTGAGGTCGAAAAGGCTGGGGAAAGGTGTGACTCTCTAGCGCCGGATGACGTTTGGCGATCGAAGCCGCGCGGTTAGAGTTTTGGCTGTGGCGCGCCGGGTGTGGGTCTTACGTAATGATTTATTGATCAGGTGATGTATGACTAACACGGTATAATGTTATTCCCATCCCGGGTCCGACGACGGCTTCCAAGGTTCCAAGTTGTTACAAATACAAAACAGGTGTGATGAATGCTTTATGGATGGTTAAATCAGACACTGTGACGAGTAACTATTGCATAACTACTGGTAGTCATTAAAAGGGAGCCTGTGTTCCCTTATAGGTTACAATAAATCTTTTTCCGGGGTGCTCCGAAATAGTCGTGAAGGTCTGGGTGACTTCATCCCAGGTCATATCTTCAGGGCCGGGGGGCAGCCATGCACGGCTCTCTCTTGCACGATTACCTGGCGTCCACGTCCACAGATCACCGAGTCCATAGTTCGGGTTGCTGGTGCTGATATAAAATTTATCGCCGTGGGAAATGGCACCCTGCATCTCCAAGATGTCGACACAATACGCCCAGCTGGAGGTGGCTATCTGGGAGCTAGTCTGTAGCTTCCGCACGGTATAGTCCAGCTCGTACTGAGCCATGCGGATTGGGGTGCTGTCCGGCGTGGTGGAGCCTGCATATTCACCAACTAGAATCTTGTCGGTGCCTACGCGATCAAGAGATATCCAGGAGAATCGGAATTTTTCTTTCTCGGTTTTTGGTGTCCAAGTGTATGTCCTGCCAGATGCCACAGTTTAGCGAGAGATTGCAGAGAACCCCAGAGGAATAGGGGAAGAAATCCATCATACCTTATCTGGGGGATAACATATAAATATCCCTGCGCGGAAAACTGGCCATTGCTCATCTTGCCCACTTCATCGCCGGCTTCGACCTGCCAGATGTTGTTGAGATCGAACACTCGGATGCCCTTGGAAGTATCCACCACCCACAATGTGCTGCCATACCACACTATGCCACCAGCATGAATCCCAAGGCGTTTGAAGTCGGTTGCGGGACTGGGAGTACCACTGTACAGCTCAGGCGTGTTCGGAACTACCAGCAAGGCATGGCGATACTTGCCCGTCTTTTTATCGACAAATGTCACCCGCACACTCTCTTTGCCGTCTGTGTCATCGTACCAGGACATGATCCAGGCATTTCTACCTTCATACGTCCCTACCTGGAAGGCATCGGAAGAGCTGGTGACGCCCTGGGGATACCACTTTTTGGTGCCAAAGTCGTCAAAGCCCTCAGTAGTGCTCTCCCACCTGTAAACGCTTTGTGGGACCGCGGTCACTCTGGTAACCGAAGCCCAGCCTCTGGCATCCAACTTGATGAGCTGGTGATTGGCAGAGTCAAGGACGTCGGACACAGTGGCCAACTTGCCCCTATCGCTGAAATGCTTGCGCAGGGTGGAAAGGTTCCAGTCGATGCTTTCTTTAAGCCGGTATGCAGACCCGGGCAGCTTGGGCGAATCGCGTCCCGCGCAGGTGTAGTCGCTTGCAGCAAAGGATGCAGAAAAGATGGATGCGAGACCCAGAAGGAAAGATAACTTCTTCATTTTGAAGTCAAGGGAGAAAAAACTACACTGTCAGCTTCAAACTGCCTTTTTTTCTACGGGGGATACTTTTGACCATCCGCCTCTTTTTAAGTCACTCAGCCTAGCCTCCCTGGTCCGAGGAAATGCGAGGCTCGTTGCAGCGTTGCATGCGGGGATGTAAGCCTCGTATACCTCGAAAGGAAATTATTCCATACCCATACACGGCTGCTAGTTATCATTTGACTTGTACGCTGCGAGGAGGAGAAATGAGAGAACATTTCCACAGGCAATAGCTACATAACAAGCCCGATATCAGCTAGACAGGCTGAGAGAACGCGGGTGACGAGTTAACATGGCACAGCAGTTATGTAATTGCGCCGAGTCTCTAACTAGTTAGCCCAATCGAACACGAGGCATAGCTTCTTCCGACAAGTCTGCCTGCCAAGGTCACTTTCACCGCGATGTCACCTCAATTAATGAATGTTATATATACAATATATCTTGCCGGACAGAATCTTGGTATATTGGCCACTACCCCCCACGGAGAGTGGTGGTAAACATTGCCCAAAATTCAGACATCTCCTCCAGGACCCTGTATACCCTATCTGATTGGCAGCTGGCAAGACACGATTAGCTCAAAAAAATCACAGCCATAGTTAACTAACTACATGTTCTACATACAGCATAAACTACCGAGGCATCCGACTCTCTCTTGAATATTCCCCCTAAACCCTCATTCCGTCGATACCAAACCACGGATGATTCACTAGCTCGTTCATTGACGTACGGCTTGATGGGTCGGCCTTTAGCATTTTTTGAATCATGTCAATCATGAGACGCGTATTTTTCTCCCACAACGGCTGTGGTATGGCCGTAGGTCGATATTTTAGAGCAGTGTCGCGAATTCTATCCCATTTCTCGTCCCGCGCTGGATTCGAGGCCGCTGCATGGCTCGTTAGTCAGTCAGCGTTTGTATACCTCTTTATCAAAAAGAAGTTTTGAGAATAAGAATATGCTTGGATCGAGTACGAACCTCCAACATATTCACTGTCTATGTAAGGCAGCCACGAGGTAGGCAACGGTCCTCCACATTTGGCCACATTAGATAGCAAGACGTCTTTGTCACCCCATAGATAAAAGAAGGCCTCGCCCCAAATCATCTCGTAGGCCTAGGGTAGTAAAAGTGTTAGAGTTTGTTTTTGACAGGACGGGATATAAAGATATAAAGCTTCAACGGAGTACATACCGTACAGCCCATGGACCAGATGTCCCCCTGAATCCCCCAATCTGATGCGGCCTCCCCTTTGGATCGTTGCCAAATCTCAATTTCTGGAGCTCTGATATATGGCGGCGACTCTGGCGGAGGCCTCGGATCTCCTTGTCGAAAGGCTAGTTACATGTGTTAGCATATCAATTTTATCTGTAACATGGAAGAACAAAGTGGTCAAAGGTCAGAGAGGTTCTAACCATTTCCAAAATCAATGATCTTGACGCACAACTCGTCGCTCTTTGAGGCGCAGAGATCCTTTATTACCAGCTCTACTAGATTTATTGGAGGAAGCACGTAAGGGGGCAACGAGTCCGTCTGTTTCTCCGGGTCCAAAGTCAGAAGAACCGTTGCCTCCATGCCGCTGAAGAAATTCAGCAGTTCAGCTTCACCATGTTTATGTAGACTAGGAAGCGCTAAGGCAAAGTTTCCTAGGTGGAGGTCTGCCAGGTAGGTATCATTTCAGTAAGAAAACTTGCAAGGGCATACATAGTAACTGGTCAGGAGAGAGCGGAAAGATCATACCTCCATGCATGACCCCTGAGCTGTGCAAATACGATAGCCCTATAAACACTTGCTGAAGGAAGCTCTTGACGTGAGAATTAAAAACATCGCTGGCATTCAATTGCATCCAGAAAAGGCGCGCCACAGGCTCCATCACCAATACATCATGCACGCCATTTGGTCCCTTTACTTGAAAGGTATCGAGTACATGTGCAATATGACGGTACCCGGGATGTTCCTTCGACTTGTCTCTCAACCAGGTTAGCAAGTGTGCCTCATTCCGATTGGAGGTTGCATCTGCTGTAAGAATTTTCAGAGCCACATAGTGTCTACAAGCCACGGTTAACTTTGCAAAAATATAGAATATGTTATGCACATACCCTGTGGGTTCATCTTTTGCAAGCCAAACAGTTGCAAAGGATCCATGACCGAGCTTCCCAATGACCCTATACTTCAAGTTCTGGTTGTTTCGAAGGATATCGCCGAGCTTTACTGGGTGGTATCCGCCTGGTTTGTACATACAGACGTTTTCGACATCTTCCTGAGGTACAAAATGGAAATTATGGATCGGCCGCATTGCGGCAGGGATTCTGGGGAATGTCGACATCTGGCCGCGAGAAGTAAGGCCAGTCTGGGTGGAATAAATACTCAACACTACTCCGCTAACTAGCCAACCGCAGGGTGTCTTAGTTAACTTAAAAGCCGGGACGCCCGGTAGGTATATATGTATATAACTAAATAGACTGACTTTACAGCAGGTTCGTTTCTTACATCTCAAAACCACCATCTCGGAACCCATATACCCATATCGTACCATTATATAGTTATCTGCCCAACAATCAGATGGCCAGCCCTACGAAACTCGTCTATCAACAAGATGGTGAACGCCTGCTTCACGCCTCCAAGATCCTTTCAATCATCCCGGTATCCGCACTCTCCGCGCCGGATCAAGCTCTTGTAAAGGATCCGTCAGAAATAGAGCATGCTGTGATCACGGATTCTACCGTCTTCTATGTTCAAGGCGGTGGCCAGCCCTCTGATACCGGTACCATGATGTCTGATGCAGCCCCCAACAAGGCAAACCCGGTCTTTGAAGTGAAGTCGGTGCGTCAACCAGCCCAAAGTAGCCAGATCCTCCATCTAGGCCGTTTTATCCCCATTGGAGCTACCGGGTTTAAAGTAGGAGAGGAAGTCCAACAGCACGTCGATGCCGACAAGCGCAACCTGCACTCTCGCCTTCACACTGCCGGGCATATCTTGAGCCTAGCAATCCACGCCCTATCTCGCGACGGCGTACTCCCCTCGCTCAAGGAGTCGAAAGCCTCACATTATCCAGACTCTGCGGCTGTAGTGTTTGAGGGCATCATTGAGGGCAAGCATAAGGATATTATCCAGGAAAAGACGGACGAGTTCGTGCGATCAGCCAGCCCAGTGAAGATCCACTGGTGGCCAATGGAAGAACTGTTTGAGAAGTGCCATGGTGTTACCGAGGGGTTTGAGCTGCCTGAGGGAGAGACTATGGGTAGAGTCGTTGAGATGGAGGGACTGGGAAGTTATCCCTGCGGTGGAACGCATGTTCAGGACTGCAGTTTAGTGGGGAAGATTGAGGTGAAAAAGATATCGCGCTCCAAGGGAGTAAGCAGAGTGTCATACAGAGTCGCATAGCCTGCCCAATGGACTAGTTAGCTATACCCCTGCTAAACTATTTGCTATGGCGGACGCATTTGGGGTGCGGCTATAAGAAGTTTCTAGAAAGCTGTTCTTTGCCAGATCTGTACGGAGTAGAACTACCTAGTTATCCAACTGAGCCGCAGCTGCCCACCCAAGACTTGCGGAGAATCGCGGAGAGTCGGGTCTCGAAGTGGTGTGGATACTGCTTAACGACAGTAATATAGATAGATAGACAACTAGGCATACCTAACGCTTGTAGTACCCTGGATACTCCGGACTAATTAAACGTTGGCGGTCCCACAAAGGCATGCACAAAGGAAGAACACTCTATAGATAGCAGCCTTCTTACTCCGTACTTCCGTTATCAAAGTAGTTATGTAGTGAGCTACTTGACACCGCCCCGACTAACTAGTTAACTAGTTGATGGTTAAATAGCGGCATCGCCATGCTGGCCCGCATGGCACTAACTAACCCCTATCTACACCGAGTTCACTTCTTCTCCAATCAGCCAAGGCCAACAGATTCCATGACTAGGATTCTGCATTGATGTGGTTATCATGGAGCTGTCTAGATGGCCCTCCGCGCCCTGGGAGTGATTACTTCTCAGCCGCCTGTCTTCCGTGTGCGGTGATAACCAATCGCCCTGATATGCCGTAGTTGATTTCCGGGAAAGCGCAATGTCTGTTCTGGGCGGCAGGAGTGTTTATCAAAGGTGGCGTAGTTATCGGTGTCTGAGAAATGCCGTCGTAGGGCGTCCTCTCGGGGCCAGATGCGGTTCAGGTTGGGATTGCCCCTGAAGGAGGAGGATGTCTACCAGTATATTCTTAATACGTGTATAATAACTCCACCAAGGAGCCCAACCCCCTGAGACAACTCCAAAAATTTCCATACTCCCTCCCCAGAATACAGGGCAACAACAATAAATTGAACTCAGTGGGCTCCAATATGAGCCGCAATTTCCTCCTGGGAACGCTCTCCCGGGACCGCTTCCTATCTAGTCCCGTATTCGTAGCATATCGTTAGATTTTATAAAACAAGGCCCTGCCAGTTACCACAAATCTAGCCCCACAGAGTAGCAAGAGCCCAACCAGCATAGACGATGCCGCGAAGGCCTGGGCATATACATAGCGCCCATTGTCTTTCGTGATCAAAAGACCGGCAATAGGCGGGCCTGTCAACACCGCGAAACTCACAATTGTCTGCCAAAAAGTCAGTTGGTTTTCAGTCTCACCGCAGTCTCATAGCATGTAGGAGGGAGCGCTTACAAAAATCATCCCCATTCTGATTCCCGCTTTCTGTAAATCTGTTGTCAAGCTACTCAACGTGGCTGGAAACATTGCTTGCAGAGCATTCCCTAAAATCCCATAAACTACAGCCCAGGCATAAAGCCCTTCTCGGGATGTGACACCAATCATCGCATAAGCACATATGATTGAGGCTATGGTGACCAAAATGAGAATATTCATAGGGCCAGTGTAGTGGTCCGCCACGTACGCAGGGGCAGTGCGACCAATTATCCCAACACCGTTCAGGATAAGAAATAGGTTGAATGACTCTGTTTGGGGTATATTGATGATTGCAACACCGAAAGAGCTCAAGTAATAGAAGGCAAAATAGACACCCCAAAAGGTTAAGAATATCCCTATCGCAAACAAAGTGTATGACATCTCAGTGAAGGCCGCGAGCTCAAGGAGGGGACCTGTTTTCCGAGGTGGCACTCTCGGCCTTGCTAAAATATTGCAGATTGTCAGACATGCCGTAGTAACAAAGCCGAAGACTCTCATTGTCCATCCATAGCCGAGCTTTGGGATGAGTTGCTGGAAAATAGCCGTAAAGATCAAACCTCCGGTGGCACTACCACAGGCACAAATCCCCACGGCCAGCATTTTCCTCTTTGAAAAATATGTGGAGGTCACTGACAGAGCTGGGCAAAACAGACATCCATTTCCGAGACCACAGCAAATTCCTTGGGCAAGAAATAATTGCCAGTACTGCGTTGATAGAGAGGCCATGAAGATGCCGAGTATACTAAGCATGGTCCCAATCACTAGTCACAACGAATTAACATCATATATTCCTCAACAGTTGAGCCGATGTAGTTGAGAAGCTCTCAAAGCGATGAGAAATATCACAGTTGAGTGTAGCGCGGAGTAAGGCCAAAATAAAATATTGCTCACAGAAGACTAGATGAAAGTAGCCTGCATCGGTAAGACGGCCTGCGAATGTACCGATAAAGAACACTATGAAAACCTGGATGCTCCCGATCCATGCTATATCCGATGGAGAGCGACCAAGGAAATCGGCATAGTAGGTCTGAAAGAGACCAAACGAGTTTATGAAGCCCCTGGCCAGATATCAGTATACTTTTCAAGATTTCGGCCAGCCCCAAATGTTAGATGAGCCAACTGAGCTTCTAACTGCTCATTCGAAAGCATTGTAACTTACCATGTATTCATAATGATCAAATGTCCTACCAAGACCTGCGTCCACGCGAGGGTTCCGCCATCCGGGGGAGGGCCTGGATCTTTCCAACTCGCGGCACTCTTTATTCTCGACAGTATTCCCAAAATCTTTTGTTTGGATTTTCCATTTTGAGGATCATTCACAGCATCTGGGTATGCTTCAACATCACCATTCTGGGTCATGCTGATATATATCGGCCAATGTGCTGGTACTCGCTGGTTGATGGAATGTATGGAGATGTTAATGAGTTGGATCACAAATTGCCTTATTTTTCGATGGCAAACAGAAGGAAACTTCAATATCTGATCAGCATTCTTGAACGTGTTAAGACAGCAAGTCAACATACCTAGCTATTTCTGTGTATGTTCTTGTATTAGGATAGATGGCGGCCACAATTGCATAGGGGATAAAAAGGGAAGCATGTAAAGGAGAAGGAGAGAAGAGTGACGGAGGAGAAAAGTATATGCACAGAATACCAAATCCATAAGTACTTTCTATACTATTAGAACCCGAATTTCAGGGGTATATGCACAGGGCGGATTTATGTCGAGGCAAGGGCAGGGATGGTGGTCTAGCGAAGTTGGATCAGTTTCTATTGGCCTCGCCTGATAACGGGTTCTCGGTCATCTCGTCTTCATGTCCAGCAGGGGTGGAAGAACGACGGGCAATGGGCCGGGAAATTCTAACCCTAGATCGCCCAGGGACCTTGAGTTGTCTAATGCCAAGCTTGTAGGTTATTTGATAGTATGTATTGTGAGTCTCAAGGGCAAGATAGCAATGTAGATAAGGTGAGATAATGATGGCTGTTCTCCAAGGGCTAGAAAGAGCAGTCTTGTAAATACATATGAAGATTGAAGGCCTGGATAGGTATGGTACAACTGCATCCCGGCGCTAGAGGTTACTCACTGCATAGGATCTGGGCATCTACCTAGCCGCGGGCTCGAGCAGGTAAGGCTACAGGCCTAACTCATACACGTCGCGTTCAAGAAGTAGGAGAATATACAGCCTGTAAACCTCTCAGTTGATAAAGTGCCCTCATAATAATGTGACAGAAAGCCTTTGGTTGGTGTTCCGTGTGGGGTAAATGGCCGAGTATCTTCTTTTGTTTTGCCCCAGGATATCCAGAACCCATCTTCATGTCGGAGTTTCATACCTTAGACAACCTTTCGGCGAAGGGTCTTGGGCGCACCGTAGTCCTGGATAGGGCTGAGGGGTTCGGCGAAGGAGATGAACACCTCCTCCTCGAGATGTAATATTCCCGGCATCAAGCGATTGCGGTTGGGTTTCCGGCAGTTTACGGGAAGAAGCTAGCCCATCTGTCAAGGTTGCCGGCTGCACGCCGGTCAGAACGTCCACGGTCAGAATAGCTTTCGGACGCCTTGTCTGAACTTGGCTGGCCATTTTTTGTTTGCACATCCCAGTCCCGATCTAGTTCCCATCCAGCCTTATAATCCTCACGAGCATGCAGATACTTGCACGAGTCGCCGAAACCACAAACTGGTATTGTCAGTATGTGTGTAATAGAAAAGCATGTGTAAGGAAGAGGGGGGGAAAAGTAAAGGACACTTACATCCTGTCCGTTTATAATCCTTGCAAACGTCCGGAGCATAATCGGTGACGGTGATGGTGCGTATATTGGTGGCCGCCTTCATGGGTCCAACCTGCTTGATGGGTGCGTTGGGGTTCTTCTGGATGAAGTTCTGGTAGTTCGACTTCCCGCGGTACTTGCCATCTGGGGCCGCCTGGTCTGCCTCTCCCGGTCGCGCCCGTGTTTTTCCTAATAGATTTTTCTCCAGTTCCTCATCGTGCCAGTTGGACTGCTTGGTAGCATCGCTAGTGGTAGGCAGCGCTGGGCGTTCGGTGGTCTCTAGTCTTTCATCGTCTTGTTCCCGGCCCGCAGAAGCTGCCGCTGTCTTAGATGAGGCAGTGACGGCAGCATTCTTTCGCCTGCGCTTTATCCTGTGGCCCTCTTCATCGTCGCTGGATGTGAAGTCGTCTGAATCGGACGCTGGTGGAGGAGTGGCCACCTTCTTGCGCAGGTTTGACTTGGCTTTGGCAGACCGTTTCTTGAACGAGACAGCAGGTATTTGTTGTTCTTCTCCCACTGGCTGTTCCACAGTATCTTTATCTGACATCTCTTTGCTTGTTTGTTCGCTTGACATGTCTGTTTCTCGTGTTACCTTACAGATGAAACTTGGTATCGCTATCGACAGAAGAGCATTATCATCATCATCATCAAAGAGTGAGCTCACACACAGTAAGGTGGTTACAATATGAGGACGTCCACCTGCCAAGGCTTAGCAAATAGATTAGTCATGTATCTTAATAAGCGAAAAGATTACTAATTTATTACTACCTTGTTATTTAAGCCAATAGAAACAGTAGAAATTATATAGAGCATTAAATGCCAACCAATAGTACCTAGTACTCTATAGCTACCCAGCACCTAAGTAGATATTCTAGAAAACTCGGGAGCTTGCCATCATATGCTTAATGGCATGATAGTAGTTACCCACTCACATATGTTTAGATGTTTCTCTATTCCAGTTTTATAAATGACCTCAAGCCGGAGGGGTGGCCGGGAATCGGACGCCACCAGTTATTTGATATCAAAATCCTTTGGGGATTAACTATCCCATCATCAGCTCACAAATAAATGAGCGGTTTTGCCGTCCCACAATGATAATCTCTACATCTTGGGTGGAGGGTATTCCGGGTTAATTTAATCTATATACCTGTCAATTAGTCATAGTATAGTTAACTCACTAATTCCCAATTCGGTCATATCCAGATTTGACCACATTATAAAATTCAGAGTTGAAGATCGATATATCCCGAATTTAGCCAGGCAGTGCCATCACGGCCCCGTCGTGGAAGTTAGCAGCCCTGCATAAGGCGCGGATATTGTCGTCAGAATCAGCATCAGTACTAACAAGTGTATTTAAAGAGCCCCCGGTTTACTTCGGCTTTGTGTGAGCAATATTGAAGGATCAGCAGTGTCACCGGATAGGTATCATTGTTGCTGCCTAGTCCGTCCGTATTCTTGTTGGAATGGTGCTGCCTGGGAAGAGGGTATCACATATATATATCTCAGCTGGCTGGATGGTAGCACCGTGTGTGGCATAGCCATAACTACTACATCATTAACGGTCATATTTCGCAGACTTCAAAAATGGCCACCAAGTCAAATTTATTCTCTCGCCTGGATGAGCTACTTGCAACGCAAGCGTCTTCAACGGCGTCCCTGCACAGTCCGTCATCGCTGTGTGCCGAGCTCGGGGCCCCATCTGTCTCGCTTGCTGTACTGGATGAGGGCGAGATACGCACACACTGCATCTCAAGTGTGTCTGACGACGTGTCTACACGGTTTCAGGCATGCTCCATCTCCAAGGCGGTCACATCATTGGGCGTGTTTAAGTTGATTGAGCTCAGAAAGCTGTCACTCCACGGCTTGATATCCGATTACCTTCCTGTATCCATTGTCGACAAACTTGAGCCGAACCATGTATCTGGCTTCGCCCAGCATATTACCATCGCCCATCTGCTGAGCCACACGTCGGGACTTCAGGACAGCGGAGTGTACGGGTATCCTGGGTATGAGGTTAGCCAACATGGTAGAACGGAGTTCCCAACGCTAGAAACAATCATTGCGGGTGAAGCTCCCTGTAACACCCTCCCCATAAAGCTCAAGGATTATCCGGGCCATCGGTTCAACTATTCCGGGGGTGGGACAATGCTGCTGCAGATGATCATGGAGCAAGTTGCTGGGAAATCTTTCCCAGCCGTCATGCAAGAATATGTTTTTGAGCCGCTGGGTATGACTGGCTCTACATTTGACTCACGGGCTACCGACAACACCCAGACTGTAGGGCAGCATGAAGCTCGTTATGCCCGAGCCTATTATTCAGGGTATACCCCGTGTGAAGTACCGTATCGCCTTGGCCCAGAGCTGGCAGCGGCCTGGCTATGGAGCACCCCACAGGACTTGCTGAAGATTGGTCGTGCAGTCCTTGACTCGCTCCATGGTAAAACCAATGCGTTTTTGACGAAAAGTACCGCACGAACGATGCTGACTGAAGTTCAACCCGGTATGGCACATTCGTGGTTTGTGAACAAAGAAACTCCGTACCTGGCCTTCAGACACGAGGGTAAAAACATGCCGGGTTGGAGATGCAACGTGGTCTGCTTCACGAACGACCCGGAGGCCACCGACTCCAACACCAGCGCCTCAGTTCTCCAAGAGGAGAAGTGTGCAGTTCCGAAGGACGGATGTGGAATTGCGGTAATGACAAACTCCGCACAAGGCGCCGCAGTTTATGATAAGATCCTGGCTGCAATTTGCTATATCCAAGGTTGGCCGGCCGCCCCTAGAAATTGGACAGACACTGCCATGGTTATCCCCTTCGCAGACACACAGGCGAAGGTGGACACCAAGTGGGTGTTATGGCAGGGACAATGGGAAGGCGGATGGCAGATGATGGCGGGCCAGGATGGAGATACCGGGCCCTATGTCAGCTTTAGGGGGATGCCAGCGTCAAGGCTATATATGGCAGCGCGGCCAAGAAGCATGGCAGAGCTGAGAAACACAGACAAGGCCAGCCTAGACCTTGTATGCAGCGGGCTCGAGGTCATGTTTAGGCTCATGGTCGATGTAGTTGGGGACGAACCAGTTATTGAGATCTGGCATGGGCCACGACAAGACCGGCGAGTACTGAGAAGGAGCAAGTCTTGATAGCCGGTTCTATTATAGCCACGAAGGAGACATTGGAAGTATCTATGGAAGTCCTAGAGGCCGTATGCATGACTATGACCATGAAAAAAGAGAATGATGTTTAGATAGATTCATCTAGCTACACAAGGGTTGTACTTAGGAGGTGGTTTAAACAATCAACAAAAATATATGAGTGGCTGCTTATGTAACTGGATATGTAAGCGCTTAATAATTTCTTACATAAGCTCCGATGACATCGATGACTCGCATTATCTGCTTGTTTATTTGTATGGATGCTCCCTATATCAGCAGCCATTATTGCTGCTATTCTTATCCATAGATATATCTTATCGCACGGAGCAGGAGGCAGACAAGAGCAGCGACAGCTAGACTAACTAACCGACTAGTCTCAGCTCTGACACGCTATTACTTCATACCTCGAAGATCGTCAAGCCATCGCCGTCTGCCTCATCTGTCTTAGTCAGCATCAACAAAAAGCCCTTCGCGACTTTTCTTCTTCTTCTTTTCGACCTTTCGCTTTCTTTCTTCAAGCCTGCGACTCTTCACGGCCGGCTAAGCAGCGCGAGATCTCAGTCACTCTTTTGTTAATTAGTTACTTCTTCTTCTTCTTCTTCTTCTTCTCTTTGTCCATTGCTCTTCTTTCTTTTGTTATATCTACTTCCCCGTCTCCCGCTGGCTGACGGCTTTTCCCTGCGTCCGGCTACGCGTAAACTCCCAGCGAAGGGGGAAAACAACAAAAAAACCCACGTCACACCTTGGCTCCCCCCAGAGAGCAAGCAAGCGAAGCCTGACCAGCCAGTCTGCCAGCCAGCCCCCTTGCATCTCATCACGACCTGAAAAGGCGACCAGACTCTTCTCCTGCCTCGCTCCCGCGTAATTATCCCGTCGGATCGCATGTCTGCTCGTCTTTGAGGACAAAAAACGGGACCCTCGTCGACTCCTGTTGGGGGGCGGGCACTGCGCATCGCGGATTGGGCTCCGGGCAGGCGATAATGAGGTCGCACGTCTGAATTCTCCGTAGCAGATACCGAGAATTCCAAGGAGAGAAGACGTCTGGGAAAGAAAAAAACGAATAATAATAATAATACAAAAAAAAAAAGAAAGGAGAAAGCAGGCAGCGACAGGCACCGCACTCGCCTTTCGCACCCGATAAAACCTCGACAGATATCTTCGATTACGGACCGGAATAGCCATGGACGACCCATTTGTGGCGACCCCTCTGGCCGTTGCCCAGTCGCAGCGAGAGTCGCACCGCTACTCGTCCTTTGACAACCAGCTGCTGACCCTGAACTCGTCTTCACCGTCTCAGCTGAAACGGGCTCTGGAAATTCACCTCGCTGAAACTGACCGAAGGCTAGAGGAGACGTCCAGGCTTGGCACTGCCCTCATCCGCCAGCAGCAGGAACTTGCCGACAAGCTAAAGGAGGTCGAGGAGCAGGAAGACGAAGGCGAGATTGGACCCGAGCTGCGTGAAAAGCTGCTCGCCTTGGAGAGAGACTACAATGAGATCGGACGTGAGTCGGCCAGGACGACCTTTGGTGCCAAGCCAAGGCTGCTCGCACCTGAAGATACGCCCCTAGATAGTCGGGTAAGGTCGCCATCACACACATATACATGCATACATACATATATGCCCTTTTTATATCAATGTATACATGCTAACACAAGAGTAGACTCCCTCGAGCCCGGCTTATCTGTCAAGCCAGGCGACCAATTCGCCCTCCAAAGTCAGCGTTCCGTCAAGGAGACAGCGCAACCAGCCTGCCAGCCGTATACACGATATTGAATTTGCTACCGAGATCAGCACGTCACTTCTGACCCAAGTCCGCCAGCTTCAGGCTCTCCTTGCCGAGCGAGACGAAGCTCTCCGCGAAACGAACCTGGAAAAGTCTAGGCTCGAGCTCGAAGCCGAAGGCTTCTCTCAGCGCATCAGGTCCCTAGACGAGAGTGAACAGCGGTACAAAGATGAAAACTGGAGGCTCGAAACACAGTCCCATGAACTCATGGCCGCCGCCAAGGAGGCTGCAGCTCGTGAAAATCGGTTGACCGCCAATCTAAATGCCTTGACTTCGAAGAAGAATAGTGTCCAGCGCGAGCTCGACGAGCTCAAGCAGGCCAACGGAAAGCTGATTGAAGAACAATCCGCAGCCCAAAAGGCTCATGATTCTGAGCTGCATATCCTGCGACGCAACCTCAACACCGGAGATGCTGAACGTAACAATCTGCGAAAGAAGGTTGACGAGCTAGTCGGACAGAATCAAGAGCTGGCAAAGGCTGTAGCCGTCAAACTTCGGCAACAAGAGTCTGAACCGGCTAGGAATGTTGACGCAGAGTCCAGAAACAACGATGATGATGAGGATACCCCTGAAAATTCCCCTCCTCCGTCACCTAACAAGGTCACGCCCCGTCACGGCCACTTGGAATCCGAAACTCTCAAGAGCTCTCTCCATCATGCCCACCGTATGATCCAGAACCTCAAGAGCAACATTCACCGTGAAAAGTCGGAAAAGATTGAACTAAAGCGCATGCTACAAGAAGCCCGCGATGATCTCGAAGCCCGCAGAAACGAAATTGCTGCAGCTCAAGGCAGCGCGCAGAAACGTCAAAGAACCAAAGCAGAGATCTTCAAGAAACCTCCGCGTCCAGATATGCTTGGTGCCGGCAGAAGAGGTATCACCGAAATTGAACTTGACGAACCCGATTGGGAAGATGAAGAGGTCATGGAACCCAGCCCTACCAAGACTGTACGACCCAGACAGACATCAATTGTCTATACCCGTCCCCGGGCCCGTCCTCGCTCTGGCTACGTGAGCGCTAGCGATGCATACCAGACCGCAAACGAAACTGAAGACGGTGGCTTTGAGACTGCGCATGAAGCCGAGACAGCGACCGAAAGTGAAAATTTCCAGACAGGCGCTGAAGACAATGCGGGAGACAGCAGCGACGAGCTCACAGAGACGGAAGACCGCGCAGCTGAACAGGTTGCATTGACAAACGCAAAGCCGTACAAGCTCCGAACCGCAAAGGCCGGCGACCGCTCCTCATTCATGAGCACCGCATCCACCTCTGCTGACGAGGATGATTATCCTTACAACGAAGTGCATACGCCTGTGCAATCTCATCCTCCGCGCTACCGCCTGAAGATGCAAAAGGGCCGAAACGCAAGGTCGTCCGAGGAGACGATCCAGGCCGGCGGAAGCATGGGCTATGAGGCCCAGTCTCCCGGCAGCATGCATAGTCCTAAACCTAGAGTTGAGGGCGGGCGAAGCCTCTTCGCAGAGCTTGGTGAAGCTGGCATGGGCAGCGATGGTGAATTCGGGAGCCCGCTGCAGCAGACCAACAAAAACCCTGTCTCACCTGACTCTACCCCTATCCGCAACCTTCGCTTCTTCCAAAATAAAGAGGCTGACCAGCCACCTCGTGTACCCATGGTCGATTCTTCCATGATGACCGAGCCCTGGCCTGCTCCAGCTCCTGCAAGCGAAACTGTAGCTACACAGACTCTGCCCCCTCAGACTGCGGATGCAACAACTTCCACCACGCCCGCAGTCCTCGTCGACAGCTCAACTCAGTCTGTAGAATCGAAACGCCCAATTACCCAGACTGAAGCAATGGTTATCTTCAACACTCTGCCGTCAGAGCCTGTCAAATCAGTAGATATGGCAACTCAGTGTTCCCCTGTCAAACCTCAGCCCATGGTGCAGAGTGGTCTGGTAGTCATCCATGATACGCCACCCGCTCAGCCTTCAAGGTCTCCAGCAGTGGACATGGCAACTCAATATGTTCCTGCAAAGCCCCAGCCCATGGTACAAAGCGAGGCGATGGTCATGTTCGATTCTCCTCCAGTTGCTACGCCTGTCGAGGAGGATAGATCCCGCGATATTGTCGCACCAATCCCTGTTCCTGTTCCTTTGTCTTCCTCATCCCCTGAACCAGAACCTGAACCGACTCCCGAGCCAATCAAACTGGAATTGTCACCAATGCTGTTCGAAGAAACGACCCCTGTCCCGGCACCTGTTGTTGAACAGCCGCGACGAAACTCAATGCATCTCGCCTTTTCGAATGTTACATTTGAACAATCCCGTCCCGTCACTCCTCTGCCAGTTCCGGCTGCTGTTCCCGTACCTCCTTTCACTCCTCCAAAATACATGGCATCTTCCATCCAAACCATCGACACACCACCAATTTCTCCTCCCACTCAGCCTGAAATTGTCAAGCCATCCATCCAACTAGAGATGTCGTCAATTTATGCCGAGTCAACTACGCCCATTGTGCCAGAGATCACGGAGCCTACCGTTGCCCCACCGGTAATAGCAGTGGCTGCTGGCTCAGATGACTTCCATTCCGTCGGAACATCCCCAAGAAGGCCGAGAACTGCGGTACATGATAGGGATACAGATGTTCCTTTGTCCTTGGAATCATCTCGTGAAATGATGCCGCCACCCAAGTTCGTCACAGAGGACACGAGCGTCACTAACTCCGGACCAGCATCGCCATCTTTTGCACCCGTCAGCGTCACAGAGAATGGAGCTCAGACTATCTTGACCAGCAAGCAGATTGATTCTCTCCTACTAGACAAATACGTAATGCCACCACCGAAGACTCCAGAGTCGAGAATGGCAGCTCCCACATTCCCAGCCACACCTGAGGAATCTGCCTTGGCTACCCCTAGAGCCAAGACACAGCCCTCAACAGCTAATGATAATTTCCTACTTCCCAATGCTGCTGCTATCAAACGACCTGGGAGTGCAGGAAGCAGACGCAGTGCAGTGGTCCACCCCCCTCTTCCAGCAGACCATAAACAAGCAATTGCTGCCGCTACTCAGAGACTATCAACCGAAAGCCCAACAGCTAGTGCCATGGGACCTCCAGCAGCTCCTGCTTCTGCCTATCGATCAGGAGTTCCATCATCTCGACCAAGGACGCCGAACGAACAAGCTACCGGAACTGCCATTTTACACGGCAGCAATGGGTCAAAGGCACAAAACAAGCACAGCAGCGCTGCGTCCCGACGATCTTCGATTTCATCTTTCGCCTCTGAACTGGATGATCGGTTCAATCTATCAAGGTCGGAATATGGCTTTGAACCCGGTACGGATCCTCGCATGATCCAGGCCATAACGCAGACAATGATTGGAGAGTTCCTCTGGAAGTACACTCGCAAGGCAGGTCGTCCAGAATTCTCCCAGACAAGGCATAGACGATACTTCTGGGTCCACCCGTTCACCAGAACTTTGTACTGGAGCACCCAGAGCCCGCAGACTGCTAGCAAAGCCCAGTTGATGGCCAAGAGCGTAGCCATTGAAGCCGTCCGAGTTGTCACTGACGATAACCCGTACCCTCCTGGCCTTCACCGCAAGAGTTTGGAGGTCGTTACTCCCGGTAGAACCATGCGGTTCACTGCTGCCACCAGCCAACGCCACGAGACCTGGTTCAACGCACTTTCATACCTCCTCTTACGCGCCAATGAAGAAGAGGGGGATTTTGTGCTACACAGCACACCAGAGGACGGCCCGATTGACTTCAACCCTTCTCTAAACGGCAGGTCATCCCGCATGACTGACTATTCCCGACGCTCTGCCGCTTCGCATAGCAGCAGAGCAGCCCGAGGCGTGGGCCGCGGGTACGATATAACTCCCGGTCATGAATCGCCATCTCTCTCCGTCCGACCACCTGATTCTACTACGAAGGCTGAACAGGCCCGACAAGGCTCTGTCTCGAGACTAAGCAGCATGTTCAAAACCTCCAATATGATGGGAACTTTCTCTAGCCGTCGAAGTCGGTACGGTGGCAAGCGTGGAAGCGTGGACGATACAAGCCAAGAAGATAGTGCCGAAGATCTAAGGCGTATCTTAGAAAGGCAAGAAAGAGAGGCTGATAAAATAGAGAATGTCCGCGCTTGTTGTGACGGTAAGATTGAATTTTCCCTTATTTTTTCCATTCTTTCTCCAGGCTGAGCCTTGTGCTGACTTTTTCTTCCTAGGCAAACATGATGTTGGCTCCCTTTCAAGAACCAGCCGCTTCGTCAACTCGAGGCTGAGCAATCACTCGCATTCCTAGGTTGACTATTCCTTCAACCTATGCTTATAGAACAGAGCATTTCTGCAAATGATACCTATTACTACCTTCCCATGACCGTGGTACTAAAAGCAGCGAACAAAAGTCCCAACCTTTGGTGATTGTCCACCTTTTACGAATTTCCTTCATTGGTTCTCATTCATGACGTGTCTGGCTATCATGCCGCATCTTCACTCTACAATAGCTTTGTAATACTTCTGTCATGCTTACTTCTCCCTCATCTTCCCTTCATTTTTACGTTTTAGCCCTTGACATTTTCACTTGACTTCTTATGCTAATTGTTTTTCAGGATGGTGTATTATGTGCCTGATGTTCGAGCGTTGCTCTCCTTGGTGCTTATACTTATACTCCCACCTCCTAAAACCTCATGTACCAACTTCTCGTTCGATCGTTCCACTACTCCTGCTCTGCCTTGCCTATTACCATTTTCCTGCTCCAAATCTTCATTTTTTTGCGCAGCTGTGAATACTTCTTTCGTTTTGCAGATTCATTTCATTACTTCTTCGCTTTCACTGTTGGCCGACTTCTTTCTTTTTCTTTTTACTTGTTTCATATGTCAGATTGGTCAAGTTACTTTTCTTGGACCGCTTGCTCTCTCTTTGATTTACTTGTGCATGCCTTCCTCCCTTCGCTTTGATGGGCGGATTGATATAACTACTAATCTTTCCCTGTCCTGTCTGTTTCGATCCCGGCTTCTTCTTCTCGTCTCAAACATCTCTCTATCTTCTCTCATCCTAAACATACCATACCTAAATAAATCAAATATCAATCAACTCTTCTGGCTTTTGTACTTCTTTCCACAGCGTCACTAGTCAAGACTATTCTTTGGTTTGTATTTAAATGAAGTTATCCTGTCTTTGCAGGAATAGATGTTTTTCTGAAGCTTGTAGGTCCTGCTTAAGCACATACAACGCTGTGTATACGAAGATGCGTGCGGGTATCAAAGAGTCAGCGACCAAAGTGGGAAGTTTAACTGCAAGACCCGGGCCCGAGTTCCCGAAACTTTGCCCATTCCAAGGGATATAAAAGCCACCACTGAGCCCAACTTTAGCCAACAAGGGCGTTCTCCCCGCTCTCCAGCTCTCACACTCGACCGCACTTTTTCCACCCTATCTGGCTTATGGGCCTAGTTTTTTTTTTTGGACTGGCTTTAATCTGATATAACCAACTACCAATAACTACCTGACCATGCCTACCGTTGGTGAACGTATATATGAGCTTGCGGAGCCAGGCTTCCTCGGCGTCTGGGCTGCGTACAGTAAGTAGACGACATGCCTGAAAGCGTTGTAGGAGATGAAAAGGCCCCCCTTTGTACAAACGTTAATCATTTATCTAGGTTTTATGACGGTGATGCTGGAAACCATTCTGCGTGGTCAGCTACTTGCACCTATATTCAAGCTGCAGGAGATCAAAGAAGAAGCCTTCTCAAGGTTCTGGATAAGTTTCTCAGGTGCCCGAGATAAAGCAAATCAAGATCCGAATGCTCCTGTGCCAGAGCCCGCTGCCTCAAGTGCTCTTATACCCCCACTCCTCGCCCATGCGGACGGGGTTGTTCTTGACATCGGCCCTGGGACAGGAACCCAAACGCCGCTTTTCACAAGCCCGAATTTGCGGATCATGTATGGTGCAGAGCCATGTCTAGGTCTTCACGAGGACCTTTCTGCTAAGGTTGAATCATGCGGTCTGGGATCCAAATATCGAATTCTACACTGTGGAGCCCAGCCTGATTCTTTGCTCCCTGCGCTGAAAAAGGCCGGCGCACTTGATGACGAGAACAATGAGGGAAAAGGTGTTTTTGATACCATTGTCTGTGTCCGAGTCTTGTGTTCCGTTCCGGAACCAGAGAAGACGATAAAGGGCCTTTATGACTTACTCAAACCGGGTGGGAAGATATTGATTTGCGAGCATGTGGTGAACCCTTGGACCACACCCAAAGGAAGCTCCGTTGCAAGATTTGTTCAGGCTCTATATGGTCTTTCGGGCTGGAGCTTCTTCATGGGGGGATGTAATCTCGATAGAGACACTGAGCGTACACTTCGAGCTGTTGGTGATGCTGATGGTGGTTGGGGAAGCGTGGATCTAGAATCATCGTTTACCTCAGGGCCATTGCCCTACGTCTCTGGGACTCTAGTCAAGCGAGGATGAAGGGTAAAATATATGGACGGTTTTACGTTCTGCATAACTAAAATTTGAATATAGCCCTTAGGGAATGCAAACAAGTACAATTTTTCATATATATATATATATTTGATATGTTATTAGGGTGTCTAAATAAGGGTATTATATATGCCATCATAAGTCGTAAGTTATACGCCTGAGCCAAAAACACCGTGAAGGCGTGAATTCTATAGGGGAATGCTTCTAAGCGCGGGTTTAGGTCGATCTGGGGGCCACCAATCGAACAAATCCAGCGCTTCAGATGTCCAGGGCCCTTGTTCGACTTCAACCTCTGGTTCATCGATGGGTGGTAGGTTTAGAAGTCGGTCTGGGAAAAGCTTCGTCTGGATAACTCGTTTTTTAGGCACAGGCCGGGGTGGGTTTGACGTCGACATGTCTGATTTTGACCTTTCAAGTGATCCATTATTTGGTAGTCCGTTTTTTGGTTCCCTCAGTCCAATCTGAGATATAGCCTCTTCCGGTACTGGAAATTGGGCCGAAGTTGCGGCTTTCACAGACATAGAATCTGTAGCGGAGAGACTCCGCTGGATATTATGAGATTTCTGCTGCTTAGGGCCAGGAGACTTTGAGTCCGGTACCATACCCTCATTATCGTCATGCTGAGTCTCTTGTTCTTGGGCATTAACCGCAGCTGGCTTGAAAAATCCCAGTAAGCTCGTTGCTTTTTGTTGCACACGAGGGCCCTCACCGTCATTACTCTCATTGTTAAGAAATTGTGCTGTAGATTGGCACGAGGTTATATTCTTGTCCCTTGGCACCAAGGCAGGTGAGGCCTTGGGGCCTTCTACTTTCTTGGATGATTCAGAATTTAGAATTGCATTGTCAGTGAGTTTTCTCTTTTCTCTTGCCTTGGCTTGTTGTTCGGCAAGTTTGTCAACAAATATAAGTTGGTTGCGAGGCTGCCTGGGCGCAACTTCAAGGGTCGTCGTGGGTACATTGCCAAACATGGATGTAAGAGATTTCTGATTTGTCGGTACTTTATTACTAGATTTTTTTCGACGGTCCTTGGTGGAGACTGGCTCCACCTCAACTGTGCTCGCAGGCCGGAATGATGCGGTTGAGGCTGATGCAAATCCAGGGCGGCTTTCATTTGATATCTTATTACACAGGCTTGTGACCCCACCTAGAGTTCGACGTTCAGTGCCTAGGGTTTTGCGGGGCCTGCTATTAACCGCTTCTTCCACATTGATCTTCGATGTCTTTCCAGGAATCTTTGTTGGCGGTGGTGAAGGTGACAGCGTAGATGGATCTGCCCGCTCACAGCCGGGAGATGGTTTTCGCTTCTTGGCCGGTCTCTCCTCAGATTCGCATATGCTTCTGTTCAATCGCTCCCGCTCTTCATAGGGTGACCTTATCACTTTTGTCGGTTGTATACTCTTCTTAATTCCAAGCACTTCGTTCAGAGACTTCATGGACGAACCGCTGGACAGAAAAGGAGCTTTGAAATCGCTTGGCAGTCCTGTATTGCTATTCCGTGTGTGGGCTTGAGAGGGTTTTTGTTTGGTGGGGGATGGCTTCCGTTTCTCGAGGAGTTCCGTCAAATCGGTTACTGTGCTCTCAAGCTGTTCACCAGCTTGGACCAGGACACCTCTCTCCAGTTCGAACTCATCCCCATCCTGCAGCATGTCACGATCTCGCCAGTGCAAATCTCCAACCAGGTTCCCAGTAGGATCATAAACCATAACACGTTTGTTAAAGGTGTGAAATCGGAGGAATCCATCCTGCCATCTTTTCGCTTTCCGCCTGATATCGTGGGTGAAAAGGCATTGGAATTTGATCACTGGCGCGGTATTCTGGGTTGGTGGAACTGCGAGGCTCGATCGTTGAGAAGCCATGGCTCAGTCCCAAATTCAGCCTGGTATTATTCCGTCATATGTCGGCTTCCTGATATCTCCATCTTTCTCCAAAATATTCTTCCCCTAGATGCTGTGTTTGCTTGTTCAAAAGCCGTTTGACATCAAAACTTCCCTCTTTGAGTTAAAACGCGTCGACGCGTGACTTTTGCTTAGTCATTGGTTCTTATCGATAGCGTTTAGTTAACTGGTTATTAGTCATCGGTGTTATTCGCGTCCCAGCAAGGAAATTCGCTACTCCAACATTTCATTAGAGAGCGAAAACCGCGATTTTCTGTATATTTTTCGATTTAAAGACCAATATTCAGCCGATGAGGATGGCCTTTCTGGCTACTCTTCGTTGTCAATCTACGCTGGACATCCATATTCATTAAATAAGAACTTGGACGGAGAATTACGATAGAGTTCGGGACCGTTGGTTAACTAGCCACAGAGTAACCAACCAACTAACTAGTGACAAGGAGTGACATTGTTACAAGATCCTCACCCTTCGCAGTTCAATGAAGTAAGGAATAGGGAAAAAGGGACGGGTTAGGACAAAAACGACAATACCAACGCCGGTATAAAATACTCCTGCATGAGGCCACCGGCTGCCCCTCCAGCAACCCTACAAGTGGTTGGTGATGCCAGCATGCAGCTACTCCGTAACTAATCATGGTTCTTAAGGCGCGGGCAAGGAGACATCACAGGGATTAGGCTGAAGCCTAGGCTGGGTAGACTCCGGGTTCTCTTTGCTCTTTAATTAACACGTTTGACCCTAAGTTGTTGCTAATAACTCCTGTCTCTCCGTTCTTTAGACGATAGCTACGGCATCTCCGTATGAAACAGCCCTCCCGAATATGCATAAGTATGAAGAGAGAGAGACACACAGATCAGGCCTGGGAAGCAACCACGATGACAAGCTAGTTATATGTATATGTCTAGAGCGGAACTCCACCACTTGGCATATGCTTAAGTAGAGTATAACGCGTAATCGTTCGATGGATGCTTACAGACTGCAGCTCTGGGAGGCCATATACTTGCTTTGGGTGCCACTGGTCCATAAGGAGTACAACTTTAGTTACCTGGCCCAGCGAAAAGGCGCGGCGGATTCCCACAGGTCGCACAGAAAGCACTGAAGCTGATGAAACAACAGGGATTGCTCGCGCTTGACTCTGTGACGCAGCCGGTTTCCCTACTCCGTGCTCTCACACATTATTAACATACTTGCGGCCTTCACTCGCCCTTTCTCTCTCTGCTATTCTCTCGCGTACGGTACAGACATCTATCCATGGGAGGATGCTGAGTGGCTCTGTGTCTGGGAAGCCTTTTTTTCCGCCCATGCCGGACCCCGCCGCTCCTATGCTTTGTTTAAATATCGACCTTGGAATTAAAATTTTCCTTATCTCCTCCACGGCCAGCTCTTTTCGCTTTTGAGAGCTGTGTTCCAGACTCAGTTTGCACCATTCAACGGCCATTTCTGGTCTATCCCGTAGGCTATCCATAGGCCACCAGCGTACGGCGGGACGAAGCTTACCGCGGATCCCTTTTCAGCCAGGTATCGCGCAAAACCGCCACCATGCTCAACATTAATCGCCAGTTTGGGAAGTTTATGAAACGTTCAGCGGACGAGAGCCAGGTCTCTGTTCTGCTCAAGGACTTTGACGATGCCGATAAGCTATTGCAGAAGGTATTGTGTTCTTCCTTTGCATATTCCTATCCCCAGTCGATCAAACGACACACTTGCTCGCAGCTAGACCTGTTACTGAATCTGATGAACGTCATAGATCATTGAATCGAGTAAAGCATGGCGCGACGCATGGTCATCAATATTCACATATCAGGCCCGCCTTATTCAAGAATTCGAGCAGCTATACAATCCCATTGTTGGCGCATCGGAGCCATCATCAGACCATACACCCGCGGTAGTCCCCGAGCATACCTTACATCGTGTTGTCCGATTGAGAGAGGAATATGATTCATTAAAGGCAGATCTAGTCGCAGAAGTGAGTGCTGTTGATGACCGGATTATTCGGCCGGCTATGGATGCAAGAGACTATCTGCAACCGTTGAGAAAAGTTATAAAGAAACGAGAGGACAAAAAGGTATGCATTGATATAAGCATCCGCGGAGGGCTACCTGGATATAATGTGTTTCGAGCTAACCAGTTCATGTAGCTGGATTTTGAAAGATATCAGGGCCGGGTTGACTCCTCAAGGAAGAAGACAAAGCGCTCTGACAGAGACAATGCTGCTCTAGCAAAGGCAGAGGCGGATTTATCTAAGGCTACGGATGTAAGTAGTTTCTTCTTCCCTATAAAGAGTCAAGTATCTAACATGATGTAGGATTATAATGCAGCAGACGACCACTTACGTTCTGTTCTCCCTGGAATAATAACGGCTACCTTTTCTATTCTCCCACATCTTCTTGGTGCGCAGATCGAGATTCAGAATACATTGCTTGCTCTCTACTATACTGCACTTCACACATACTGTGAAGAACAGCAGCTTCCATCTCCACCGCCACCTATGGAGGATATTATCCGGACATTCGAAGAGAGTTTCCTCAATGTACAGCGTGAAATAGAAAGCTTCAATTGTGTTGCCGGTGGTAAAACAGCCCGCCAGCCACGAACCTCCGGAGACCAAAGGAATGGGAACCACGCCTCTTCAAACGGTCGTCCAGTTATTGGTGCTGGGAGTACCTTACGCAAGCCATCTACTTCTCCCAATTCACTTTCCCGCCCACCCTCTACTCCATCCTTAAACTCTAGACCCCGGATCGGCCGCTATGCATCGTCATCCCAGCTCGACACCCAATCTGCCTCAGAGCAACCAGCACACGAGTCTCCAAACAACAGTAGTGCCCACCACTTTACTCCTACTGCTACACCTCCCCACAACCCAACCCAATATGTCCCTCCTATACCCACCAGCACGAAACCAACGCAGGCCGCAAACCCCTCGATGTCCGGGATAGCATCTCTTGCAGCCGCGGCTGCAAAGAAGAAACCTCCACCTCCACCTCCACCACGGACACCATCCTCGAGCCAAATCCAGTTCGTCACTGCGCTCTATGACTTTGGCGGACAAGGAGCTGGCGACCTTGTTTTCAAGGAAGGGGACCGAATCCGCGTCATCAAGAAAACCGATAGTACAGATGACTGGTGGCAGGGAGAGTTACGTGGTGTTAGAGGAAGTTTCCCTGCAAACTACTGCTCTTGATTTGAATATAAAGCATAAAATGAATAGCATCAATAAACCATATTGCCTCGCTTTTAGCCTTATTTCCCTCGGTTGGGCCTCCTACCGGATGCTCCGCATAGTTTATGGATGTTGCGTTTACTTTTTTTTTTGGCTTAGGATCTTTGTTGTTATTTTGAAGAATATTTTTGCTAAGTTTACCATTGACCATTGCATATATGGACAATTTTTCAGCATACCTTTGCTATGGCTGCTTCTCTTGCTGGTTGCGTATATAAAATGGCATGACCTAACCTGAATTGCCGACTTTAACTTTTACAATATAATATAGAAATATGACACTAGTTTATGACTAGAAGTGGACGACGGCTTAATATATATATTGATTAAGCTATGTAGGGCGTATCGTACACCTAAGCAACAATGGCATAAACTGCCATCTTGTGTGCACTATACTATTCCAACCAACAAAAGGGATGTTCGAAGAATTAAGGTAGGTTAAGCAAAAGAGAATCCAATGGCTCCTCAGCTTATAAAAATGCGGGCTCAGGGGTTCCATCGTCAGCATTTCTCCTTGGAGGCTGGCTTCGCTCGCTTAAAAAGATATCCACCATCCGCTTTGTGCTAATCGTACTATGGAGGCCATTGAGCTTTGAGGCATAATTCGGGCGCTCACTTTGGCGGTACGACGCAGAGTCCCATTTATTTTCTTTAGTACCCTTCGTCCGTTCACGCCTAGGACGCACGGAGTTGAACTGGATTTCCTGAAGTAGATTTTTACTATCGCCCGGGCATATAGGGGATATTGATTGCTCATATCGACCTCGAGGAGACTGATTACCACTTAAGAGGGAGGAGTCCTCCTGGAGACCATTGTCTCCGGCCGGGCGTGTTTTATTATACAGGAGGGAAGGAACAGAGGCAGTTGTTGGTGTTCTCGAAATACTCCTAGCCCGAACAGATAGTGGTGATGGAGTCATTTCGCTATCACATATCAATGGAGTAAACGACTGATGGGTCGTGGAGGTCGTTATAGATGGTTTTCGTATTACCGTGCTGCATGCTGATAGTTTGCCATTTGGCGAACTACGTAATGGGCGTGAGAAATTACTGCTTGGTATAGGGAGTGCTTCTGCTATATTTTCCTTGGATTCACCATTAGTAGACTTCGCCTTGGTAGTGCTGTTGAAATTTATTACTTCGTGGGATGCTTGCGTATTACGAGCCAGCAAAGAATACTGGAGCTCCTCGGGGCTTGGTTCATTAATCTGGGTATCCTCTCGGTAATGTCCATGGAAGGTGTACTCTGGGTTTGCTAGACTTGCTGAGCGAGCAGCAGCATCAATCAAGTCCATTTGAGAGTTCATCCATGTTTTCCAGTCACTGCTGGCTCCTCTCGTAGCCTGACTGGCACGCCTAGGAGGATACGGTAGACGCCGGCTGTCAATTATTGTGGCAGTACCCGGTTCTTCCCCATCAGAGTCTGAAGTGTCAAGATCCAAGCCGTATGGGGACCGCACTTCTGTTGTTCTAGAATAGACACTCGGTGATAGTGGAGTGTCTCCGTCCCTAGGATGTCTACTTATAATCACGCTCCCAGTATCATCCTGACATTCTGATTGCTCCTTTTGCCATTCATCTGCAGACTTGTTTTGGACAAGAGCCGAGCCCGATACAATGTTTAGATCTAAGCTGCGAATTGTCTGGTCTGATCGCTTCTTAGAAATCATCTCGTTTTTGCGAGCAATCTCCTGTGGGGTTAGTTTAACAGTGTGGCTTGATCTCACTGAGAAGAGGCTTCGGGAACTCTGAGACGCTTTAGACGTAGACCTTGAGTGCCTTACGGAGGGCGCTCGTGGTGATTGTTTGACGGCTCTAATAGTCAGCGGAGAATCATTCACGGATGGAACACGGGTTGACCTGGCTTTTGACCTGGCTCGTGAAGCTTGGTTAGCCTGTCTGCTATTCTTAGTCTCATCAATGTTCCGCATGAGGGCAGAAAATATCCTTTGGCTATCAATATCAACTGTATTGTCACGAGGCTGCCGGAAAATAGAGTACCCATCATGATGGTGGCGACCCGGCGATGGAGTAGGCGTGTACATATCACTATCTTCGCGAATGATATCCAAGCCCTGTCGAGTTAAAGGAGGAAACTGCTTCATAGTTAATGTATTACCAGCTGTCGAGTCCGTCCAGCTTGTAACACGAGAGTTGAAAGTGGCCATACTTGAACTACTTTTCATAGACCGAACGCTTGGGGCTGCATTCGCAGCGTTTTGCGACATCAATTGCTCGCGATATTTTGCGTAGTCGGAAGAGTCATCAATATAAGAGTCTTCAGAGGACCCTACATCGGAAGAGTCATGATCGCGCTGGGTGCCGCGCTGCTCTAGTGATTCTCCTTGGGTACCTGATGGCCGCCTCCCGAAAATCCGACGGATGCTATTCTTGATGGAAAAGGAGAAAAAACGTCCCTTAGACCCACAGTGAATGCCAGTAGATGTATATCTCGAGGGAGTCGACCCACCATCCGCTCCGTTTGACCTCATAGATTTTTTGAATGGCTTTGGATCCTGCCGGGGCCTATGGGTAACAGCTGACTCTAACCCATTAGCTACCCGCTTTTGCTCCATAGATCTTTCAAATTGTTCTCGAGCGAGTTCGATTGGTAGGGTATTGGCCTTTGCACGGTTCGCTTGAGGAGACTTTGACTCGCTATCCCCCCTAAAAAGAGACAAAGATCTCCGAAGAGTACGGCGGGATAGACGGCTTGTGCCCGAGCTTGTACTTCGATTATTATTGGACCTGTGAGGTGAGTGTTCCGACTCATGGGAACTAGTAAACATCGATTTTGATTTTCGAAGCCTCCTGTAGGATGACGGTCGCGGCGACACTAAGCTGGGGTTTGGCCTATTCTGGTCCATCGTCCCGGAATCTTCAGTTGTTTGTGGAAGCGTTGTTGGCTCAGTGACAGCCGCGCGGCAATAGCTTTCACTCTCATTCCTTGTATCACTGAATCGAGAAAGGGACTGTTGATAGCCACCATCTATGCTGGACGAGTGATCACACTGCTTCTTGGAGCTTGACAGGCTGGAAGAAGGGCGGTTATCGTGACGCCGCATAGCTAAAGATGCTGCTGCCAAAGCCTGCAGCTGTGCCAGCTCAGAATTGAAAACATCCGAGGCAGCCAGTCGACGGTTCTGTACTGAAGCTGAGGACTTCGACCTCCTAACCCTGTTATTTGCACTTGAGTTGCTGGACAACATTTTTGTTTCTAGTAATTTTCTGACGTTTTCGATCTGTTATAGCTATTCCAATGTTTCTTTGGTAAAACAATGTATGACTGGGTATTTGATAGGAGAATATACAGAAAAAAAACTATGCCCTGTAGTACTTGGTTACCGGAAGAAAAAATTGCATTTTTCTTCCTCTGCCTTAGCCAGCATGTTTACGTCTTGCAAGCAAAAAGTGTCTAAGCACCGGGACAGTCGTAGCTTCCCCATCTGCGGGTAAATATTTAGAAGTAAACAAACAACTAAATTTGGGTATCAAAGTTGTAGCAAGTGCAGCCCATAGTTTTGGAGATGCACAAGAAGGAAGGAGTATAGCTGCGTGGCTTCGCTTCCTTTAAAATAAGCTTATACACCCATAACTGAGGCTGTGAGTGTGATTCGGTAAAGACTTTTCTCTTCTCTCTTCTCTCTTCTTCAAGTTGGTATGTGACCATGAAGGCCATCTCAACGGTATAACAACCAATGCAGTGCAGTTAGGATGATCTCAGTCCACCGCTGGCATAAGCAGCCTAGGGCTCGGCCGCGGACTGGATGGCTACCTCAAATCGACAGGAAACATCCCGAGGGCCATGCTACCCATCGTTCGTCCCGCACGAAAATGTGCAGAGTTCTATGTGACCGGGTGACCTCCAGGGATGGACGGTAGAATGACGTGAAAAAAGCTCGTCCAGCCCCCCTGTTTTTGTTCGCTTTCCGCGCTTTCTCCCGTCTTCCGCTTCCCGCTACCCGTACCCATCTGCACAGTTATGGGTGAAGTGGCTCTAACCGTCAGTTTGCCGGATGGCGAGTGGTGAATGGTGAACGGCACGGAGTAAGTTTTATATGCTCCAAGGTGATGTCGTCGGTTTTTTCCTTTTTCGGCTAAGCAAAGGCGTCTCGTGATCTCTTCGGCAAGCACAAAAAGGGGGAAGATGATCAGAAACAAGACGAACATTGACGCCAGACGAGACGACGACGGGTGCTACCATCTGGCCAATATGCGAGATGCTCCAGGGGTGAGACAACTCTTACATGATGAATACAACGGCAACACTGTTACAGGAAAAGAAGAGCCCACTTCGCCTGCAGAGTTCATGAGCTAAGTAAGTTAGCCATAAGTATACGAAAGTGAAATGGGAGACCCAGCCTGCAACCCTGCAACCTGCAACTTGCCAGGAGCCCCATCTCGACGGCCGGAGTACGGAGTCAAACATTATTCTCTATCTACCATTTGCTTACGGAGTAGTTACTCCATTTACACACACGTTAAGAGTATCTCTGATCCAGAGTCTACGGATACTAATGCTTATGCTAACCACCAACCAAGCAGGGTAGATGGGACATGTGCAACCCGTAAAGGAGTCCTTCAGCAACCAGAGACCCATGGGCAGACAGCAAACATTGAAGCTTCGTATCTTGATTTAAGCTTCTCCGTCACAGGAGAGGCGAAAGCCAAAGAAGAATTGAAACCAGAGAACGGAACAGAGTAACCAGAAAGGGAAGGGGGAGGAAGGGTGGGAGGAAAAGGAAAAAACAAAAAAGAAAGCAAGCTCGCAGCAAGCTCGCGGCTTTCCCGCCCACAATAAGTGCTGGAGGTTTGCTGCCCAACCCCTCCAATGGTCGTTCTTGGGGTTTCGTTCCATTACGCGATGAGAATCAGGGTCGGGATAGTACAGACGCAGCATACTTGCCGATGGAGTGAAAAGCAAAAAAAAAAAAAAAAAATTGGAGGAGTGTATGTACGGAGTATGAGGGGGGAAAGATTGGCTGGATATCTTATTTGATATCCTTGACTGCTCGTTGCTGCACTCCTGTCTTGGCTGACAACATCATGCATGGAGGGACTGACCAGCCTCAGCATGGCCGGAGTAGTGGAATGCTTCGCTCACACTTTTTCGATACAAGGGCGCATATAGTTATTCCGTGTTCAACGGGATTCTTGAGCACTGCCACTCGGTCCTCCGCGGTCGCTAAAATGTTCTTCGCTGAACGAGTTGCGCGGATATGTCGCCCAACACACATTATTCCATACAGGTATGCTTTTCCTTCTTCCTCAAAGAACGAGGGTAAAACATAAAAAGGAGGTCATTTAAGTACCCCCTACCCCGCTCTATTTGTCTTGTTCTGAATGCTCTTGAATTTCTATATGGGATGACACGCTGCACGAAATGCGCACCTTCCACGGTACCTAGGCAAAAGAATCGGCAGCTGCATAGCTACCAGCCCCTCAGGAAAAAAAAGCCGTTGATCGTGGCTTGAGGTGATGCCCAACCTGCATGGTCAATTTAAGTCAACCCCAAGGATTATATGGGGAGGAGGGGGAAGACCCAAAAAGACGGATGCCAGGAGTTGCTCCGTACGGAGTGTAACTACATACAGAACAACCACGTACATGTGTCAGCTGGGATACTGGTATTTTTTACTCCTTACGTACTTGCATATTTATGCACAGTGACGAAGGGTATGCAGGGAGAATGATTGAATCTCATGCAAGTCACATTTATTAATAATCCAGCTGCAGCCAGAATGTGGAAGATGCGAAAAGAAAAGAACAGGGAGGAGAAAAACAAATGCGGCCTCTACCCTGCCTTGTTGATGCGCATCGCTGAGCCAAATGAATAAGCTTAAAAAGACATTTTCTGTTTGTCTGCTTTTGCTTGGGCCTAGCACTGGGTATCTAACTAATTTCAACAACGCATCCTACCGCCCCCAGTGCTGACGACGACCCGGGAACTGGTGTTTTTCGTCTCATTTAGTGATGATGACATGGCAGTAGCATTCGTCAAGGCAAGGCTTGGTACCGTACACCTGCGGTTTCCGGGGGACACGAATTGCCAGGGGGGCTGTGGGATGGAAGGACAAGAGTTGTTGGCAAAGAAATGACTCGAAAGGGAAAGAAAAAAGCATGAAACCAGAGCCATTCTGAGTCCGGCAAATCCCAAATTTCCAACCACCGTTGGCGCTACGACGTGTCTCGTCAGGCGTGCATCGTATATCGAGAGATATACGCGCGGAGGAAAGTGTACACGTTCCCTGTTGCATATATAGGGAGGGCGTTATGTATAACCTGGAAACTGGTTCTCGGAGCTCGCATGGGCGTCAAGGCAAAACAAGGCTGAGAGCAAAGCAAAGCAAAATAAAAAAAAAAGGGCGAGGCGGCGAAAAAAGCCCTTCTCCTTGGACGGCCGGGGAGATGAGACGAGCAGTTCTAGCCTCGCTGGCCTTTGCCATCCCAATCTCGGTATAAACAAAGAACGCTTCTAGATCTTGCAGGAGACCTCCCCCCTTCCTCCCTTTTTTAGTGCGCTGCCTTGTGTCTAACCTGCCTTGATCTAGGTAATTGAACTAAGACTGGTATCGAAGGCGCCAGAAAAGAGAAAGACGCAAGTCTGGACCCTGTTGCCGATGGATCCGCCGTTTTTTTTTCGTCCTTTTTCTTTTCCCTTTTTTTCACTCCTTCGCTCTTTTGCCAGACGGCCCGACGCTAATTTGATGACAGCGAAAGGACGGTCCAATTGCGAGCGAAGATCAAGACAGGTCAGCACCGTTAAAGGCGATGACCCAGTCGACCGTTTTTTCCTTTCTTTTTCCATCACTACTTTTTTTTTTACTTTTCAATTAAAAACAGGGTAATCTTACTTTGATCCCACTTCTTGAAATTGAGACCAGACCGATTAATTTCCGTGACTGAAGGGCGGGCGAGCATGAGTCGTTTGAGCCGGAACAGCGGGTGAATAGGAAGCCGTCTTTGCAGTCCTGCAACAAGACTGTAACGGCGTCGGGGATGAGGAGCACGAGGTACGGAGTACATGGAGTATATGGAGTATACGGAGTACAGATATATAGTTATGCGACGGATTCCCAAGGTAGGGCTTGAGTTGAGCCTGCACCAGAGCAGCGTTAAGGCTGGCAGCAGACTTGAACCCGGGCGTCACGAAAAACCTGTTTGGGTGGAATCGCCGGCTGTTTCAGGAGGACGACGGGACCTTGTTGATGCCTGACATCGCCAGCAGCGCATCCATGTGGCTGATATATGTATGTATGGGGCGGGGAGGTGACTCTTCTGGAGCGAGAGGGAATGATGTAAGTATGTAAGCGAGGGGGATGAGTGAGGTTGGCTGCTGCTGGTGAATTTGTATGGAGTATCAGAGGGAGGAAAGACGGTGTGAAAAGGGCTGATGCAAAGGGCGGTGTCATCAGCTGTCTCTCTCGTCTTCTACCGCCTTCTTCTCTAGTCGGTTAACTAGCTAGTTATCCTGTTGGAGAAGGCTGACTTGTTGGTTGGTTGGTTAGTTGATGGGCTGGTTGGTGATGGTGATGGTGATGGTGATAATGTTCAAATTACTACTATTCAGTTATACAGCAACATCCCACACCCACAAGCCCCCTTTTTTTCTTCTTTCTCCTGCGAATGTGATGCCGGGCGTACTCCGTCCCGTATCAGGTTGGGCATGCCGCAGACAGTCAGTCAGCGTGCAAAAAGGAGGGATATCGTCTTTATCCACGGAAGCAGACGGGGTTTGTTGGAGTGCAGAGATTGGTGGAATGTGACAGGAGGGTGAAAGCCAGCCCAGCACCGGGCAAGCTTGTTCTCTGCCTGTAAGCATCTAAGCATCTAAGCATGTCGTGGGGAGCATCACGGATGGTACTAAGCCCTGACTGGGCCAGGGAAGAGATAAAAAGGCCGGCGATGCTCTCCTTTTTCGCCTCCTTTTCCTCTCCTCACTGCTTATGCACTGCTGTTTACTCCTTTCCCCCTGGCTACCCAGCGTTACTCATACACTTGCATACGTTCATACTCCGTACATATATACTCTGGGCAGAGGCTACTCCGTACAGCTGCATGGCTATATCGTTATTATCACTATCACTATTACTGCGGCCATCTTAGCATCTGACAATAACATAACTATATGTACGATCCTCGAGCTGGCGATCCACTGCAATTCCCGCCTTGACTCCAGGAGAAAAGCAAAAGAAACGAACAGCAAAAGCAAAAAAGCGTCCCCTTGGAGGAGCCCAAAAAAACAGGCGATACATACTTAGGGACGAAGACGAAGAAGAAGCTCTCGCAAAAAGTCTCAAACAGCCGAACTGTTTGGCCCTTTTTTCTTTTCTTTTCCTCTCTTTGCTTTTTTCTTCTTCATTCTTCTTATTTTTCTGCTTGGTGTGTTGCTCCTTGTCTCTCTTCCTACTCCTGCCTCTGCCTTTATATATACCTGTGTCTCGCCCCCTTTGCCCCGGCTCCCTCTCCCTCTCTTCTTCTTCTTCACTACTATTGCTACTACGAATTCTCCTCCAGTCGTCTTGCTGGTTGCCATTCCTTTCTTCTGCTTTCACTCAATTGCTGTTTAATACTTTTTTATATACAATCCCTTATAATCGCTTATCGGGCACCCTGCTTGTTCAATTCCACTCCTTGGATTCGCATACCACATAGCATACATTCGCACTCTTCCGCCTGCTAGCTGGCCTATTCATCGACAGCCGGAGGAAGAAAAGATAAAGGGAAAAAAAGAAAAAAAGGAAGAAAACGCTACTTGGTTGACTGAAAGACGGGCTTTTTGCGCACAACATCGAATACTGCCAACAAAAAGGGAGGGACTCTCCTACCTATATCACGACCGTTTCACTCTTCCCCCGAAGAAGACTCTGCCGATAACCATGTATTCCTGCGTCAACTACCCCCGTGGATGCCGTGGCCGTGTCAACATTGATGGTGCCAAATGCGCTACCTGCGTGGTATGTCTCTACTTGCCTGCTTACGGCTCTCCCCCTTTTTTGTTGATATATCATAACTGACATATACCCTCCAGGCCTCCAACCTGCGCCGCCCTGCTTCTCCATCTCCATTTGGCTCTGCATTCCGGTCCCAGCCAGCCTATAGACGGGCATGGCTGGACCAGGAGAACGAGGATGACGAGAAGTAATTCTGCTCGTTTCTTCTTCTCTTTCCTTTAATCTGTCAACCGGGAAAAAAAAGCATTCTTCATCTACGAACTTGACCTTGGACTGGATTCCGTATACAACCAAACAGAAAACACCACACTCCTTTACATACATGCCTGGGTGCAACCATTCAACAAAAAATAAAAACCCAAAAAAAGGAAGACCAAAAAGGGAAAGAGAGAATAAAAGAAAGTGTTTAAAAAAGCAAAACCGTCGTCTTATGAATGGCCTTTCTTTCAACATTTGGATATCGCATCGCATCTCTTTCAAGGCGGCCGCCCTCTGGACTAGGGACCCCCTATCTTTGGCTTCTACCTCCTCATCCTCTTAAGGCCCGCATCTCTTCCACATGATATATACACACATATTTTCACCTCTGGATTGGACTGCCGCTGGCTCCCCTCTTCCGCTCCGATTTCCCATTCTTATCATCGATATCGTACGACTGTTTATATGCCGAGCTGAACTGCATCTGGAGGCTATTGTGTTTTGCATTTTTTAGCAGATTGGATTTCTGTTTTTTATTGTCTCGTCTTTTCTTCTATTGTCCTTCTGGATTAATCGTCCTTTTGTATTGGTTTACTGTCTTGTTATATATCGGTTTTTTTTTTTTTTCGTCTTTTACTATAGCAACATACCCCCTTTTCGCATCTTCTCCTTTCGTCTTCACTTTTCACCGTCTTATCCCTTATTACCATTATTCAATACTGTTAAATTTCAGTTACGAGGGCCAGCAACAGCAAATCAAAACCAGACCTGGGCACTCATCTTGGCTGCCTCTGGATACTACTTTTCTCAACAGCCTCCAAGCCCCCACCAGCTTGCCAGCCCAACATAGACTGATTGGAAGGAAAGAAGAAGCAGAAAAAGAAAATACAGGGCGAAACACACTTTGGGTTCGGCGGTTTCAGGGGGTGGCAAAGAGGATTCCTTGATACAAAATCGATACATCTCGACCTCTCGTCTTTTTCAACATGCAAACAAAAATGCAAAAATATCGAGCTGAAGTCCGGCCGGCCAAAGTGGAGGTTTTTCTCGTATACTCAAACAAAGAACAAGAGGGAGTGCCACCATAGTCAACTATCGTCGGACTTGTTCTTGTTCGCAGGCTTTGAAATGCTTCGCCTCTTTATCTGCCTCTTTTTTTCGTTGCTGCCTTATTCGCCTTGGTATATAGACTTGTTCTACGCCTCTTCTCGATCCTGCGTCTGCTCACTAGCTAGTCCCTTGCTTGGCCCCGTTGGCGTACTTTTTGGCTTGTCTGCCTGTTTGCCTTGTCGGTATCCATGACGTAAATGATTGGTATAAGATTGGCTAGGGGAACATACCTGTTTGTATTATTGACGATTGTTCGCCTTGGTTAATTTCCTCGACACGACGCTCACTGTATTGCGATCATCAAAGCGCCGAGATGGTTATACATATACTCATTCATGGCCAGTAAGCAGCCTGTTTGTGATATTGATTGAACGGACGTACGGAGAAAGGTGGCTTCATCCTGGACCCAAAATCCCTTCTGCTGGTAAATTCTAACCTGTGAGTGGCAGCCTCTCCGCAAGGACAAGGGCTTTTTTTCGCTGCTTTCTTTTTCTTCTGCCTCCAGATCTTCAGAGCTGCTGCGTGACATCATCCTGGCGTTCGGGGGCTGCTGCTTAAATTTCTTGGTGTTGTTTCTATTCGGCTGACCGTATGTTTTTTCCATCGACCGCGGACCAGGGTATTCGACCCTATTCGACACTGCATTCGCCTTGCTGCCAGTTGAAGGGCGGTTTGCTGCTCACCTACCCTTGAAAGGGGGACATGCTCTATGGCCATATAACTACTCCGTACGCAGCTAGTTGACTAGCTGTTTAACTACGGCGACCTCCGTTGTGTTAGCTGGTGTGTGTGCAGAAGGTTGATCAACATGGAGATAGGCGATGCATATAGTTAATACTATATACTCCATTCCCTGATTTTTGTGCGTGGCTTCGTATAATAATACACGAATGAACATGCAGGGCAGACGCTCCGACGCCTGAGCTTTCAATAGCGATGGCTTGTTTTTTCGCCTTCGCTTATATCGCTAAGGGCGCCACGACGGCCGTTGAACCGACAGTCCAGGTCGACACCCTTGACTTTATCCACTAGTTAATTAGTTAGTCGAGTTAGCTGCAGATGAGCTTCCCTGGCCTGCGTGGGTGGATGGTTATCGTCTCTACTTACCGAATCGCATAAATCAGTCTGCAGGATATCATATTTGAAGCGTGTGTTAGGTACATATGTGTATGGACCTTGTTGCTGCGCGACTATGGCATCGTGAAACAAGGCTTAGAGCGCTCTTATGGATCCCATCGTTGACGCTATTTAGTTTTAGATAGAATGTGCTCTCAGATTGATTGAATTGAGTGGATTGAAGGAAGTTGCTGTCGATTTCTTCGTGATGATCGATACTATCGAGCCCGATGCGCTAGGGGAGACGGGTACAACATAGTGTCTTCGCTCCATAACACACACTATATATCACCTTTCTTCATCATGGACACCCAAGTATCTGTTCGCATACCCACTTTGCGGTGCGCGTATGGAGGCTAACTCCCTCCTCTTCCCGCGGCTCCCCGCCCGCCGATAGATGGGGATGGGGATGGGTCAATCTCCCAAGCGCTTCAAATACAACGAGCTGATCCCTCATATATACATCAACTGCCTTCTTCGGTATGATTATCTGTCTGTCCTGCCCCTGATCTCCTGGATGGCTTTCAAATTCATCCATTAGGTCTGTCACACATTGATCAATCATGCCTTTCATTCTCAGAAGAATGTTCCCGCTTCCTGCGCTGGATCTGGCAGTAGACCCCTTCTTGGGCTTCCCTTGTTTATAATCCCTCTTGCTTGGTCCATTATGGAATGACGAATAGAGTGCGTCTCTCCCAAGCCGGAACCCGGTCGACGTGTGGGCGACTAGAAGAATGTAGGTCTGTGAGTAGTGGGACGTTGCCTCTGATGTATGCAGATTAATAACCACGTCACCAATATTAATATGATGTGACTGCACCTCATCGAGCTCTGCATCGTCGATCTTTTGTGTGGCTGGTACCACACCTTGTTCCCCGGTGACCTGGCGACTAAGTTCTCTGGATAACGTCCTCATGATTTCTAGCTTGATGAATTCTCGAGCAGTTCGTGGTGGTCCTTGCTCCATGTTACAAGCATCCCCCATATCCGTTTCTTGGTCCCCGGCATTGTCAAGATGCTCGTTCCCTTCCTCCGAATTTACCTGCTCTCCATACGGATTTCGGTCACCGAATGCGTCATGGCTAAGGACTCCTTTTTTCCGCAGTTTCTTGTCCCTGTTGCGGCCCTTGGCCGATTTCGCAGAAAGTTCCTTTAGAAGCTTCTGTGCAAGGGTATCGGGAGCGAGGATTGTCACATCTATCTGCGTGATAAATCCTTTGTCAAACGTTTCCAGATCGATGCTTGGAAATATTACAGGGGGCGTTTCGGCCTGAGCTCTGCCACTGTCGTGCGACGGTGACAAGATGGTGTCCGACCTAGGTGTCCCATTTGCCGGCAGGGGTGAAATAACGAAAGACACTGTCCCCAATTCCGCCCATTGGCCGCTGGCCCATCCGCGTTTCTTCAGCTGCATAGATAAAGGGGGGAGGCCTAACTTCGCAAAGTTTGGAGCCAGCACTTGAGATATATAATCGTACGACGGGGAGAATGACACATGCGTCCCGCCTGTGATATTTAGCTGTATTTCTTTTGGATGCTCCCGTGCCGTGTCTGAAATACCAGCACCGGCTTCTATTATCGGTGTGCATGCACCGGCGAATAGCAGAAATGGGTAGAGAGCCTGGAATATCAGAGAGACCGAGCCTGGAGTTGATAGACGTATGTCATATTCTGGTTTAACCTTGACGCGCGGTGACGAGTACATAGAACCCAGTGATAGTTGCCGTAATGATGCAGCCGTCTGCTCCATGTCTGAATCTGCATATCTGCCTTCTTCCCCCTTGCTCTGCAGACGGCTCCCAACCTCCTGCCCCCTTGGATATATGGTGATTTCGTGATGCCCAACCTGGTTTCCCAATGCGGTGCCTCCGCAGACATCAAGTAAAAATTCTATAGCAGCGCAGTGTGAGCCCTTTAGCCCCTTGGAGCCACTTCGGTTCCCGCGTATGCGGCTGATGCTCAGTGGCTGCCCGGTCAAGGCCGATAAAGCGGCCGCGATGCGTACGAGCTGGCCTCCGCCTTCGAGCGTGCTGCCGTTTAGATGAAGCATGGCGAGTTTTCCCATGTTGTTGATATATAAATGCGCTGGCTTTGCAGAGGAACCTCACCGTCGATTCTTATTATAATCCTCAGGAGTGGCTGAGGTGAGTCATCACAGCGAGATGAAATGACTCAAAAATCAAGAGTACCTCCGTATAGACAGACATATCATATTGACTACTAGAAGCTCGAGGCAGAATTACGTCTGCATGTCGTTGAGTGTGACTGGAACAGTTACTCAAAGTTGCGCGTAGCTTCATATCGTCATCGTTGCCGTTGTTGACTGACAGACAGAGTTCAACAAATCTGGAGTGTTTATTTAGTTTAGTTACCTTTACCCAGCTAGTTATGCAGTTAGATGTCTAGGTAACTAGTCGGGTTAGCAAATGCGGATATTCCATGGGCGAATAACTCCATTATGGCTACCCCAAGCGCGGTATATAAGAGGGATTCTATCACCCAAGTGATAATAATATATATACCTGTTCGCCCAGCCGTGGCGGTTGGTCTGCCGTGTCAAACGGGAAGGATAAGATGCCATTTCTCCGCAGATAGCGCTGCCAAACACGAAACGCCGTAACTATTATGACATGCCTAAACGAAACCAAAGGCCTCCATGCGTTTCTCCTTTTCTCCCGGACGTTGCCCGTGCGTAAGTACATATGCCTGAGCTGCATAGCTTCAAAACATGTCCACAAAATATCCTATTCGTATGCCAACTCAAACCCCGTGGAGCGGCTGATAATAAGGTTAACAGGTGTGGTTAATTTGCACTCTCAAGGGTCGAGGAAACTAGCCGAGAACTCCATCCTTGGAAAAACAAACGGCCTCTTTGACGAAGAGTGAAACGTTTCGAGCGGTTTGGAAATTAACAGGTGGAGTCGTGTTTTGGAAAACAACCTTGCGACTCCATAGCATTCAGGCCTCGAGTTGGAATGGACGCTGAACTCCGGTCAAAGCATGTATGTATCGTACGTTCAATTTACTCGTTGGGGAATATGATCACTTGCCACCCTCGAGCTTCCTCATCTGGCTGCTTGTTATTAATAGTAATAGGGGGCTGACTAGGTTAGATGAAGGCGTTGAAGATGCAAGATATTAATTGCCATTTAAGGCGTGAAGGAGAAAACAAGAGGCTTGGGTTGGAATCTGTTCCTGAGACCAATCCATCGGCCAGTTATGCATCTTTAATACCCCGTATTCAAACCGGCTTCAAGAATGGGCCAAGGTGTATCTTTGCTGGCGGGGCGAACTGTGCTATCCAAGGCCGTAAAGTGTGAAGTATCCAGCAGCAAGTCCTAAAATCGTCGCTAATATTAATCCATTGCCCTCCCAGGTTAGAGCAAGATAGGCCATGATGCCTATAGCAACCTCCTTCTTCCTAGCAAGTGAACGTTTGCTTTGCCATTCGGGATCAATATCAAAAGGAGGGGAGAAAGGAGGGGAAAATATGGAGTCCTGGATGGCTGGAGGAGCCTTAAGAGGAACTGAGAGAGACAGCACGACCGCGCGGTGATCCGAAGTCTGGAAAAGTGGCAGTATACCGTAATGATGGACTTGGACTTTGGAAGACTGATCTCCCGGGTATGGATTTTCCAGGTATAATATGCGATCACACCAGCTCGGCCACCGATTTTTGGCCCACTTGAAGCCCGCCTCGGGGTGATGCAGGCTTCCCTGGCGGGCTTCTAGTGAGTATTTGTATGTTGGCGGAAATGCAATGTGCTGTTCTGAGAGATGATGCATAGTTCTGTTTGCTAGTCGCTCCTTTGTGAGTTGGTCATGAGCCAATAGGCGCATATAGTGGTTTCTACTGCTTGTGTCGTTTGTAGGCTGAGGAAATGAGGATATATCGCCAGGCTGAGGATCTCTATGTGATGTGCGATAGTTAACGTCGCCCGCAACAAATAGATACGTACCCAGTGAGTACATCCCACTGTCCCCTGATGTCCCGCGGTAGCTTGGGATTAGCGGTGTTCCTTCTTCGTCGTACTGTCGATGTTGGGCCCCTGGGCCTACTGGCTGGCCCGCTACATCGCAGCCAGTGAAGACGAGTCTCTGGCATATATCTTTCCAATCTTGGTTCCTTCGTTCTAAGGCGCTTTCATCTGGGGCAAGGTGCAATGAGATAAACGTTAAGGCAAGCTGATCCTCACTATCGTAGTCCACTTGGTATCCTATTCTTGCTCCAACAGCACCTTTGTTTCCAGCCTGGTGGACCCCAACTCCAACCTCTGCCTCCTCTTTCCAGGCTATGCGGTCGACAAAATCATCTCGGACGAACACCATGATTGCAGTCATCCCCACATTTTTTGTCATGACATTTTGATATCGCTGGTCCTCAGGTGTCGCCAGGTCAACAGCAAGTCGAAACGCATCAAAGTACCATTCGAGAAATGGCCCTCCGAGAAATGCATAGGCAATGGGCGCGACTTCTTGCAGTGATAGGACCAAGACTTCTGGGTAATTAACCGGATCGGAGTCCTTTGAAAGCCCATCAAATAAATGGGAGGCAAATGTATGGGTATCAATTGTGTTTCTCGCACAGTTGAAGGTCAGAATGTATGCATTCAGCCATGACTTTGAAGCCAGCATCGTTACGGCGCGAAAAGCATAGAAAAGATGACCACTTGAATGGGTTGAATAATCGGCTATGGCATTGCACTTTGTCCTTTTGCTTAACCGCTAATTTGGAGGATTAACCAATTCTTATACCCTGGAGCTCCGAATGGTCACGTGCCTGCGGTAACTAATCTCCACACGGAAATACCTCGGGTTCAGCAAACGCAAACAAACATCCAGACGACATCAAAACAACCTGGTTCAAGGGCTTTCGTGAAGCAGGCTGGCAATAATGAAGTTGGCAGTTTCTTCCTTGGCTGGAATCGTACCCCCAGCGGCTTGGGACTGACTAGTTTCACTATCAGTTATTTCGGTGAACAGAGTTGTGAAAGCCAGGGCTGGGCAAGCAGACATACCCTGGCCTGGAATTTGGTCATCTCAGGGGGCTTTCATAAAAGAGAGCGCTCCATGGGGCTGCCCGAGGTCCCGTTAGCTGGAGTCACTAGTTAACGGAAAGGCGGTGTCTTCTTGGCTCCTGAGACCGAACGAAGCGGTTGCCTTTGAAATACGGCTAGGCTATCAACAAGCCAGATATCAAAGCAACACTAAATTCTCCGATACACGGCTACCAACGACACTGGGTCTTGCCCTCTGCCGGCTAATCACTGCCTGCCTTTTGACCTGTCAGCCCGCGTTGAGATAGCTGATCCAGTCTTCATCTAAATCCGATGCAGGTCTCCTTAAGAATTTTTATTATTCTCATCATGAGCGATAATAATAATTGGGATGCAAGAAAAATCATTCACGACACCATTCGACTCCTGGTTCACCGGGTGCTCGTTGTCTGATAAAAACCTTAAGCACGGCAGTCCGTCCCACAAGGCTTGAGCTAAGCGGCAGCGTATCCGAATGCTCTGCTGCTTTCACAAGCACTTAACTTTTTATACATGGATCTCCGATATAGGCACCGAAGCTCCAATATCGGAGAACTGCAAGCTTATGTTTTTAGTTAGCTTCCGTCGGAATTTGAGAATCACGCCGATCGCGCATCGCGCATATGTTCCTTTGCACTGGAATGGTGGATCATTAGCCGTTGATTTTCTTTTGGTTTCAAAATATCGACCTTCACTTACCATCTCTGATCTAGCTGAATTTTACCCTGCACTTACTGGCAAATTATGCAGGTAATCACGATCCCCGACTCGAGTTTCCAATATCTGCACACTAGAGTGTGTTGATTCCTTACAGCGGAGAAACTTATGGGACGTAGTTAAACACCCACGCATATAGAGCCCCTTCAACAATATATGTGCTCCACGTTTTCATACAATACAGCTGTTGGACTAGTAGGTAAGGAAGCTGTGGATTTGTACCTCTGAGGGTACGAATGGGGAAGGTAATGAAAACTATATAGAATGAGAACAAACTAAGAGGCAGAATATCCATTTACCTTTTGTGCAATATGCAGTTGCTCAATGTTACCAGCCAAGATTACCGGTACGGAGTACCTAGATTTATGACCCAATCTAGAAGAAGATCCATTGATTTTGAAACCGTAACATTATAACTAACCTCCACCATACAGACAGTCTTGCCTGTCTCCCCTCCCCTGTAGATCTATCGTAGAGCGCCCTAGTTCATTCATTAAAACTGACAAAATCTTTGTCTAATACGAAAAGAAATAAAAAACTCCAAAACAATCTAAGTATGCGGTAAAACAGGATAAGACTGAGAATTGGGAACGGCGAACACATGAAAAAGGTAAGGGAAAAAATGAAATGGAATGGAATAAACGAAGGCCCCGTAAAACAAATCAGTGATGATACTTTTGGGAAATAAAGGAGATAAGGGACCAAAACAATGACATTTGCTTGGTTAACGAGGAAACCTAGTCCGTTACCAGTTTATGACCTGGTTTGGGAAGAATTCATCGATGAGTTCGAGGTAGTAGGGCTACGAATAAATATATCGGTTAGAATGAAAGTCAAAAATAGAAACATTTCAAGGCTAAAAGGGCTGTAGACATACCTTGAGATCTTCGATGTTTGGGATCTTGTCACTCTTGCTGTATAGATCGTAAGGGTTGAACTCCTGCACCGCCTTGAGCATTCGATGATCATTCTCATCCATGAGTTCCTGATAAGCTCCTTCAGTGTGCCATGGATAGCATGAGTGGTATCTTATCATGGCCAGTGCCTCCTCTGGTAGCGTTGATTGCGTTTTCACAACATTGTAAAGATATTCGTCATGGCCCCACGAGAGCATGACATTGTACATTCCACAGTTTGGGGTGTATATGCCAAACTTTGTGCTGTAAACCTCATGAGTCGAGTCTGGATTGTTGACAAAGGTTTCCGGGTATATGATTCGTTCATCGAATGCGCAGCCAACTGGAAAGGTGTCTCCAACAACATCCCACTGACCCTGAGCCCCAAAGAAGAAAAGAAGTTTCCCGAGATCATGGATAAGGCCAACTAGTTGCATCCACCGTGGTTTTCCGTCATGTCTAATGGCCTCGGCTGACTGAAGTAGATGATGGATTTGGGAGAGTGAGATGTCCGGGTCTGACTCGTCAATAAGGGTGTCGAGTTTCTCAATTGCTTCCCAGACGGTCATTCGCGCGCGGACTTTTGAGTGGAACTGTCGTCTTGCTTCGATGTTGTACGCCACCGTTTGTTTCTCATGTTGCTCCCGGTAAAAGGCCTTGACTTTCTCGCAGGCTTTGTCATATTGCCGGAATTTCGATTTATCTTTCTCCTTGTCAATAGGTGATGACGGCTGTGAGCTGGACTGCGCTAGCTTCGCCTTCATAACATTGACGAGGTCGACATCGTCTGATATTTGTTCCAATAAATGGCTATCAGGTATTGAGCATGGCTCTGTATCCACAAGCTTCCCCGGCGCCATTGTAGTGAAATATGCGAATTGCAAAGGGTTATTGTTGAAGGAGGGTTAATTCAAAAGGGTAATGAGTAGCAAACAAGTGATATTGAATTTGAGGGGATTATGGGAGGTATTTGTACTGTTCCGTGCAAAATCGATGATTGCCTGGGGGTGTAGTAGAAATTCCTTAATTAACGGGGCAATAGCTGCTTAATATAGACTTGCAAGTACTTAAATCCCGATAGTCCCGTAAACGGAAGACAACGCACTTCTGAAGCCGGAGAAAATTTAGTTATCAAGGGGTGTTGTATTACAAGCGCGTCGTTGCAGCCGAGCTCATGACCCTTTGTGGAACAAGTTTTGAAAGGCCTTATAGGACGAAGAAGTTAAGAATTGGATGTGATTTTGGAGCGGGTCCGCCGGGTATGTCAAGTATATCAATCAACAGGTGACGGGAAACGTGTTTGTAAAACAAATTCTTTCTGGGAAGGGTTGAAGAATTATAATCTTGTCTGCTAAGGAAGGATAAGCACAGCACTTTAAATTCGCACATCATTCGGCCTACCTGTTATATGAATATATAGATTATCGCACGCCTCACCCTCGCCCTTTTTTAACCTTTAGTTTTATTTTTTTGAGATTGCTTTCTTTTTCCCCCTTTCACTTTTTTTTCAGGGCGGGAATATGCAGAGACTCCCTTGTTCTGCTTGGTTCCTGGCATGTAACGGTTATCGTGCATGTAGGTCAGAAAGCGGGAAGGTACTCCGTACACAGTCAAGGCAAGAAACCACCAAAGAAAACAATTCCCATGTCACGTTGATATTGCCTATTTAAGGGCAATAAGACGAACGAACATGGAGCCAAGACACATGGAAAGCCCAGCGTCCTTAGAGTAAGTATGAAAGAGGCATAGCACTTTTTATAGACGCGGAGCTGTTGATATTTACCATTTTTAATGGTCCAAGCACAACGCAAATTTGAATGGAATGGGGGCACCTGCTTTGAGAGTACGGAGTACTCGGAGAGAATTCAGCTTGGACCCCCAAAGCCACATCCGTAAGCCCAAGGTTAGGGTGGGCCATTGTAAATTTCTGAATCTGAGTCCCGTCATCTGTAACTAGTTGCAGGACTAGATAGATGAAAGGTCGAGCTTTCTTAGCGTTTGTCTGGTCAAGATAAAGCGCACAGAAATGCGAGTACAGCCAACGACCCACTATTCAGGAGGTTTCTTGTGAGGAATCGTCGGTGAACAAAGCAGTGAAAACAACGAAAAGGCGCTCTTCAGTCCGGCCCACAGCTCTGCAGAAATCAGTTTAGAGGAGTCGGACAGGTACTGCAGGTTGTATGTATGTAGGTAACGGCAGCCTGCATGAATTGTTTGGCTTTAAAAGAATCAGACAAATGAGGGAAACGAAACTAGGGGTCAGAACAAATAAGAAAAGAATAAAAACGGGCGATCGGTGTAACGAAGTAACTCTGGCTTGACATCAAACAGGGAGATGCAGCAGGTACAGCTGGACCCTGAATCGTGAGTGACCTCGGCGCAGTCATGCCCCGATCATTTTTGTTGTATAGTTACCATTTGTAGGGGCAGGTGGGTACGAAGAGGGCCCGATTAACAAAGTGATAACGGCTGCTAATAATTTGAGCCCGGCACATCTCCCTTCAAAGTAGCGGTGTTCTTGAATGTGATGGAGGCCATTGCCAAAAGGTCTGGCCCCTTCTTCCTGCCTCCCCCCAAAGGTACTCTGTACTCGAGTAGTACGTTCATACCTCTTACTTTCTGGTTGCAGTCATACTGTGTGGTGTTGATCAACAGCTTCACAACTCCACCTGAAATAACGCCAGCAGCATTTCTGGAAAATGGATATCAAGTCCAGCGTCATCGCAAGGAGATCGTCAAGAATTACCCCTATGGGCCAAACTGAATGGCAAAGTAGGGGCGTTGTTAGTCAAGTTAACATCGTTTGCTTTTGAAAAATGCAGTAATCATAATGGGCCTAGCCACTTTGACGCGGACGAAGTGACATCTCTATTTTAAGAAGACAGATTAGGGGGAGAAAAAGGAATAGAATAAAACGAAAAATGAAGACGGGCCGTCTCAGTTGCTGGATTCGACAGTCCTTGAAGAGTCCTTTTCTCTTGGCCTATTCTTCTACCGTATATGTTCAGAATTTGATTGTCGGTTGTGTTTTGAACAAACACTGTCCCGAGTGTTCGGGATGGGCGAAAAGAGGCTTTGATACACATCAAGTTCAGCTTCCACCAAAAAATAAAAATTAATAATAAAAAAGAAGAACGACAACTCGTTTGCTGTTCTGGCTGTCTCGAACGATGATGTTCATTGATTTTCCCTCAACTATCATCCACATGAGTGCCTTACGCGGCGCATTGGAGGTGGGAGACGGAGGAGGTAAACATGAAACTGAGGGAAAATGTGCCTCAAAATCTGCTAGGACCAATGACGGCGTAAGATTCTTACCATCGTTCAACAGGGGCTTTTGGCGTGGCAACGAATCATTTTTGTTGGAGTTAGCCAGCCTTGGTTTCATTTTTTGTGTGTGAGAATGATCTATGGAAGAAGCTTTTGCGGCGGAGGTACTCCGTAGTTTACAACCATCTCTGCATTGAGGCGTTTGCAGAACAAACGCCGCTGGTAATGTGGCTGAAGGCAGACCGGCCCAAGGGCTCAGGCGGTTCCACTATCAACTAGTTAGTTACGGCATGAGGAAATGTGTTTTACCCCAAGGAATTTGGCATCAACAGCAAGTAGAAGCCGTTCTAAGCACTTCTCGACGTCGTCATGATATGGATGGTGCAAAGAATACGGAATGGAATTCTGTTAAGGTTGATGAAGGGTGAGCAGATGTCCAAAGGGCAACAAGAAATCGCTAGCGAACCTTATAATCGATAACCAGTATTATGTCTTGCCTACTCTGACCAACGAGAGGATGATGTGAGTCACTTCAAGGCTGCTTCATCTGATATCTTCGAAGCCCTGTGGCTGTTGATAAAGTGGCAGAAGCTCAGAGTATATCCAACTTCCTACTCCAGCAGTTGCTGGGCAGCCCATAGAACCGAAGGGCGTTGTGGGCCTCTACTGGATCCTCACTATTCACCTCGTGGCTGCTGGTGTGATCAATACCATTCTTCTTCACTTCCATGGCTGATCTGTACATTACTTGGTGAATATGCCTCCTGCGCGGTAGTTAGTTATACGAACCGACGAAGTTAGTGAAGTTAAAAGTTTACCGAGCTAACCTAGTTTGGTGAAGGTTTTAAGTTTGTCACGTGAAGAAGTTAGTTAGTTAATCAAGACGCCCTTTTCCTCTTTTCTCGCAGCCATATAGAACTCAACCAACCAACGATCAGCGACCAACAATCTTGACCTCATGCCATGGTAGCTGCGAAGACTTGGGCTAGTTATGGGGTCCTGGCAGCAGAGATGGCCGCTTGGGGTTTCAGTGCTGACTGTCTGCTGACTACAGACTCTCAGACCTCTCATATTCTGGAGAAGTACTCCGTACAACATACCCCGTACGCCGTACATCTTCCCATCATTAATTCGGACTCTCCTTTTTGGTTGGATAACTGGCATATTCGGTACATTCGCTACCTCTCAGCCTCGCACGCTAAGATAATCCGGATGCTAGATCATCTCGTGAAGAGGCTATCCGTATCCGCTGTCTGCTGTCTTTAAGGCAAAGCTGAAGGGAATTGTTACTGCTCGAAATAATGATCCTAAAGTGCAGACTGTTGCCATGAGATGACGGTTAGACCTGGAAGAAGGGAATACATAGATCCCTAGCGCTTCCTAAGGAGCTCATTCCTATGAGTCAGTAGCCAAATAGTTGTTGACAACTACTACCACATATATGGCCTGATTCGGTGTCGAATGTTGCCAGGCAAGGATTCTTGGACCCCTCCCCCCCCATGTTCTAGAGGCTGAGTGTCTCAATTCTAGACGGGCTGAGCGGTTGAGTGAGCTTGACAAGCTGTTCAACGAAGAACCCATCTCTTGCGAATTGTCGGCCCTTTTCTGGGCGTCTGATACCAACAAGCTTGAGGGAATTATTTCTAAACTGGGAACGGAGCTTAACCCGGGAGCTCACTACGAGGAAAGTATTAAAGAAACGGTAGTAATGAAGCACTGTGAGCTCTAAGCCCTCCTCGAAGAATCTAATCTTAACAAGCGGCCAACTAGATAGATGCTGACAGCTATCGCCACGTAAGGGTCCTAAAAGAGCCGGCAAGCCTCCGCATTATCGACACCCACCTGTTCATTGAGTTCCTTACCTACTAGATCACCAGCGAGTAAGACTAGCAGACTTAAACGCAAGCTCGGAGATAGAATGATTAAAGGAAAACTAAAAACCGAGGATGATAAGGTTTATCTGTTTTCACCCTAGAATCTGGTTACCGTCATATTTACAAGAAGCTCTATAATACCACAATCATGAAGGGGAGGAATGTGCCATTACTAAGGCTGGCAACCCCATTGAAATTGTTCACATTCTTCCATTCTCGATGTGACATTTGCGATCTCCGAAGAATTGCCATGCCTATGACATCTAGGAACTCTAGAACCTTTGGCCTGAGGACCAGGTAAGCAACGTGAATTGAGGTGTCACTCGGGCCAAAAGCCACTGGTTAACTAAATCAGCACTGAAATAGGGTGAGAAGTTCGTGGTCTCTATTCCCAAGAGGAATATTTGGCGGGATTTTTGCGGCCATCTATATTGGTGCTCTAAAAATTGGCCAGAGCTGGGCACGGGGCACCGAGATTGGTTTTATTTGTGAGTTTTAGGGAAACAGTGCTTTGGCAGCCTCTTGCGTATGGTTTCAAGCCACTATGCCGACAATTTACCGAAACCACTTACAACCTTCTTTCTCTTGCGCCACACAATCGCATCTATCACGCAAGAGCCTACTTTTGCCTTAAAGCCTATCGAAATGAATTAAGGCCAAGTATAACCTACCATCCAATTTGGCTGGCTGCCGCGTGCAAATTACTCGCCTAGGGCGAGGTTATCAGCGCAGCCATTGGGGATGATAGAGAAGTTTGAAATGAAGAATCCCGTAAGGTTAGGTTCTTCAATATCTCCACTAGCAGGCCTATTTTCATCTCGTGTCCCCTCTGGGCACCTGTGGATTGATTAGGCTACAAGGGTATCATGAGCCGGAACCGGCGAAAATCACGTCTCATCAGAGGCATACACCTGGACGCGAAGAAGCTGCGATACCTTCTCCAGTTCATGCAGCATAGCGGCAGCCCTGATGGAGTTCAGTGGACTCCTGATATCCCTTTCGCCTGCATCCCTAGGACCTTCGAGAATGCCATTACTACAGGACCAGACCCTAAAGGATGGCCGTTAACAGATCTTGTGTTACTTGAGATGCAACATGTGCTTAATGCTGTTGCATCCCTATTTACTGGGTCTGAACCCAATGATTTCGCCTATTCGGATCAAGGTTCTCCTAAAATGGCCATAGCCTAAACTTATGAAGACGGTATATACCATGCTTCAATCGGATGGGAATCTAAACTGGTGTCACGCATATAAGTATTTCTAATCTCAACGTTTTCTTTTTAACAGGACCCGCACAGATTTGTTTTACGAATCGTGTAATTCGGTTTGTTGAGAAAACGCTAAAAGCCATGGCATGAGGCGGTACTCAGTGCATCTGATAAACATGATTCCTTCATGCATAGTTTTGTTGATTCTCTTAGGGATAAGGGCACATCTTCGAATTTGGCAAGGAAATGGAACTGACACTTCTATTTCACGAGGTAGAATACATTATGCAGAGGACATAATAAGTTAATTAACGAGTCGGACTGAATAAAACAGTTATCTAGGTTGAAGATATCAATATATAGAAGACAGATGTCATTGTCCATCATAGAGGGGAGCATGTAAAAGGGCAGAAGTCAAGATAGGAGGCTAAAATGCGGTACCGAGTATAGGTGTATGGAAATGTATCTAGAAAAGCATGCCTTATCGTAAGTTAAGAAGCAGGTGTATAACAGACCTTCTTGAGGAAGTATGCAGGCTTGAATAGGAGGTATAGTATGTACGGATATTGGCACGTAGTAAAATGTAACCGTTCCAAGCCAGCAATATTTGGCTGCCCCTTCCTCGTCTGAGCCACGGTTGTCATGTCCACTTGAGAGTAAAGGCCATAAAAGGCGCAAGTTTCATCTTCTTTCAGTTTATCATATATAAGATATCCCCTGAAGCAAGAGCAATAATCCTTGAAACAACCAAGGTCTTTCTTTAGGCAGTGTAATTTTAATGCACACACGGCACCTTCTCCCCCGCAGAATGTGTGATAACTGGGTATTGAAGATCTCAAAAAAAAGGAGGAAGAAGCGACAAGCTAACTAAGAACGCCTCTCCGCCGTTGGATCCTGATGCTATGAACATGGCACGGCGCAAAGATGTCCATCCAGCTTGCCAGCTGTTGTTGTTTCTGCGGCTGCCAAAGGACGTTGTTATTTTGAGTTTGATATCATTACGTAACCGAACTTATCCGTTTCCGGTAATAGCCATGCGGAATGGAATAATAAAAGTCCATGTGCCGAGGCTCTATTCTGCCGTCTCCTGATTGGTAGGCGGTGGCGTCAGCCCTGGCGATCAACGGAATTTCGACAGCGAAGAGACAGAAAAAAAAAGGACTTCCAACTTCCAACGTCGGCGTCGATTCTTCGCTATCTTCTTCTTCTCTCTCCCTTCTCTTACTTTGCCAGTATCACCGTGGTGTACACTAATCAGCGAGCTTGTTAGATTTGTTCTGACAATTGGCGCTTGTTTCCTGACTCTCCGTTTTGATTTACACTGCATCTGCAGGATGGCTGACTGCGGGGAACAGACTCCCCACCAACCAAAGCTCCGTCAGTATAAACCACTCCAAATACATACAATTTTGAGGGTGAACAGCTACTAAATCCCGTAGAGAGAGTGGCATGCCAGCCTGAGAACCCTTTTTCAAAACTCATAACCGACCAATCAATTGCAATTGTCCCTTCGTTCACTCTGGAATCCGGTGTCACGCTGTATAATGTTCCTGTGGCATATACAACCAAGGGCAAACTCTCGCCGGCAGGAGATAATGCTCTGGTAGTATGCCACGCCTTGAGTGGAAGTGCAGATGTTAGTGACTGGTGGGGGCCACTTCTCGGCGGCCCTGGGCAGGCCTTTGACGTTACCAGATTCTTCATTATCTGTCTGAACAGTCTGGGCAGTCCGTACGGGACCGCTAGTGCAGTCACATACAAGGATGGTGACAAGTCAAGGGGCTTATATGGACCGGAGTTTCCATTAACTACCATAAGAGACGATGTCAAGTAAGTAAAATCTTCATGACGGAGTGTAATTTCAAGCAGATGCACTGGTACTAACTGTCTATACAGCCTCCACAAAGTAATATTGGACGATCTAGGTGTTCGCCAGATCGCCGCCGTAGTTGGCGGCTCCATGGGTGGTATGCTCACGTTGGAGTATGCTTACTTTGGCAAGGATTACGTTCGGTGTATCGTGCCAATCGCGACGTCAAGTCGGCACTCGGCGTGGGGTATAAGTTGGGGTGAAGCACAGAGACAGAGCATCTACAGCGATCCCAAATACGAGGATGGCTACTATCCGTTTAGTGACCCACCTGCCACTGGGCTCGGTGCTGCGCGTATGTCAGCGTTGTTGACATATCGCAGCCGGAACTCATTTGAAGCCAGGTTCGGCCGAAATGTGCCTGATCCGTCGAAACGACAGAACATCAACGGCACGCAGCGCCTGCCAACTCCACCCAACGAGCACTGGGCCGTCCATAATGATGGCCATAAAAGCACACGGCCGTCTCAACCATCAAGTGGAGCGCATACACCCAGGCCACAAACTGAACTTCAGTTCACCGACCCTCAGTTCACAGGTGCGGCCGTATACACCGCACATGCACCAATCCCCGCATCCCCAGGCTCTGTTGCTTCTCTAGACCTATCCAAGCGACCCGCAACCTACTTTTCTGCCCAATCTTATTTGCGATACCAGGGGGAGAAATTTGTCAAGCGTTTTGACAGCAATTGTTATATTGCAATTACCCGTAAGCTAGATACGCATGATGTGTCGAGACACCGGGCAGACCAAGCATCTCAAACACCCGTAAAGGATGCGCTAGCTCAGATCAATCAGCCTGCCCTTGTCCTTGGAATTGAAAGTGACGGCCTATTCACCTTCGCCGAACAGCAGGAAATTGCCGATGGCATCCCGGATTCACGACTAAAAAATATCGACAGCCCTGAAGGCCACGACGCTTTCTTGCTACAGTTTGAGCAGGTGAACAGATACATCCTCGAATTTTTCAGGGAAGTTCTACCGGACATAATGGCTCCTTTGGAGGCGGATGCGAATCCTGCAGGTGACCATGTTGGTAAGCTGACAAAAAGTAGCACGTTCGGCGAAGCAGAGGTGGAGGACATCACTGCATGGTGAGATTATCGACGTCAGCAGCGTCGTATTTGAATATAGCGAGTTTCCTCTCCCTTATTTTGACTTTTTGATATCGTCCCCGAGCATCCAACTGCTCTGCGATTCCCCTTACATTTGGAACGTTCTTTTGCTATGGCTAAATTTCTTTTTCCCAAAATACTTCTTTTCAATTTGGTCCTTATCATGATGGATGGGCGCAGTATTGCCCAGTGCAGTCTAGACAAATTTATGTATTCAACAACAACGCTGCTCAAGTGATATCGCATGACCACAAATTTTCAATAAGAGCCTCATCCCTCATCCCTCATCCTGATATATGTATAACATGGACTGGAATACGATGCCAAGCGATTTGGATACTTTGCTTCTCGGTGCGATTACGATTTCCTAAAAATAGCCTGCATAGAGCTAAACATGCTCCAGGGCCGCCTGTGGGAAAAGATTTCAACCTTTTTAGTGATTCCTTAGCGGCAGAACACGTATTCAGCATGCGTATACCACCCAGGAAACGAACACCATTTGAGCGTCTTCCTCACAGAAACTAAACTCGTCATCTTCCTCCCTGTGCAGCCAACCACAAATCCTTTTTCCTCTGCACTGCGCGTTCTATCAGCCACCGGAGGTCTTGTTACGTTTCTTTCTCACATTCAAACAGAACGTGCAAAAATGGTGTTGATGGTCGAGTAAGATTGCCTGATTCGGCGAGTTCAGCGCGAATACGAGGGTTACCAGACATACTGCGCCCCTAGAGGTGTGCTCTCTGTTCCTTCAGCGGAGCGATCTCCTTTGTGCGAAAAGCGGTCATCTAACGGCTAACCTTGAATAACCAGTTTCTTTGAGAGCCCCGACTGCGGTTGTTGACGAGCATGTACAGAGTTCTCGCATTGAATGCGATCAAGTCCTTGGTGGTGGACTCATGCCGGTTGTCTCTATGGAGTACTCCGTACGCTCGCTCTTCTCCTCGTTGGTCGATGTGAAAGATTAGCTAGCCCCTTGTGATGCAGTGTGAGAACATGCATGGCTCCCTAGTTAGGGTACGAGCCCAGCTCACTTAGTGACGCAGTTCAAATAAACTTCGCCATCGCTCAACAAGGTTTTTCTTCGACAGCCAGTCATTGATCGCTCGGCATTCCTCAGGAGAATGGTTGTTTTAGGCCCGCATATAATGCGAGTGCTGTTTAATTAACTGCTCGGTGCGCATATTGAGCTGGTGGTAGCCATTATGGAGCTACCTTGTCTTAAACATGCTTAGTTGCTGGAAGCTCGTCCCCGGACAGTCGCAAAAGAAACAAGCCGGCTCTAGTCAGCTAACGGGAGATAACTCTGCAGTATCCAAAGATTAAACCTCCGTGGGAATTTGCGCCACATCCATCTTACATCTTTGACCTCCTGCGCCAGTAAAAATCGGCTGTGAAGTAGAGTGGGATTTACATACCCCATATATGGAGTATCCAAAAAAAAAAAAACGACCCTTTCGGCTCCATGTGATCCGGAGTCTAATTAAGCAGCGCGCCAAAGTTCCAAAACAATAAAACGGCCTAAATAGAGAGTTTGGGACCTAGGAATTTGCCGAATAAGGAACCAAGGAGAACCGAAATCTTTCAGGCTGCTACTTTCTGCATCCGCTAGGTGGAGACAACGAAGCATTCTCCCACTAAAGCTTTTAGATTGATTCCCACGCAGCAATGCAGGGTTTCAAATATAAGAGCCGGGGGAGTCTCGCCCTTTTCATGCCCCAAGAAGCAGCTCACCAGCTTTCGCCTCTTTGTGACGATGACTCCTGTTGGTTATCTCTTTGGCAAAAGGAGACAGCTTCGTACCCTACCTTTCCGTCTACTTGATGTTATCTGGAATGCACCTGTTCTAGCCCCCCTTGTCTTACTATTCCTGTACACCTTAGCATCGCTTATACATTCATATAATTCCCTGAACTCGGCGTTGGAACGTAACTCCATATCGTTGGATGATCTGCCTCAAGGCTATGTGAAGGAACTCGAAGATGCCATCAGCAAGAATCAACCAACTCATAATATCACCATCCTGAAAGATAAAGAAGCGACGCCAATACCACGAATCATTCATCGAACTTATAGCACCCAAGAGTTCCCGGAAATTTGGCAAACAGCCTACAACTCTTGTCAAGCTCTGTTACCAGAGTACCAGCACTTCTTTTGGACTGACGAAAAAGCTCGCGATTTCATCGAGGCGAACTTCCAATGGTTCTTGGCAACCTATGATGGATATAGATATGGGATTCAACGGGTGGATGCGCTTCGATATTTCCTGCTTTGGCACTATGGGGGAATATACATGGACATGGATATAGGATGTCGACGCGATATTCGCCCATTACTCGATTTCCCGGCATGGGTACCGCGAACATGGCCATATGGCGTCAGTAACGACTTAATGGCGAGTTCTCCTGCCCATCCGCTGATGATAAAGGCCGCATTAAGCCTTTATGACCATAACCGATGGTATTTCAGTAAGTATATAACGGTATTCTTTACCACCGGACCAATGTTCTTCAGCGGGATCATTTTGTCGTGGTTCGAAATATTGAAGACGGGTGCAAAAGATGATACTTCTAGTTTCAGGGGTCCACACGGCCTTGCCATACTGCCTTCGCAGCTGTACGACACAACGGAATACACATTCTTTTCACATTTCCCTGGATCCACATGGCATGGGAACGATGTTGCAATCCTTTCGTGGCTCTATCATTATCTATGGATATTTTTCCTGGCAGCTTTTTCCCTTATGGTTGTCTCTGTTGTTCTTGGTCCAACGAGGCGAGCAAAGAGACGAGTACCTCGCTTTATGATGAAGCAAGAGTTGGTGTGAACAGGCCTCGAAAGTTGAACTTGAGAATGTTCAAGTGGTGAAATATACTCCATCCTCGACCGCGAACGCGGATATTTCCATCCAATGCATGAAAGGGATAGACCATTCGCCAGACATCAGAGACGCACCAAATATCCTACCAAATTCCAAGGAAGAGTGGTATGTATGAGTGTTTTGATTGCGGCCTTATCAAATGATTTTCTGCCGCCTCCGTCCATTATCAGAAAGTCATCCCAGCAATTTGATGCCGGTTGCCCAACTTGAAGACGATCCCTCCCCCGCCGTTATGAAATCACTGATGCGAATTCGAATGGGCAAGAATATCATTCTGGAGGTGGATGAAATGGGGTGCAATGCCATCTTTATGGAGTACTCGTGGTACATATATACGATGATCAGCGCTGTTTAACCTCGACGGGATCACCCCTTATGCACGCATAGCCAAGCTGCCTCGATGCGTCAAATACTTTAATTCAAAATAAAAAGCTAGAACAAAAACATCCGATTCGAGAAATCTCGGACACGCCCTTCAGCCTATGGGTAGATTAGAATGCTTGCGATAGGACTCAAAGACATGGTTCGGCGAAATTACAACATAGCAAGTGCTGGAAGGAAACACCTAACTAATTCTATAGAACAATAAATATGCACGGAGCTTTCCGTATGAAAAGACATTTTTACCTTGGACAGTCCCTTCCTTGAGCGAGGTAACTACTAGGCTCTTATTAGTTATGTAACTAATCGATCCTTTGAAATGTCTCGAATTTTCTGGATAAGGTAACTAACCCACTGCATCAAATAATAGTTGACTATTAGGCAGGTTCCGAAGGCCCAAGAGAAGGAAAGACACTTTAAAGCATTTAAACTCTCGTCCCATTCGGAGCAACCGTTCCAATCACATCTCCGATTTCAAAGATAACTAACCTGCAGTCTCCTTGTTATTTCGTACGCCGCGGCTGCATAACAATTGGCAGCCTGCATTTCTAGAACTTCGTTACACAAGAGGGTCGCTCTATTTTTCGCAGGTCAGGCCAATAATTAAGCAATTCATACTCCGTACTTGCGCTGGCTGAAAAAAGATTCGCTGCTGCGTCGCATGATGGCCGGCTCTATTGCAGCACTTGGTCGCCGGTTACTTCATGCTCGCTGGCGATGCGGATAAAGACTTCGGTAACTACTCCGTACACCTTGACTGAGTACGCTTCTTCAATAACTAACTAAGCACATGCGACCCCCAATCCCGCGCCCGAGAGCACCTTTCTGTATCGCTATGCAGGGATTGAGCAAGGTTAGCCCCTGGGGACCATGCCGAGGCGTCGATGAACCTGCTTGAATAAAGGCAAGCCTGGCTTGATATCAAGCATGCCACCAGCAGCAGACCCCTAGCAAAGCTAGTTAACTAGTTAATTGGTTAACTAACTAGTGGACAACCAACAGCGGCTGCCACTCGGAAAGCAGCCTCGATCAGCCAGCCATGTTTAATTCGTCTTACCAAGCCAGCGCCAACCTACAGAAGATTCTCAGATCTTCGGAATCAACAATGCGCCTAGTTAACCCCCTTAAACATTAGAGCCTAGCCGATCATCTGTCATCAGGTTGTCCCCTGCGGCTAGGCGTTGGGTTCTTTAACTACTTGTGGCTCCTCGAACTTGACAAACGGGCCCCAGCTGAAGGGGATGGATGGGCTGGTCAATGCCATAGTATGCGGCTTGATGCATGGATTCGACAGGCCAAAGGGAAATCCCAAGTTAGTTCACCACGGCCAAGAGCTGCATGGTACGGAGTAAAGCGATCACCAGCTACCCTTGCGGCCGGGAAGAAGAAAGGTGGGATGCGGGTGATTTGCAAGGTAGAAGGGTAAGATGCGGTGCGTAGGGTATATATGCACTGGCCTCCCTACAATTACTGGCATCCTTTCCCTTTTTTACCTTTCCTCGTGGCATTTCTCACTTGCGCACCCGTTTTCGACCTCGTCCATAGTCAAGACAGTGAGCGCGAACAATGGGGCTATTGCAGGAGAAGCCAGAGACGGGGGTGCAAGGGGATGTCGAGAGGAATAACGAGAATGTTGCCTCGGACAAGCGTGGCAGCGAAACTGTGTCTGTTTCTAGCTCTGAGCCTGACTTCTCTGATATCGACGAGAAGAAGGTGATCAGGAAGATGGATATCCGCCTAATACCTGCGTTGGCGCTTCTCTACCTACTCGCATTCTTGGATAGAGGGAATATTGGAAATGCAAAGATTGAAGGGTTGGACGTTGACCTGGGCCTTAAAGGAGGCCAGTTCAATTGGTGCTGTAAGCCGTGTCCCCTACTTTCAATTCTCGAAGGCGGCTGATGACTAGATACTAACTAACTACTACATGATCAGTGACTGTATTCTTTTTCACATACTCTGTCTTCGAGGTCCCATCCAATATCTTGTTGAAGAGACTGCGCCCTTCACTTTGTATGTTGGATGCCATGATATCGATTTGACGCAAGTAGGAGACGGATACTAACACCTGGTTAGATCTACCTTCGATTATGCTTGCATGGGGAACTGTTGTGGTAAGGCAGTGAAACGCCGAAAACATGCATCATGGTCTATGCTAACTAACGTCGGGGTAGACCCTGATGGGGATTGTACGGGACTATAAAGGATTGTTAATTGCTCGAATCTTTTTGGGGGTCGCCGGTAAGTTAAGCTGGAGTTGACCGTGTCATTGAGATGAGAATAGTGAAAATTCTGACAAACAGAAATAGAAGCCGGATTGTATCCTGGTGTTGCGTACTATATCACGATGTGGTACTGCAGGCACGAGGTGCAGCTTAGGCAAGCCATGTTTTTCAGTGCTGCTAGCATTGCAGGCGCTTTCTCTGGTCTGTTGGCATTTGCCATTGCAGTGAGTCACTCTCCACCTGCGAAAGCCATTTATCACTTGCCTAACTGATGGAATGCAGAAAATGGATGGGGTCGGAGGATACCAGGGATGGCGATGGATTTTCATTCTGGAGGGACTCCTGACTGTTGTTGTGGCTGTTGGCGCATTTTTCTTCCTTGAAGATTTCCCCGAAACAGCATCATTCCTGAGCTCCAGAGAGCGAGAGTTCGTTATTTATCGGCTCAAATATCAGGGGTCCAGTTTGTCTGGGAGAAAAGTGGCCCAGACGGAGGAATTCAAGTGGAAGTACATCAAAGAGGTGTTCACAGACTGGCAAGTCTATGCATCACTCTTCGGTATGCCCCTGATTTTTATTTTCTCTATTGTTTTCTTAGTTTCTCGCTCCAGCGCTAACTGTACGTGGCCAGTTTGCGTGGGCATCATCTGTCCCCTGTACGGCACCTCGCTATTCTTGCCGAGTATCATCAAGGACTTGGGATACAAGACCTCAACAGCACAGCTCCTGACGGTCCCCATATATGTGACGGCGGCAACACTTGCCGTTGTAGTCGCCTTCTACTCCGACAAAAGCGGCAAGCGTTCACCGTTTGTGCTTGGATGCATGTCCATGATCGGTCTCGGTTTCATCATCTGTATCTCTGCTGCAGGGAGAGGTGTTCCAGGAGTGGTATATGCAGGCGTTTTCATCGCCATCTGCGGTAAGTTTGTGGAGGCCACGAACAGACGAGACAAACCACAGAACACAGCAAAACTAACACCTAGCTTTCGCCAAAATAGGCATTTATCCTGCTTTCCCCGGTGCCGTGACATGGCTAGCCAACAATCTTGCCGGAAGTTACAAGCGTTCCGCAGGAATGGCATTCCAGATCGGAGTAGGCAACATGTCAGGAGGTGAGTCGAAGTCGAGTTCCTTTGTTTATATACGTACCTTTGATGATTGTTTTTTTCTTCGTTACTTTTGCTTTTCCCAGTACCATGGATTGGCTAACCTTTCCCCCTTAGCAATGGCGTCGAACTTCTATCGAGCGCCAGATGCACCCAAATACACTCTCGGCCACGCTCTTGAACTTGGGTTTTTGGTGGCGGGCGTGATATCAGCCGTCTTCATGCGTGAGGCATATAAGCGGGTCAACGCCAAACGAGACCGAGAAGGCACCCAAGGCTTAAGTGACCAGGAACTCAGCGAGCTGGGCGATAAGGCGCCTTCATTCCGCTACACTCTTTAACCCCGGCGTCGTTAAAATCGTGTCTAGATTCTTGCGATTTGGTACGGAGGTACTCCGGATAGCTGGGGAGGAGAAAATAGCGCATTGATATGGGGGCCCCCAACGCATGACTGTGTCTAGTGTTTGTTATGTATACATATAACTAGACAGGGGGAGAGGCGAGGGGCGAGAGCGTCAAAGAACAAAAGAACAAACGAGAGGAAGCGCCGAAAGGAGAGGACGTGGGTTCCCTAGCGTCAAGTTTGGATATATGGGTATCGTCTCCTATTCGCACGATGCAGGCGAAAAGTTGTGTATCAATAGCGCCGTTAAGGGGTAGCACAGATTGTGATAACCAGCCAGCCCGTTTCTCTCGTGGGACAAATGGAACCGTCTTGTAGATCATGGTAGAGAAACCGACCAGCCAGTCTACTAGTCCGCCCAGGCAGACAGGCAGAAGGGACGCTGTGCTGATTGCTGCCCGTCTCTTCCTCAGGCGCTTTCCTCTGGCAGCGCGGAATGGCCGAAAACTGGCGGGCAACCGGTCCCTAGAGCACCCAAGTTAACTAGTTAGCAGCAGCGGCAGTCGTAGCGAGACATGCTGGCCTATGGCGAACTATGCGGGCCTATGGCTGCGGCTTAAAGTGAAGACCCCTGGCCGATGGCGAGTGACCTCGGCCGCCCGCGAAAAAACAGTGGGATGCGAGGTACCACCGCATGCATGTGGAGGTACAGCGATCTTGGCCGGCCATAGCTGTGCATCGCTGGCCATCGATGCGCGTTTTTGGGCCCTCTGCCTTCCCTTCCCTTCGGCCGCACACGATCAACCGCTGTCTCAGGCCCGTCCATATTCTGACAGATCCGTTCGCCTTTTCTTCTTCTTCTTCTTCTTCTTCTCCTGCTTCTCTGCTCTCTCATGATGGCTTCAGACTCTCGGCTGCCCTCCTCCTCGTCGTCGTCGTCGTCCTCGCGGGCTGCTCTCGTCCCCCTCGGCCAACGCATATCACTCTAGCCATCGCCAGCCAATCCACCGCCGCTTCGGCCAAAGTGGCCCTCGCCCGTCCCTCGTCTATCACATCCGAGCAACCGCTGTCACTTGCCCTGTCACCTCTAGTTTTCGCCGTCGAGCCTCGGGCTGGCGGCCATAGTTAGTTGCCGCCCTTGCAAGCAAACACGAAGCCGAGCCCGAGAGATCTTCTCTTATAACCCGTGTCTCTGCTGCCCAGGGCCGGCTGCACGCACGCTCTGTCTGGTCTGGCAGATCTACATAAACCCGATCTGCTCATCCTGCTGTCTGTCTGTCCAAAAGAACATACTGTCAGACACACTGTAAGGGAGGCAAAATGTTGACCCAGCAAGCGTGGGACGTTGCCATGAGGCGGCGGTTCAACTTCAAGTTCACCAGTTCGGTGAGTTTTTTTTTTTTTCAACCCCTGTTCAATTGTTATATACGGAATTTTTTCGCATAGGATGGTAGGCTAACAAGAATGGTAGAAACGCCCATTTGTCTCTCCTCACCCCGAGCCGGTGGTGGATGAGTCGAGATACTACAATTTTGACGATACCCTGGCTCCCATACGCCCTGGTTCGCCCCTGACAGACCGGCCGGTGATTGAGCCTACGACGCTGGTGCACCTTCGACACTCCTGTATAGTGCTCTACCACAAGGTCAAGCACCAAGATCAGGATCTCCGGCGTGCTCCCATTCCTCAATCGGATCCGGTCTACTTCCAAAGCGAATATGAGCGTCGCAAATTGGCCGCTCATCCACCAGGTAGGCGGCCCATGGGCTCTGTGGACGAAGCCAATGCCAACATCTCTGGACACAGTATCCCAGCAGAGAGCGCATCGTTCGCGCGTCCTAGACCACCGCTTGTTCTAACAGACTTGCACTCTTCCAACATATCACCTACTTCTGGTCCGGTGGCTCCGAACAGTGCCCGTATCGTCACCGACCAGCCCTCCCCCAACATGGACATACGGCGGACGATATCCGCTCCCATTCATACAGAGGCTGGCGTCATAGTGGAAGAAGACCCTTCGTTTCCGTATACCTCCCAGAATTGCCAGATTCCCACCATCAGCCATGACACTGGCGTGCCCACTTCTCCAACCGGACCAGCAGCAGCCCCTATCCCTTCTCTCCAAACTCGGCCGGAAGACGCATCATCTCCTTCAGGTGGTCACACGGATGGCAGACAGGGCTACGCAGACAGTGATACAGCGACGCTCACACCCACAGAAGCAGACATTCGTCAACTTGATGAAGCCACGCCTGGACCTATCAGCCAGAGCATGGGATTGGTGCCCGTAGCCACACTGGCCTCCGTCGACAGATCTTCCTCGAGCTCCTCAAACTCTTCTACGGATGCCACCAACACCGCAGCAACTACAGTGACCACTACCAGCACATCCACAGATATTACCACTGCAACGGCAACTTCTACGCCGCCCGCTACTGCTGCGTCTGCGACGACTGCTGCCAGTCAGTTGTCACGAGTACAAACTTTCGTTAAGAAGCTTTCTAAGCTCGGATTCGGTAAAAAGAAAGCATCCAGCACCAGCCGAAGAAATGTGGGCTTGGGCATGGTGGTTGAGGCTACCTGAACACCGCTTATCCTTTTTCTCTCCCTTTTACACGCGATTAGCTGACTATATTCGGACTTGCACTCTCTCACCGTATAGTTCCCGCCACTCGGAGATATACACACACCACCATCCAGCTTCACCCTCACTGTCTCGCCCTCCCGTCTTTCTTCTTGCCTTTTTGCACAGCCTCTTTAGCGATTTCTCACCTCCCAGTCCCAACTTGGCGTTGCTTCTCCTGGTTCTGATACATCTACTACTTGGTTTTAATACGGCGCTCCAGAGACACACCGCTTGGCCGGGACTCAGTCGTCTCTTCCCTTCGGTTTGCATTCCATATACCCCTTGTCTCTCTCTGTCTCTCTCTCGTTCTCTCTCCCTTTCTATCTATGATGCATCTTTCACTTCAGGGTTTTCATTCCTTCTTCTCCCCGTCCTACATGCACCGTTGCATTTCACTCCCACATTTTCTCTCTAGCTAATGAACTCGAGTTCCCCAACCCTGTAACTAATGAATACGACCTGCATATTGTCATCCATGCATCGAGCAATGCGGGGTTCTTGCATATATAGTAATCATTGCCAAAAAATACGATAAAAGAATAAACATCAGTTATTGCTATGTATGTACATATGCATCTTCGATTCGCTTGCCTTGCTTGATATTTGATTCGCTGGAGGAAGGTTGGAGCTTAACCTCCAGCCTCGCAAAACACGTCACGGCAACATACATATATTTAGATGCAGTTCAGAGATGTAGAAATGAAGTAGAGCGTAGAAAAGGTGCTGCTGGTTGTATAACTAAGTAAGAAAGGATATCGAGGTGGTATATCATTTTGGCTGCAGTAAGTTGAACATCCCAGAATCTGACGAACGCCTATTGAAACATGTACCAAGGTAGAAGAGAGCAAAAGATATACGTCACTAACTAGTTAAACAAACTCTTTAGATGAAATGCATGGTCCCCTAAGTTATCCCGTTTTTCCCAGCTACCAACACAAAGGAGAAGAAGAAGAAGAGGAAAGGAGAAAATGAAATAAATGCAATGGAGGAAGCATAGAGTAGTGATGTCGGAAAGACGGAAAAAAAAAGGAAGGAAATGTAGTTGTCCTCGGAGATTCAGGTGTAGAAGGTATGTATGTATTTGATGTCAGATAAATTGGCTGGCGTTCTTTTGCCTTGAATGTGTATTATTTTAACGTCTCGGCCGCTTCATGTCACTCCCTGGGCCTGGCCTCATAGGGCCGCCCATGCTTGGGGAATGTTCGTGGCTTTCGTCTCCTCCGACTCCGTGTGGTCTGCCTCTTTTACGAGGCCAGGTGTTGTTGCCAGTATTGCCAGCACTGCCCCCTAGGCTGCTGGCTGGAGTTACAGGTGGTCCTCTCCCGTCCGGCCCTGCGTTTGGACCGTCTCTTCTGTCTCGGCCACGGTCTCGGTCTCGATCCCGACCCCTATCACCGCGGTCTCGCTCTTTGTCTCGATCCCCCCCTCTCTCACGGTCACGATCGCCACGATCCCGGGGAGGCCTATCGTCACTTCGGACAGGGCCAGCTCCTGCACCACCCCATCTGTCAATGGGTCTATCCATTGGTGGAGGTGGGGGAGGTGGTGGAGGAAGTGGGATTCCTTTACCGGCACCACTGCTACCACCACCACCACCACTTGCAGAGCCACGCGCGTCATCCCGTTCGCGTCTCTCTCTCCGTCGGCTGCTGGTTGGTGTTATGTCGGCAGTATTCCCGGCGGAGCTGTGGCCGCTTCGACGGGAAGAAGAGTCTCGGGAACCCCTGGCATCGTCAAGCTCGGCAACCTCGTCGACTCGGCCTCTATCACGGTCACGATCGCGCTCCCGTGGACGGTCCCGCCGATCGTCCTTCTTGCTGTCTCTAGTTCTTGAGCTCTCCTCGCCTGTCCGGCGCTCACGATCCCTATCCCCACGGTCACTGGCTCTTTCGGTGGGACGTTCCATGGGACGGTCCGGTGGCAGAGGGCCAGAGGTGCTTGGATGTGGAGACCGTCTAGAGCTGGATGCTTCATCTATGATCTCATTTCGACGGTTAGACCGGCCAGATCTACGGCTCTCCTCCTCTGGTGCCGGTGCAGAACCGTTAGATCGTGTTGGGAATAACTCTGATTTTCCTGTGCTACCGCCAGCAGAGCTGGTGTCGTTTGGAGGTTGAGATCTCGCCGATTGAGGTGATGGGCCGCTGATAGAGCCAGCCTGTCTATTCGATACCCTGCCTCTACCCATAGGGCCTTGTCCAGGTTTATCACCGGGAGACCCAGACGATTGTTGCAGCATATTGTTAAGCCCAGCAAATCTCTTGTCTCCTCGTCCGCCTTCGCCCGTTACGGCCCCCCCTGAAGGACGGCCACGGGTAGTTGGAGACGCACTCGGCGGACCATGGGCGCCACCCCGCGGCCCTGATGGCGGTGCTAGAGGAGTTAGGTTCTGTTGTTGGGACGGGGATGCTTTGGGTCGGCCTCCTTGGTCGTTCGGGTCTTGCATGGCCTTCAGCCGGTCAGGGTGAATTCCGGATGTATCCATGTTATTGATATTAGCGTTGGAGTCCTCTTGCGCGCTGGTCCCCTGAGAAGGGCGATCTTGGTGGGATTGCCCTCGTTGTCCGGTCCAGCTAGCTGGCCCAGTGGGGGGTTGCCGATCGGGGTTGGCAGACGGGTTAGACTGATGAGGTCCTGCGCCAGACACTCTGCCACCACGGCCAGACTGGTTGTTTCTTCTTGGGCCTGACGGAATGTCAGGGTTGCGTTCGAAACTGTCTCCAGAACGGCCGGAAGGGAATCGCGAGTCTTGATTTAGACGGCCGTAACTCGGGTCTGGAGGTGGTAGATGCCCCATCCTCCCATCTCGCTGGTAATCTTGGGGCGGACGGTTGTCGGACATGCTTCCATGCGAGGCACGAGCTCCACGGGGTCCGCTAGGTAGATCATCATGTCGAGCTGGGCCTTGCGGTGCAAGACGACCTGGCATATTTCTGTTATCACGATCATCAAGCCTATCCATTCGAGATGAAGAAGGCCGTTGCTCTTCCTGCTGAGATGGAGTTGGAGGGCGTGAGCTATGGCCATGTGGTGGAGGCCTTCTATCTTCCCTTGGTGGACGCCCAGGACGATGCGGGTATTCGTGTGGATGCTGCATATTAACATCATCCCTCATTGACCGAGGGTGGTCCGGCCGTTGACTCAAATTGTCTGGCGGATTAAGCCTTCCACGACTATGCCGTTCTCTCCATTCTTGATCTCGAGGACCTGTCGGTTCTCGCATGTGAGGTGGCCGTCCGAGATGGTCTTCTGGGTACGGCCTGTGTGCCATGTCCTTCTCTGAATGCCGGCCAAACCCACGAGGCTCAACCATGCTTGGATGATCATTTAATCTCTCATGGTCGTGAGGTCCGTACCTAGAAAGGCGGCCGTGTTCAGAATACTTGTAATCCCTTCCGTCTCGTCGGTCTCCTGATGGATCATTTGGTCGTATCCCAGGAGTTCTTAAGTCAGAATGTCGATACTGGCGTGGAAGGTCTGGTTTACTGGGAAGGCTAGCAGGTGGTCGAAACCCTGCGTTGTTAGAGCCCTGTCGATCAACTTCTATACGTCTTGAAGAGCCAGATAGATGTGAGGATTCAGAAGGCGTCCGGGTGCCAGCAGCAGAGCCCGTTCGTGGAGACAGGTCATTGCCGGTGTCCTGGGTTCGGGATTCCTCTCTGTTGGGAATGGGCGTGGTGCTGCGGTTGACTTGAGTTTCTGTAGGCTCCGGCGCCTGCGCACCTTGGGATTCATCAAGGTGCAGCGACGCTGCCTCATCTGTTGTGGTTTCTTGGAGGGCAGGTGTGGGCGTTGGCGTAGCATGACTAGAAGACTTGGTTTTGATGGACTCTCCTGTGACTCTCGATTCTTCCTTCTTTGCGTCCTCAATCTCTCCATCCTCTACCTCAAATCGGCCAGTGCCAGAAGTCGTACCGTTGGTTCTATAGGTAATCAGAAGCTGTTCGCCAAAGGATTCATATGGTAGGTAGGTTCGACTCACTTGATGGTTGCAGCAGAAGGTTGAAACTCAGGCGCATTGACATTAAGGGGCTTGGAAGTAGTTGACTGAGGTTGCGGTGTCCGTGGCTTACCACTGGCCACTTTATCTTCCTGTCCAGCGGCTTCATTTTTCGGCGTATTGCCGGGTTCCCCACTAGTGGCAGCTGGGTTCAGAATTGTGAACGCTTGTGGAAGCAGCCATTTTTTCTCTCTCCTGCTCAAATCTCCAACGAGCGTGGCTGATGGGATTTTGATATCATCTCGAGGATCAGAATTTGTTAGTGCAGTCACGCATGTTTGCATATCACGACCAATCCAGTTGACTGCAGGGAAATACTGAATAACGGCTTTCAAAATGCTAATTGCATTTCGAATGTGCATATACTCGCCTCCAGACAAACAGGTTTTGAGAGATGAGCTGAGTTGCCGGTGCCATTTATACAAAATTCGTCGGAAATCCTCGTAGTCTAGGAATGTCGTAGGTTTTCCCTCAGGATCCATGGTTCTAGCAAACCCAGGAAGATCACGTTTAGCTCCGAATGCCTCCTTTTCGTAAATAGCTTTATCCGCATGCCATCTACTGAGATCACGTAGAAGTTCGTGGAGGAAGCGTCCGAAATTGTCTGCTTCCTTCGCAGTACACTGAAATATTATGCTAGTTAATCGTTGATCCCTGAAAAGCTGGTCCAGTAGGCCCACTGTTCGGAAATTGGGGGTGCCGGACGAGTGAAGATATTTGAGCATTTTGAAACTGTAAAGGGCATCAATAGGAGAGAGCAGGGTACGGGGGAGGAAACACTGCTGCATGAGAGCAATGTTCAGGGCTTCGTGTTTAACACGCATTCCGACAAACCATTGGCCTTTTTCCTTCTGCAATCTGGCACGAGTTTGTCCATAGGCTCTGATATGGCGCTTGTTCTCATCCAAGATTTGGTCGTGAAGTTCATTGATTTGCCTTTTTTCTCTTTCCTTGCGTTGAGCACCAGCGGAACTCATGTCCGACCTGTCGTGTGAAATGGCGATAACCCGCTTCTTCAAACGTTCTGTCTCATCCTCGTAAGATTTTTGAGGCACATAGATGTCATACAGAGAGAGCTGCCAGAATGTAATATAAAAAGGTAAGCCAACAACCTCCCAAAGAGATTCAGTAACAGATGTTTTCATTTGATCCATTAGCTCTTGGACAACTGAGTTGAATGGCGAAGCTGAGCTGGCAGGTTTCTCTGGGTTGATGGGATCCGGTGAGGTTGATTCCGATGAAGTTTTCGCTTCGTCACTCGGCACTTGGCCATCCACTGCCATCTCCTCTCCCTGCTCAGCTGCTGATTCGGCACCCTCTTTGTCTTCACCCATTTCAACGTCGCCATTAGGGCTTTTCACAGGCGCAGGTGCCTCTGGTTCCGATTTCTTTGCTGCAGCTTCTTGTATCTGTTTGCTCGCATCGGCGACCCGCTGAGCAATGCTTGGACGCGATATCCAGAATGCCACTTCAGGCTGTAATCCGAATTCACTAATCAGGGACACAACATCGGGGACATAGACGTTAAATTCATCAACCGTGAAGTTGGATCGTAGGAGATCCAAATATTGCGTTAGTACCCGATGAGTCTCGTCGAATATATTACCTAGTAGCTTTAATTCCGCATCAGACTCGGACTCCTTGAAGATACAGGTTACTCGTTCCTGAGCCATGGCGATGAGAAGCAATCCAGCCAAATTGGAATCAGCCAGCGATTTCATAAGTCTCTTTGAAGTTGTCTTGGACTCATGGCGTTTATCCAATAGCTGGAGCATTGTTTGGGATTGTAAGACTTCCCCTCCAGCCATAGCTTGGAGTTGAGCATCGTTAAAGCTGTTATCAGTAACAATGCCACCCATTGAACTGATGAGCTGTTCAAGTACGAGGAGGTCGGTAGAGTTGTTTTGGCGTAACTGGTCACTGACGTACTGTAAGATGGGGATTGGGTTCATAATGCTGGAGTATCGTTTAAAGACTCTACCAGCGAATGTGGCCAAAGAATTAAGCCAGCGACTAGCCAACAAACCACTGGCTTGCATTCTGTTTCTCCCCTTTTGCCCCAATGAATTCACTAATGCCCAGGTTAAAACGTCATAGCCGAGGAATGTGAAATATCGCGCGCATTCGACAATAACTTCAATCAAATTTTCGTAGGATTCGATTTGACTGATGGCAACATTAATCACTATTCCGGGGTTTGCATATGCAATTTTAGCCAGTGTCCTAGCCATGGGTCGTAGATTTGTCTTGCTTAATCGTTTCAAGGAGTCCTTCGTTTGAGCGCGAGCCAGGTCGAATGCCGACTTGATGTCTGGTAGCCTCGACACTTGCCCAATGTTCCATTCTGCATATATCGAAAATCGGACGTCTTGGGGAAAATGTTGCAGTAGCTCGAATATTTCGTTAACCACTCCAGGATTAACTTTGGTTAAACTGAGGGCCGGGACAAGAAGGCGCTTGCAGAGGTCTTTCCAGCGGGAAGCATTAGCTTCAGATGGGTCGTTCTTCATGTTGTGGCTACCGATACGAGCCAATTTTGTGAGTAAGCTGGGATCGTTTCCTATCTTTACTCCAGAAAGGTTTAGGAAAGATCCGCAGAGGGCGATCACATCGTCAACGGATTGACAGATCGGGATATTGTCGGCCCAATCATCCCAGTAGAATCGGTAATCAGTGCCATCGTTGGTATCTTCCTTATCTAACTGTGCCCAGCGGAGGATACGTCGAGGGGGTTGGTCTCCTAGCCGAACTTTTCCTGACAGCGTAATTGATTGATCAGTACTGACAATCTTCTTACGGGTCTTAAGTTCATCTTGTTCAGCCAGTGGCCTAACGTTGTTATACACCTTGTTCAAGCAGTGGTGAATAATGCGGTGAATAAACTCAAGAAGTTCGGGGTAGGCATCAAGCAACCATGGAAACTTCCCTAGAATGTACAATGATTCTGGAAGAGCACCAATAGCAAGTAAACTTTTTAGGAGAAGAACCTTTTGATCGGCTGGTTCGGGTAACTGTTCCTTGTCCTCGGCCTTGGGGGCCGCTGTTTTATCCTGGTCATGGTCCTGGTCTCGTGAAGGGGTGGCAGGTCTGGCATCCGGCTCCCTGATACGGGGAGGGGGCGGCAAAGTGTCATCAATCAATGCACCAGCAGCCATCAACGCATTAACGGCTCCACCATGGCGAGAAGCCGCCTCCCTTTCTGCCTTTTCCTTCATTTTCTCTTCCTTCAATGTATCCATGGATTCATCCGGCCGCCAGAGATGGGGGTATAGATCGCGTAGAGAGATAAACCCAACTTTTATGAGAAGTGCTGCAAGGTATATTAAATTGTCAGGAAGAACGTCGGATGGATTTCGTGCATTAGAAGAGTAATATCGAAGTTTAAAGCCGAGAAGTTGCGCCGCCACTCGGTTCCCTCTGGGTGGCAGCGTGCCGGTTTGTTCAATCCATTTTTTGGTTTCGCCGCTGTCGTTCACTGTGTCCCCTTCAGCTGCCGATATATACTTGCGCTGTTCTTCCTCCGAAATGGGCTGTCGACCAAGCTCAAAAAAGGCACGTATGCCAATTTCCCTTACTCTATCCCAGAACTCTTGGTCTCGCGTTTCATTTAATCGTAACATCTCAGCTCTTTCTTCATCAGCTGTTGACCATCCAGGAGATCCAGGCAAAGCCCATCGTGGTAACCCAGACATTGAATTGTGTCCCTCTAGAACCCCTTCCTTTGGCCACCATGAACTTGCCCTTAGAAATTTGACACAGAATCGATACTGTTTGACTAGAACAGCAGCGAATACGTCCAAGGTGACGTCAAGGGCCCTTCCAACGTCCATGTCAAAAGCACCAATCATTGCCTTTACACGTTCGAAGGTATCTTCAACCACCTCACTAGAAGGGGGCTCATTATTACTTGTGGTAAAGAGCTCCGTTAAAAGTTTTGAGTATCCTTCTGACTCTTCTCGCAGTAGGTTATAGTTCGACTGCCGGTATAAGAGGTTGGTCTGTTTTCGTATTCCCATGCGGGCAAAAGTATCACGGATTAGGCCGAGGGATTGAAGAAGAGGGGTTTCCAGCTGTAGTCGCATAGTCTCGGGGGGAATTCCAGTTGAGAATATAAAGGGCCGGAGATTAGGGTTAGAAGGTTCACTTTCGGTGAGAATGGAGAGCGTGTCCAGGAACATTGAGCGCGGGTCAAGAGTTGAGTCTATGGTATCAGCATCGCCAATAATGGCACGTACTGTGTTCCCCAGGTCTTGAGGTAACACACGGCCCTCAAGAGCCAGCTGCACAAGCTCTTGAAATACTGAGGATAGGGTAAGAGAGTCACCTTCCGCTCGAGCCTTTGTGCCAACCTCTATGACGGCTGGCTGTCCGGTTCCAATCCAGTTTGTAATGCTGTCGGGTGAAATATATTCGTAGCAATAGGAAGACGGCCTCGTAACAACGGCCTGTTGCGGTAATTCTGCTGGGACGGCCGGGGATTGAGTGACTGGTACACCATTGGGTTTGGCCGGCTCGGCTTCGTTGCTATTTGATGTGGGGACAGGCTTCGCAGGAGCAGGACTCTCTCGCAACTGCGGCTGCTGCTGGTGCTGCTGCTGTTGTTGAACGTGTGCGCCATCGCTGCCTCTCCTTGCATTTCGGCCGCCTCGACTAGACCTCCGGCCACCTCTCCCACGGCCCTCGTAGCCTTCCCTGCCTTGCTGCTGTTGCTGCTGCTGGGCTAGATTCAGATTGCTTGGGCGATGCGGAGATGGCCTAGGGTTGTCGTTTGACGAGTCTCCAGACCAGCTTCTGTCGCCTCTCTTCCGCTTATTACCCGCAACAGGAGCCATGATGGGCTTCCTGTGCTCTGCGCGTGTCGAGCCAGTAGGGGTGGAGAAATCTTTGCCTTAAAACTTGATGAGCCGCATCCACGTTAGCTTTCTGTCGGAACCCGAGTAAATAGTCAACAACACTTTCATACCTTGTTACGGTCACCCGTAGTGGGTATAATAGGTAGACAAGAGCTCTTCACTGTCGTACGGAAGACTCTGTAGCCGGTTGTCGCGATGTTGACTTGTTCACGTCGTCGTTCCTCTTTTTCGTTCAAGTTTGATAGTTAACTAAAGCTCAAAGCCGCCTAGTCAAGTAGTTAGTGATTTAGTTTATTACCTAATCATTTGTCACGTGTATAGTTACAAAGCTAAAAAGAACCGCCATTGGACGTCAATTGAAAATCAATCTACAACAACACAGCAACAATAGAAGTCTTTGCAAGAGCCAGCCTTTGAGAACTGTGGCTTGAATGACTTTTGCTTCAAAAGATTCCCACAGCCATAGCCTACTCTAGTGGTGTTTCGCTAATGGTCTATTAGTTTTACTTCTGAATTCAGCCCTGGGCCTCAAGCAGAAGGGATATATTGAGATATGTGTCTGCACAGCCTGGAGTGATAAGCAGCATCAACTTGATCCCAGAGACTATGACTCTATCGCGAATTGAGTATTCCAAACGGAATAGCTTGGGTGTAGAACAGACGGAAACGCAAACCAAACCAAAGCTACTCCTTTCCCAGTTACCTAGCGATGAGTTGGCCACAATGGATTTTCGTGGATCTTCCTTCTTTAAAACGAACAAGAGCCTTCCAACGACAGATGAAGTCATGGCTTTGTCTACTTACCCCCATAAAACATATTATGATCCACCTCCTGTGATTTTTGATCAGCTTGGCTTGCTCGTGAAATTTGGTCAACGTATTACAATCGCTGAAGCTCAATGTGTGTGGGCAATGCAAGAACTGTTTGGTGACAAAGTGCCTGTTCCGGAGCTTTTTGGCTGGCGAGTTCGAAACGGGCTCGTGTTTATCTACATGCAACTCGTCCGTGGGGATACCCTAGCAGACAGGTGGGATTGTATGCCTGAGAAAGATAGAATATCTATCTGCGACGAGCTTCGTGAAATCATAACATCCCTACGGGAGCTGCGGTATGGTGACACTGATCAGCCATTTATTGGTGAGTTTTTCCTTTAGTTCTCGAATTTGTTGATACTCATCATGGGATTGGTAATTTAGGATCAATTAACCGACAAAATGTTCGTGATTATATTTTTGTAACTCGCCCACTTGGTGGACCTTTTGAGACCCTTGAGCAGTTTCATGACTGGATATCCTCTTTACCACTTATCGGACTCTCTGTCCCTAGCAATTATGTTGATCCCTACAGGTCGTATTTACCGGATGATGCGACTATCAAGTTTACCCATGCAGATCTTCATGCACGCAACATTATTATATCCCGAGATAACTCTCCAAAGATTCTTGCACTTATAGACTGGGAGCAGTCTGGTTGGTACCCGGAATATTGGGAATGGTGTAAGGCCTGTTATACCTCTGACTGCTTTGGAGAATGGAGAAACAAGTGGATACCAAAGATTTTCACTGCATACCACGACGAGTTCAACGTTTTTGCTGAGTATATCCATTTTATGGGGGCCATGTAGACAATTTCAAAGCGCTTTTATCTAGAGACGGTAAACCGTATAACTTGAGTACAAGCCTAAAGGAATCGTAAAATGTGGAAGATCAAAACAGCTGCTTAGTGGCATAGCCTATATTGCCGCCTATAATACATCAGCTGAGGGGCAACTAAACTCCCTACAATCATCCTTCGCGGGATTTTAAATAGGGTTTACCGGCTTTTTCATGATATGTTGTTTGTTTAGGGGACGATACAAGGTATGGAATAATCCATGTGCCGTCGTTTTTTGCCAACTCTTTTACTCCGTAATTGAATGGCGTTTGGTCCATATATAGTATCCGAAATAGCATTCAAAAACTGGCTTTTCAGGAAAGCCTAACAGATTCCTTAGTGATCAAAGCAATGGGATAACAAAGGCCGACTTTGACAGGACACGTAGAGCACCCCTAACCAGACTCCAGAGCTGTGTTTCTATTTTTGACGCTGGCGGCAACTGAGTTTGAAACCAAACCTTATTATATAATCGTTCTCAGCCTCTGTTTTGGCGCATTTTCATTGGTTGGAAGAAGCTGGGTCACGTGTATGAGAAGTACCCTGGATTTTGTTAATTGGGGGAACCAGCAACGACTATCCTACCTTCAGGTGTGAAGATCGACTATTCACTCTTGAGCATGCATGGTGGCCTTGATTTCCGTTCGAATGACAAACCAAAGACGGGAAACGGAATTGGGGAATGGGGTATTATTAATCTGAACTCTCGTCAAAGCGGGACTCGTATTCCTTGTTCCAAGTATAAAACAGCAGCTCCATCCCCGCAGCATTTGAGACTTGTTGAATTCAAACAGGCACCATTCTAGCCCTTATTCCGGGAAAACAAAAGAGAAGGATAAAGGTCATACCCAGTCTGCAAAAGCAAAAGAATGGCATCTTCTCCCATAGTCCTGCAGGGTGGTTGCTGCTGCAAAAAGATTCGCTACACTTCTACTACACTGCCGAAACACATGTCCAATTGCTTCTGTATCACCTGCCGCAAGATATCCGGAGCCCCTTATGCGACTTTCGCTAGGTTTCCCCGAAGCTCGATAACGTGGCTGAACGAACCTCCTAAATACTTCCGGTCCTCGAACTTTGCTAAGAGGGGTTTCTGTGGTGATTGTGGCTCGACCTTGACATACGAGATGGACGAGAGGCCGGACTATATCTCCCTCTGTCCTGGCTCCTTCGACGACTGGGACGTCAAAGGAGAACTCATGAAACCAACTGATCATATTTTCCTGAAAGAAAAGGCTGTTTGGTTTGACGTTCCAAACGATGGAGTGAAGAGGTACGCAGGGGATGATGAGGAGTAGGAATTGTTTCTGGAAAAGCCTCTGTCTAGTGCTCTCGATTTGGCGATTCACAGCTGGATTTGTTTGGAAAATTTCCTATGATGCAGGAAATAGCAGGTCGGATTCGTCACTTATCACATACATATAAGATGTATAAAAAAATTTGCAATATAACCATTTGATCAAGCTAGTACAATAATAGCACATAGTAGCTACATATGTCGTGACCTACAGATAAGCAGTGGCTTCCAAACATTATCTAAAACGTACTGGCGGCCAATCGACTGGCAGCATTTTTAGCATCGACTCGATCGTCATCCTCCTCAATGATGGTTCCGCTGCGAGATCTTCTGCCTGTTCCGTGGATACTTCCATTTACATCATCATCAACCTCTGGTACCGGCGCCACGAAACTTCCACTGATACTTCTGCTTAAGCTGTCCCCACGACGTGCAACACCGCTCCATGCATCACCCTTCGGGCCCTGGCTGGAAGCCAGGCTTGCTCGTCGAGCAGCGGGGTGCGACTCACGACCTAAACGACTCAACCCACCGGAAGAATCAATAGAGCGGATATCTGCACGGACACTCTCTAGGGTACTCAGGGTTCTGCGTTCAGCCTCGATTTCTCGGAGAGTATATTCACGAAGACTAAGTAGTAGATCGTTTGCTGTCCGATTAAACCAGCGGCGCTTCTCCTGTAGAAGGTTGTTAGTAACTCGTTGGGTTTTCTTTAGTAAATATTCCTCGTGGCCTCGAGCATCGTCTAGGGCGCTGATAGCTTCATCCACCTTGTCCGGGCGTACAGAGGTGCTAGCCTTCAGACGGTCTGCTGCAGCTCGCTTACTGCTAGCTGCTTGCTGGGCCTGGATCAATTCACGAAGCAGGATGTGTCGATTTGTTAGGGTTTCCTTCACGATAAAAGCATCTGACGAATGGTAGTTTAAAGGATCGCCCAGAGTGGTCGCTTCAGCTGTTCCCTGGGCAGCATGGTAGTCTCCAGTAGTTTGAATGATTTTGCCGAGCTTCTTGTAGGCATTGGCGAGCCCAGCATGGGTCTCCTGAACATGCATTTGTCCTAGTTTTACCCCAAGATCGGATTCCGCAAGGGCGAGTGCTGTTTTTTTGACGTTGGTTAGCGCTGTATAATCAGATTATATTTTTCTCCATAAGGGTATTCCGTACCTCTCCTGGCCTTGACCACCCGGTCCACCTTCTGACCAGCCTCCATGGTTCCAAGGTAAAAGAGCTTCACCACTGGACGTGCATCATGAAGCTCTGGCGTATCGTCAGGTGGTGGTGCGAATTGCTTTATCACCTTCCTTCGTACGCCAGTGGCGGGCTGCTTCATCCGGACAACGGGACTGTACCCAGAATCACTTTCAACGAACAAGATCATTTCATCGTCGACCATTAAAACATCATTGCTGCATACGTAGTTGAGCCATCGTTGCATTGAGGCCTTCACGCGCATTTCATCCTCTTCGGTACCAGCACCTGCGGGAGTAAGCGGAGGGGGTACAGCAGGCACCAATGCCTCTGGGTTCGACGATATTAGGTGATCTCCTAGCTTGATGAACTCGGAATGAGTTCTCCGGACATCTCGGAACTGTGTGGTTCGAAACTTAGGGATATTTGTCTAGTGAAGATGGAATGGTCAGTGATACAACTTCAAAACACCCAGCACCCAACACCCAACTTCCCCTTCAGAAGGTAACGTACGTGAACGTCAAATCTAATGACAGGGTCCTTCTTTCCTGTTCTTTCCAGCGCCGTAACCTTAGCTTGTAGTTTATACTTAGGTGCATTTGGTCTAGGCTGCTGTCGCGCTCCGGTTTGATATCTCGATGGCGCCTGCGATCGTTGTTGCTGCTGCTGCCTGTACTCCTGTTGATGCTGCGGCTGACCGTCATGACGGTATGCTGACTGTGCCTCTGGGGAGCCTACATGATGAGAATCTGTAGGATGGTCTGATAAACCCGGAGACTGTACTCTCTCGTCCCCTTCGCCATTGTGGTGGTATGGTCCTTCATGGTCGGTGGTATAAGGTGATTGATGCTGCGAGGGGAATGCCGGAGGGACGTCACTGCTGGCGGAAAATGGTCGTGCAGCTCGTGGCGAGGTCGAACCCCATGGCGACGAATCAGTAGGATCGGGGTCGTTAGATATCGAGGAGTAATCCATGCTGGTCGCTGCTGCGCTGTCGAGTGTGGAGTAGTGGGCGTTGTGCAGTGTAGCTGTCGCGGACGACGGACTCGGCGCAGATAATCGGAGAGATATGCTGTCAAGCACGTAGGCTTTACAGCTCCGGATGACAGTAACCACCGGCAAACACCTCGCTGCCTCCTTCTTTGCAAAGACGTGGGATCAAACTCCAGGCCAGATGTTGATCTGTAGTTGGTTGTTTGGTTAAATGGTTCGTCACTTAGTTCGTGGGCGGTTCGTCCAAGCGTTCAAGGAAAGTGCGCGGTTGGTCCCAGTCCGCCGCCCTAGTCAGCAGTAACTTTAACTGACAATAAAGTATCGAATTTATAGGCATCACGAAACCGTGAAAAAACGTCACTCGAAGACGAAGCTATAGGTGAATTGATATTGAACAATTGAGATTTCCCCTGCTTGTTGGGTGATATCATGATATAACTAAAGTGGATTTCTGCATTATTTAATTGTGACCATACGGCTGATTAGCCTCGTTCCACAGCGTGGTTAAAAGACGTATCTTCGACCCCTATACATGGACGAGAAGCCGGCGTCTTCGCCGTGAGCCATTGGGTATGGCTATAGCCACGTTACCGCTGAGCCGTACCTTTTCAAGGCGCTTCTGGCAGTCGAGTTGTCGACCTGGTGCGTCGATATGGCTACCTCGAGCGTCTCTGCTAAGGAGGCACTCAACAGCAGTGCCTGATGGGAATGCAGAAGATCTCAATCGGACAAGAAACATTGGGATAATAGCGCACATCGATGCTGGGAAGACAACGACTACTGAACGAATGCTGTATTATAGTGGTTTTACTCGAAGAATTGGTGACGTGGATGATGGCTCTACTGTGACGGATTTTCTGCCAGCCGAGAGAGCTCGAGGCATCACGATTCAGTCTGCTGCAATTACTTTCCATTGGCCTCCGCAGCAAGAGGAACTAGCCAACAGTTTAACTCTAGAGGATGTGACCAAGAAAGGGTTGCCAAGATCCGCTGTTTCTCATACAATTAACTTGATTGATACCCCTGGCCATGCCGATTTTACCTTTGAGGTCCTACGATCACTTCGAATTCTGGACGGAGCGGTTTGCATCTTAGATGGTGTTGCTGGAGTTGAAGCGCAGACCGAACAAGTTTGGCGTCAAGCGTCGACCTACGGCATTCCTAGGATTGCGTTTGTCAATAAACTGGACCGAGAAGGTGCCGCGTTTGGCAGGACTGTAAAGGAGATTGGAGCCCGTCTTGGAGGCTGGCCAGCAGTCTGTCAGATTCCCTGGTTTGAAGGCGGTGATGCAAAACTGCAGGGAGTTGGAGACGTTATATCACTACAGGGGCTGCTGTGGGAGCTTGGAGGAGATGGCAAAAGAATATCTGTTTCGAACCTAGATGCGCTGGAGCAGTCTGACAGGCAGTTCGTAGAAGAGTTGAAAAAGGCCAGAATTGCACTAGTTGAGCTTCTGAGTGAACATGATGATACAATGGTGGAAAATTTTCTGGAGCATGACGAAGACCATCTAGCAGTCAAGCCTATAGAGATACTTGAGAGTGTTCGCCGCTGCCTGCTTGGAGACGCTGAGAACAAAATCATACCTACCTTTGCGGGAGCCAGCTTCAGAAATATTGGTGTTCAGCCACTACTTGATGCAGTAGTGAACTTACTTCCCAGCCCCTTGGAGCGACCAGAACCGGAGATTAGCATCAACGACACCAGGTGCGGCTTGAAAGAATACCTTGACGGTAAAACTGCGGTAGGAACATCATCAGGCGGCCAAAAGGGGAAGAAAGGAGTGGTCCCAAAATCAAAACCCGCGACATCTCTTCAAAAGCTCGAGGCTTGCGCGCTCGCATTTAAGGTCGTCAGCGATGCCAAAAGGGGCGTCCTTGTTTATGCGCGTGTTTATTCAGGAGTATTGCATAGGAATGCGTTACTATTCAACACAAACCTCCAGGTCTCTGAACGGGTACCTCGTCTCCTCAAGATGTATGCCTCGGATGCTGTTGAACAGGAATCTGTATCTGCTGGCCACATTGCTGTCTTTGTTGGGTTGAAATATGCCCGAACGGGAGACACACTGATTTCATACTCTGGTAATAAGCAGAGCCCACCGGAGCCCTTGAACACACTACAACTCCGCCCTATTAACGTGCCTCCTCCCGTGTTCTTCTCTAGCGTTGAACCTCACAGTCTCAGCGAGGAGAAGAACCTACAGGCTTGCCTGGCGCTCCTTTTACGAGAAGACCCTAGTTTACGAGTCACGCTCGATGAAGACTCTGGCCAGACCCTGCTCAGTGGCATGGGCGAGCTTCACCTTGAAATCGCTCGTGATAGACTAGTAGGTGACTTTAAGGCAAAGGCCTCTATGGGGAATATTGAAATCGGGTATCGTGAATGTATCACCGGGACATCTTCGACGGCCTCAAAGATATTTGATAAAGAAATTGCAGGGAGAAAAGGAAAAGCAGGATGTGAAGCCATTGTCCAACCCCTTGCTGAAGAGGAGGAGCTGCAGCAAAGCACTGAAGGCCACGTCTATACACAAACTGTGGACGGCAATCGGATCACGGTTGAGCTACCCAACATTGGGGACAAGAAGGGTAAACAAGCAGATGACATGTTCCCAGCGCACCTGTCGATTGACATGGTTAAAAACGCCATTCTCGCCGGTGGCCTAGCTGCCCTCGCTCGTGGACCAAAATATCAATTCCCTCTTCACGGTGTTGAGGTTAAGCTTACATTCGACCTTGAACAACACCTATTTGGGACAGAGACAACCGCCTCCGCCATTTCGGCGGCAGCAAGGCTTGCTACGCAAACTGCGCTGAGAGAAGTATCGTCTTCATCAGGACTGATGGAACCCGTCATGAACGTCACTATCAGTGTTCAGGAATCGGCTCTAGGCTCCGTGGTGCATGACATCTCATCCTCGCGAGGGGGACATGTTGTTTCACTTGATGATGATGCCTCTTCATCATCTACGGAGTCAGAGGAATCGAACATCATTGATGTGGCTAAGATCTATGCCCCGAGGGACCCGTTCGAGCCATCGTCGAACGAGAGTGCGTCGACATCTCTATCAGCAACGAACCAATCTAGAACCATATCCGCAAAGGTCCCGTTGAAGGAAATGGTGGGATATTTGAAACATCTAAGAAGTATCACCGGCGGTAGGGGTACTTTCGTCATGAGCGTTGATAGATTTGAGAAGATGGGCAGCCAGAGAGAGAAGGCTATATTGGCTGAGATACGAGGGATTTAAAGGGAGTCTATAGAATTAGTGAGACTTGTAAGATATCTAAGAAATGTACGATATAGCAAGAGTATATAGAGTGTTTTAATAGAAAGAATTCACCATCAATGCATAACTATCTGCCCAGTTAAAGGAAGTGAAGACAAAAAAGCAGTCATTATACCAGTTATATATGAGCAAAAAGAAAAGAAAATGTTCGTAATATGCAAGTCACCCATCGCCAACCCTCTAGATGTCTTCTAGCCTGCTTAGCCTACCAATTATCATCCCATCCATCGTCCTTCGGCGCCGCTGAGGAAGCAGGTTTGGTAGGACTCGATATGGGAGGATCATTTTTCTTCATGGTTCCAGTACCAATGGCTCCTGATCCCGACGTAGAGCCAGCACCATGTCTCTGCCTCTCCCTCTCCTCTCCAACAGCAGCAAAACTGTCCCAGAAATCTTTTCTCTCGGGCTCAAAACCCCTGGCTGAAGCTGACGACGCGCCTGGTGCCCGGCGTGGACCACCAGCTGGACCATCATTGCCTTCTACGAAGCGATTGAATGAGTCTGCAGCCGTACGGGTACCAGTCTGTATGTTCCGGCCAACTTCAGTAGCAGCAAGACGAGCCTGGGCTGCAAGATCTGATTCCGCAAGCTAGGCCACAGTTAGCACAAAGCAGGCCGTGATACACTGATACACAACAGGAATCCACGTGGGATGGATACTTAAAAGTATTTACAACAGGCTGGATGTAGGTATCATTCATTGTCTTCGCACCTCTTCCAACGGTAGGAGTAAACCAGCCGAACCCTTTCGTCAACGCCGCGACAGGATCAGACTGGAAATCATCCAGTCCCGGAATCCCACCTCCTCCACCGGACCTTGACGAGGACGAGTCCACTGGCATCCCCCCTCCGAAACCAGTATACTTCCCTCCCTCGGAGGGAGCCAATCCTTCCGACCTGGAGGCATTGAGACCTCCCATCTTCGCAAAGTAAGCCTCATTCTGTTCCTTTTTACTCGACGACCCAGCAGCAGACTTCGACCTCGAAAGCGGTTCTCGCGAATCACCCCCAAACCCCTTTGGCGTCGTGGTGCTTGACCGCGATAGCCCACCACCAGGTAATCTGTCCGTGGGACTTTTCTTCTTGACTTCCGTCTTCGGCACAGGAACGTATTCCCTCCCTTCGATCTTCGCAGATAACCTCTCCTTCCACTCCTCGCCTACCTCGCCGCTATATCGTTCTTTAACGGTGGAGTCCTCGAACGTCCGACCTTCTGCGAGGGTGAGTGAATGGGCGTCGAAGAACTGTTTCCAGGGCTCGTTGCCTCCGTTCTCCATGCGTTGGATCTCAGCTAGTTTGAAGGCGTCCATGGTTATGCTGCGGACAAAGGAGATGTGGACTCCTAGACCGCGGTGGATGCCGGCGCAATTGAGACATATGAACGTTCCGAATTTGGGTGAAGCCTGGTAGTATGGAGCGGAGAGATGCAATGTTAGAAACTGGTCCTTTGTATAACACTCGTCTGGAGTAATGTAATGCAATGCAATACTCCGTATGCAGCGGTGCTCAAGAGCAGTTAAAGGGGGCAGTGGTTATCGTACCCATTGCGGGGAGGGAGCGCCACAGTCGCAACATCGATCGTTCCCGTTGGTCTTCTGGATGATCTGGAGCTATATGTACCATCAATAGCGCCGTCGTCAGTCTAGCTCGTTTGATATCACGGTTTAGATGAGGCGCGGGAGGGAGAGAAATGTGCTGTGCGTGTTGTATGCTGTGCAAGTGCAGAGGTTGCGCGCATACCTTACTCCTGGTCTCAGGGTCGACTTCCCATAACTTCGACATGGTGAACCAACAGCCAATGCAATTGTAGGTATGAAAGAGCAGCGAAGGACACGAACCACGGCAGCGAAGGTGGAAAGGCCGTTATGGGCGAGAGTTGGCAGAGCGACGCCTGGAGTTGGTGTAAGTTGGCTTGCTGCAGGTTCGGCGCTGGGCTTGGAGGCCCGTTTCTTCGAGCCAGCGACCGCTCACGGTGGGACGGGAAGACTCCACTCGAACCGACGGAGACAAAGGCCGTTGAACGAAGCCTTGGGACGCTCGTAGTGTGACGTGGAGAATCCGGAGAGCGTTGTGCTGCTGTAGCTGTAGATCTCAAATAGTGCAGTTGGTGTGCCGAGTCGCTGCAGGATTTGGCTGCAGTCGATGATGCAAACTACATATCTGGGTAGCTAAATATGTGGCTTCATGCACACAAAAGTACGCTCACGACAGTCGAGCCATGCATGAACGGGTCACTACAGGACGAGAGAAAAGAAAAGAAAAGAAAAAACTACGAGAAAAATGAGCAGTGATATATAATAGATCCATAAATTCGTGTCCTTAATCGAAATTTTTGTGTCTAAAATACATCATAAAAGCGGCTGGAAACAGCCATGGAAGGGGATGGGCGAGGAAAGAGAGGATAGGATGTAGGTGTCGGGTTGATCAACTCGCAGGCAAGCAAGCTGATACGGTGGTCGACCTTCCAAACAGGCGGCTCGCTGGGATATCGTGTTGACGACAGCCCGACGGAGCAGCTTAAAAATGCCAAACGTGGAATCGGTACTTTGATTTTTTAGTGTTATTTGTGTGTTTGTGTGTGTGGGATTTTTTTTGTCGAGGTAGGGGGGATGTTGATCAGATAAGCAATGACGAATACTTCCAAAGACTCATCCAGTCCATGGACAAGACACGAGACTGGCAGGCCTCTCCGATTATGCTCGGAGAGAGAGTTTTGGTGTTTGCGTATGTATGCGTGTGTGCATCTTTTTTGGGAGTTGGTTTAAGCGGTAGTCGGGGGCAGCGGCAGCCTCGGACGACTCAGCAGCAGGAGCTTCGGCTGATGCTTCAGCCTGGCCCTCTAGAGCGTCGTCTTCCTTTCCGGGGCTGTCGATGGCGACCTTGACAGCGATCTCACGACCATTGACGTCCTTACCGTGCATCTCCTGGACGGCCTTTCTTCTGGAGGGCCTCGGATCCGAGGGTGACGAAACCGAAGCCACGGCCCTTGCGGGCTTCCACCGCGGGCCTGGAGCTTCTTGACCATGAAGTGGGGGATGGGGCGGAGGGCGATCTTGGAGGAAACTGGCTCGTAGGCAGCGAAGAGCTCTTTCAACTGTTGAGGAGTCAGTATGCAACACGAAAAAAATATTCATCTGGGTGGGTGTGTGTGTTGTGCGTGTGTGTATGCAAGGTTAGATAGTGGACTTACGCCTTCCTCAGTAAGATCGTATGGAAGATTGGCAACCATGACCTTGGTCTTGGAAGGAATGCCATCCTCTGGAGGCCCACGGCGGACACGGGGACGGCGGCCCTTGGGTTCCTGGGCCTCTCCCTCTGCGTTGGTGACTTCGGTCAGGCCAGCCGGCTCAGCGGACTCGCCTTCAGCGGTGCCTTCTTCAGTCTTCTAAAAAAATTAACAAACGACACCGGTAAGCAGCTGTGTGCATAGACAAAGAATAAAGAGAGAGAAAAAAGCAACAAAAGGTCGGTGTAGGGAAGGGAGATACGTACACGTCCGCCACGACCAAGACGGCCGCCACGGCCACGACCACGGCCACGTCCGCGGCCACGGTTGGAGGTCCTCTTGCGTCCCTCTGTGCCGCTGGTGCCCTCAGTACCACTGGCACCAGCCTCCTTGTCCTTCTGCTCCTTCTGCTCCTTCTGCTGCTTCTGTTCATCCGGTTTGCGAGCAAGCTGGACAGAGACCTTACGCTCGAGGATTTCCTTGCCAGTCAGGGCAGCGATGGCATCCTGTGCTTCTTGAGCGGTGGCAAGGTCAACAAAGGCATAACCAACAGGGCGATCAGTGCGAGGATTCACAGGGATAGAGGTGCTCTCCCTATTAACCATGTGAATTAGCGTAGCTGCCACATAGGCTATAGCAATAACAATAACAATAACAAAACAGCAACTTTAACAAGGTAGAGCGGACAAGCGGACAAGCGGTCGACCGAGCGAGTAAGTACCCAACCGTATGCGGGAGTGGAGAGATGATTTTTTTTTCTCCTTCCTGTAGCTCGCTGTCGCCTTCTCGCCTGGCTCCCGCTCCTCCCTCCCCCTTTTGAAAGCAAGGCAAGACTCACACACTGAAGCCCTGGAAGAAGTCCTTGAGTTCCCCCTCGGTGGTCGCATAGGCGAGGTTCCCAATGTACAAACGGCGGCCCTCGTCTGCGCTGATGGCGGACGGGTCTGGGTTGGCAGCGGCAGCGGCCGGGGCAGCACCGTTGGCCTCGCCGATGGAGACGGAGGCCAGGTTATCGGCAAGTTCGTTGACAGCAGACGACATGATGTTTTTTCGCTTGGCTAGTTGTTTGAGAGGACTTTGCGGTGGATGTCGAAGTTGAAATGGCAAAAGCTGCCTCCTTGGGGACTTGAAGAGGGGGGGATGAAAGGGTCGCTTGGTGCCCTAGATACTGAGAGACGGAGATCCGAGAGGTGAAAAGTAGTGCTTGTCCTATCTTGAGTCTGGTTGGGATGGAAGAAGGAGAAGAAGAAGAAGAAGAAGAAGAGAAGAAGAAAAGGAAGAAAGAAGAAGAAGAAGAAGCAAAGAAGGAGGAGGAAAAAGCAAAGAAGGCGAAGAAGAAGAAAAGAGGAAAAGGAGGGAGGCTAGCCTGTTTGGGACAGACACAACACTGGCCTCGACATCAACATCAACATAAAGATACAGAAGAGACAGAAGAGGCATGAAGAAGAGAAGAAGAGAAGAAGATACAGAGAAGAAGATAATGATTATGATGATAAGAAAAGAGAAGGGAGGAGAAGAGCTAGTAGTCTCTACTAGGAGATGGAGAGTGGTTGTAGGTAGAGACAGAGATAGAGCAGTTAAGAGACAGGAGACAGGACAGCAGGAGTAGATGGCTGTTGGACATCTATTCTACTAGCTGTGACTGTATCTATCTATCTATCTATCTATCTATCTATATGCTATCTATATGCCTATCTACACATCTATCTACTGTGATGGCTGTGTGTTATTCTTTGGTGGTCACTGTCCTAGCTCTATCAATACCTTACTCACTGATCTATCCCTGGATACTTCAATATATTTATACCAATACATCACTGCATAGCTTGCTAGAAGTTGACTGGAAGCTGCCGTTAATATGTCCTGCTGTGTCCTACTATGTCATGTTAGTGAAAAATCTTCACAATAGGACACTTTGACAACACTGAACTGACAATGGACAGGCAGACTCTGCTGTGTTGCCAGCCGCCCCTTTATCAAGCAGCCAAAAAGGGGGCTGGGACTGAACTTTTCCCTTTCCTCTCCTTCTTCTTCTTCTTTTTCCTTCATCCTCTTCATCCTCTCCAGCTTCATCTCTCTCTTCAAGCAGGAACCTCCATTTGACTACAAACAGACAGACAGACAGACAGACAGACAGATACCCAGCTTTACCTCCAACATTAGTAGACTACCAGATATCCAATCCACCGCAGACATGTCTCGGTGTCCAGTTTCAGGGGCCATCCCCTACTACGTCCTGGACGACGACGAGGAAGACGACGACGTCCAGATCGTCGGGGTCAACTCGTTGAACCCCGAGGCTGCTCCCGGGCCTCAGCTGGGCGAGTATCGTCTCGATACCCCAAGATGTAAGCCTTGCCCTGCAGAGTGCATAGCTTTGATAGCTGATACTGACTGTTCTCCAGCATTTTACCAGGGCCAGAACACCAGCTACCTCAGCCAACCCTTCTACGCTGGTATTCCTGCCCAGCAGATGCTGACAGCTTCGGCTACTGGCCTTGGAGGAGTTGCTCCCCTTACTCCGCTCCCCGCCAGCAACCAGTCTTCCTCCCGCCAGCCGTCAGCTACAGAGTCCGCCTCTGTCGTCTCTTACTTTCCTCCTCCTGTTCCTAGAACTGCCATTGACAATACTGCGGCCTCTGTTTCTGCCTCTGAGTCTGGCCCTGTCTCTGTCTCCATCCCTGGGTCTGGATCTGGGTCTGAGTCTTCCTCCTCCTCCGGGGACGTCATTCGCTCCGAGTACCAGCTTGAACTCCTGTCAAGCCAGACTCAGACTGCTCCAGCTCCAGTTCATGCAACCATCCACGAGCAATCTCCCCCAGGTGACGCAGTCAGCAGATCTGCTTGGTCTGGCATGGCATACGGCAACATTCTCAAGGTCCTGGTCGGCCCTAAAGACTGCGAATACCCCAGCAATCCTGACCAGCTCCCTCCATCTTTCTTCAGTGACCTTGCTAACACTATTGTTGTGAGCTTTCCCTATGAAGACTTTGCCTACAAGCATGGCTGCACTATCGACGAAGTAAACCACGCACTTATTTCGCAGGTTGTGGCCCCTCTTATCAAATGTCACTCAGTCGATAAAAAGCTAATGGCAAAGACTGCCAACAACATTTATGACAGCTGGGTTCCCAGGGACTATCAATACCATGGTGTACAAACCAGTTCCAGCTCTCAGGCCACTCCTACCATGCTCACTCTCTCTGGATCCGACGTCGAACAGCAGACTTATCCTACTCACTACGAACCTGTCAAGGAGCAATCTTCCAAGTCTTCCATCCCAGCTCCTACTCCAGCACCCCAAGAGGCCAAACAAAAGGCTCCTACTCCTAAGCTTACCCATGAAGAGACCTTGGAATATGCTCGTGTCCTCCTCGAGGGCATTGCAGAGTATGCATTTGGCATTGAAAATGATATCCAAGACCAAAATGCCACTCTTCCTCCAGCCCAGGCCGTTGCTGGTACTCTTGTTCCAAGCTCCAACGTCCAGGCTCAATCCAAAGCCCAATCTGTCGAGTCAGTCCGGAACGGCCATGCTTTCACCACTCTATCTACTGTTTGTCCTCCATCACGCCGCACTATCAAGCATGCAAAGTCTCCTGCTTCCCTCAAGCGTGTAGCATCTTCCTCCTCTGCTTCTACGCCTCCATCTCTTATGAAACCCAAGCGTCGATACGAGGACATTGCCGACCCTGAGTCTCCATCTCCTCAGAATCAACTATCCCGCAACGAGCGCGAGGACACTCCCCGTCCAGCCAAAAAGGCCAAACTAGACTTCAACTACCTTCCTCCATCTCCCAAAACATGCGATCAAAAGGGTGTTCTCCCACTTCCAAAGCTACACAACAATCCAACCCTCTGGCCCGAGAACAGCGAAAAGGTGAAGAAAATGGAAGTCTACCCAGCTAAACCTCACACTTACGTTCCTCTCACGGATGACACTCGCGTCAAACGCCAAAGAGTCACCGTCGACCCATTCGGCAAGTACGAAAAGGTCTCCCCCTACGAAGACCCAAATAGGAACATGACCAATATCCTACTGGAACGCGGCGTTCCACTTGATGAGCACCCACGTACCAAGCGTCCATTGACTAAGCGTGACATCGAGACTATCAAGAAGGGGCAAAAGAACTTCTTTAAGTATGCCATGCAGCTTCAGTGCGAGCATATGGATCGTTTGGGCCTCCCACGTCCTATTCCCCAGGAACATCTCGTTGATGAAGGTGAAGACGAAGCTCCTGCTCCAGAAGACTTTTACCACTGGGACGACGAGGGTTTCAACGACTACTAGACTGTCTCGGCACTGATATTCCTTCCTTCTTTCAACATTTCCTGGTCCGCTTGCTTTCTTACTTGGTTTTGTTTGGTGGCGTCTATTTCTCCCTGTTTACAGCTTTCGTTGAAAATCATTGAATTGAACTGATGTGAACCGAATGGGATTGAACAAAAAGAAGAAAATGTATAAAAAAGAAAAAAACACCCTGTATTATGACTTGAACTGTGCCTGTACCATATTCGATGATTTCTTTGCTTCTTTTGTCTCCTTCCACTTCTTGTACTTTATAGGTTTTTGTGCTCTGACCAGGAATGAACATGATGACTTCTATACTATACCTACCCTTGCACACAGGTAACACTTCCAATGGCAAAGTTGAAAAAAAAATGTAGAAACCAGGATGATAGAAGCTTGAGACTTGGAAATAGAATCCAGGGCTGCCTTTTCTTATGATTTTCAAGTTACGTGGATGAACAAGCACTTTCAGGGGGGTATCTCCAATTCGCTATGAGCATAGATATAATCAAAGGGAAAAGCCATCTCATTCCAGACCAACAGTACATAAAATAGCCAGTATTCTAGTAGCATAGCATCTGGCTTTCAAGGAAGTAGATAGAAAATCGAGAAAAGATCATGTATATATATAAAAGATTCATTGAGCACAGCGCCTCCCGATTCGTGAATCCCCCCGTTTCCCATCATAGTTCAGCAGTGTCAAGCAGTGTGTATAGGAAAAAACAGGCTGAACGAAAAATAAAAAAACCAAGTAGATACGCTTGGTGGACAAACGGAAGGCATTACTTTCAAATTCTTATTGGAACAAAACGAGTAAATGGGGATATTTGGTGGAGTGGAAAGGAGAAAAAGGAGGTAATAAAAGGCAAACAAAGCTGTACATGAACGAGCCGAGGAAGCTAGGATGGAAGCTTTATCTGTTGTAGCTGTAGTCACCGGAGACTTCTGACCGGTGGCCACCGTACGCTCCTCCGTAGCTGGTGTCGTAGTCGCTTATGGCACTACCCGCCGGTGGGATAGGGCTTAGTCTAGGCGGGAGACTGCTGACGTTTGAAGCAGTGGGATCATAGGAGGGCGGTGGACGATGGCTGCCGTGGGGACCCATATCGTCAACCTCGCTGTTATGTAGAAGAGCGTACGCATCTTCGTCGTTTTGGCGGGATGGGGGTCCGCCGTGGTATCGGCCTGTTCGAGATTCGGGGTCTCTGTCGTCTTCATCGTCGAAGTCGTGTGCTGGGTTTGAAGAGAATGCGGCTTGAGCGTGGGCCGCAAAGGTAGGATCTGAACCATCGTATGGCATTGTCCCTGTCCGGCGGTATTCCAATACGCTTCGTAGCGAAATAATGGTGGTGCCGATGAAGATTAAACTAGACTTCGTTAGCTGCGGGATCTCTTGGGTATCAGGCCATAAATATACTTACAAGACAAACACAGCCAGAACGGTGGTTCCAGTGCTCAGTCTGCATTTTGTCGGACTTCCAAAAGCAAAGACATCACATCCAGACTTCTTGTCCTTGTTGTCCTTTTCCTTGTCGTTGTCTTTATCCTTCTTTCCGCCCTCGGCTATCCCAGTCCCGACATATGTCGCCGTAGCTATCCAGGCCGCAAACCAGAGGAACGTAAAGAGGCCGTCAACAAAGGCAAAGGCAAAGACGTTCCCGAATTTCCTGAGGCGCGGCCACATCGGCACCGCAGTCAGATATATCAGTCCGGGGATGCTGGCCCAGCACTAAGCAGCCCCTAACGTCAGCATACAGCTTTCCAATCCTCAGGGACAGAACATCAAACGTACCAGGATGAAATAGTATACTATCCTGCCATCGGCCTTGCCCGGCTGTGTAAATACTGCAATTGTCATTGCCCAAGCTAGGAATATTATGAATGCCTGGAAGCCATGTATGATGCTTTTCGTCCGCGAGCTCGTGAAATCTGGTAGGCTCAGCATCTTCTCCCCCTGTGTCCCCCGTCTATCCTATATCTACCCTCGGCGGTTCGACGTTATATGTTGTTGTTCTTATGGGCTGTCCGGGCGACGTTGGTAACTATAAGCGCAGGCTGTTGTTTACCTCTGACGGGCCGGGAGAGAACCAAGTAGTTAGATGTAGCGATAAATAAACAGGCAGAGTTTGTGCAGATGCCAAAACGGAAGAAGATAACGACGCTGAAGCAGACAAGGCAGCACTTTTTATTCGATATGTATATCGGCCTTATAACGAGTATCGTGCTTGATTATGTATGTAGCAGTGATAGACAGACTTGGGGCTGAGCGTGGAAGGAGAAAAAAATAACACTCGCAGCTTGATGTGAGGAAGCTTGGCGCAGGGCAGTCTCCAGAGTGACGGGGCCGAGACAGCCACACGTTAGTTACAGCATCGCAAGGCAACGGCATAACATCTACGAAGTATGGAGTGCGGCAGGGAGGACGTCCTGGTGCAGGCAAGAGACGAAGAAGATCTCGTTCAAAGGCCATCCAGCGACAGCAGGTAGAAGACTGTCCATCTGCTCGGCTTCAACCACCCCCTGGTCAGTGAGCATCTCGGCTGGATGTGCTCCGTATGTATACAAATAACCCAAAGTGGCTGCGCTGCGCCTACGAGGATGCGAGTTGACGACGCTGTGGCTGACCAGTTTGCTTCTCCTCGCTAAAAATAGGACCCTAGCGCTTCGTATCTCCACAAGCATGCAGTGGATTCATAGCCAGGCGGGCGGATGAGCGAGGACTCAGCTGTCTGTGGTTGACGGACAGCATTTCAGCCGTCTTGACCTGACAAACTGATTAACCACCTGGTTAGTTAACTACGGAGTGCGGAGCAGTTAACTCACTAGTTACTGACCAGCTCAGGGACGTTGTTAAGGCCGGCTGGGCTCTGGGGGCTCCCTAAGTTACAGCTGGCCTCATTCAGTTGCTTGTATAGCTGGTTGTACCGCACTGCAAGAAGCCACGAGCATACCTTTAACCGTCCTTGGTTACCCCTGAGACTCACAACTAGTTAACTCGATGCCTAGTAATTATTGGGTCTTCCAACCTGCGGTGGCCGTTGGCCAGCTGGTGGTAGTTAAGTAGTGTCTGCCTTGCATGATGCCCGGCGATAGCTGCGTGTCAAAGACGATGCTTCGACTCTCTTTGCAAGGTTTCTATGCATGAAACCAGTGTCGGGAAGAGTTGCACCGCGAGACACCTTGGTTTGGATCTTACGTGTAGTTCGCGGGCGATTGTGATATTGGTCGAGAATCTCGTGGTTTAAGAACACAAGAGCCTTTCCCCTGACCACTACGTAGGCGCTGGTTGGCTAACTCATTAAATACAACAAGGAGCGGCTGGAAGTCACTCTTATAGATTGAATCATCATTTGCAATAGTTACCGGTCTCGACTCGAAGCTGGGCAAGCCTCGACGGGCTATCCAGATCAGTTATAGCCGTGGCCGACACTTAGCTCAGCATGCAGCAGTTGACATATATAAATCACCGTGCGCCAGCCTTGCTTCGCTCATTTACGGAAGACAAACGCATCCTCCAGCCATGTCCGTCCTCGAGAAACTGCCCCTAGAAATTCTGCAAGAGGTTTGTAGCACTGTTGCTGCTGGCTGCAGAGCAGATCTCTACACCTTATCCCTTGTCAGTAAGCGCTTCTGCATAGCCAGCAAGGCCGAGCGGTTTCAAACGATCCGTTTTCCCAGCTTCAGCTCTATATCGGACCGGCTTACTTGTTGGCAGGAAGTTCTACAAGCTAGATCGAGCTTTGGACATGTTCGCAGGGTAGTGGTCGGGGGCTTCTTACCCTTCAATAGTAAAAGGGAAAGCTGGTATCTGAAAGCGAAGATGACCTTGAAGAGGACCTTGAAGAGGACCTTGAAGACCACGGCAGCGCGGTGGTTAATGGCGGGCCGTTCTATGGAGGCCTTCCTAACGATGAATATATTGGGAAGTACTGGGAGCCTCTGGCTCGCTTTCTAGTTCAACTTCCAAGGCTTCTTGACTTTGTCTACTCCTTTGTTGATCTACCGGCCCCTTGCCTGATGGATGCGTTGCGCTCTATACCCAACTGCAGGCTCCACCTCCACAACTTTGGCCTGAAAAGCCTGGTGCAGCCGGAAGGCCAGCCACAAGATATAGATCCCTACGAATACTCCGTTGCTACTTGTCCTCAGCTATACTGTATTTTGACTCGCTGTTCGGATTATACCGAGGATGGCCTGAGAAATTACAATGGAGAGGCTGCCAGGCTGCTGGCAGCCGGATTGGCCCAGAACCTCAAGCGGGTTAGGGTGATCGAATTTTACCCTGGCACAGGCCTTGGACATACCAACACTTTTAATGGCCCACGGGTTGGATGGCAAGGATTCTTTCCAAACAGCCCTCAAAAGACGCAGACTCAGCCGTTACGCCCTGGATATCTTGATGCCCTAAGTGTTCGGCCATGGCCGCCCGCAAATCTTGAAGAATGGAGCAAATATGTTGAATTCTCGTCACTACGCACTCTGAAATGGAACTGTCATGCCCCGTCAACAAACATGTATAGATGGATGAGTACCTGCGACTTCAGCTCCTTGAAAACCCTTGTGTTGAACGTAGAAAGTTACGGGTCTGAATGCAAACAAATGGATGAAGTAGCGGGTGTTGTGTTGCGGAATCTGCCTCCGTTAAATTCACTCAGGTTGACCGGTCTCTTCGGCCAGCAGGCGTTCCAGGCCATTGTGCAATGCCATAACACACTTCGACGGTTAAGCCTATTCGCTGAACAGCTCCCGGACGCTGACCGGCTGAGGATAACTGCTGAAAATGCTAGAGAGCTTGCTGAGAACTGCGCACAGCTCGAGGAACTATCATTGCAAGTTCCGCGTTCTCAAGGCAACAAGGAAGAAGTCCTCATTTATCGTTCCCTTGGTTCTATTCTAAGCTTAAGGTACCTTACCATATACCTTGACTGTTCCGAAGTCGCCACCTATGGACTATCCGACAGTGACGTGGAAGAATACTATAATGATGTGCAATACCCAAAGCTGCACAAGCTTTTAATCCGAGAGGCTATGATAAACGCCGCGGTCGATGAACAGCTTGCTCGCGCTATATACCAAGAAATCGAAAATGGCAGTTCCAACAATGGCAAGCATCCCGCCTTGCAATGCGTCAAGTTTTACGTCACTGGAGCAGGTGAATTCAACGAGTATTATGGAAACATATATATAACGCCCGTTGTCCGTTCGATCGGCCGCAGTTGGGAGCTAATCAGAAACCCGAGCAGAAGAGATGACTCTGCCGACGTCGTTGCTATACAAGAGCTCGATCGAGAAGCAAGGGAAGCGTTCGACAAAGAGACTAAAGAATTTCGACGCTGGAATGGTGTTATGGATATTCAGGAACTAGTGTTTCGAGAGATTTGGCCTGAAAAGACTAGGAGTTGGCAGACAGACTGGCACAGCTTCCCTCTTATGACAGACTAACTGTTAATATCAAAATCCAGGTTAAGATTGCCAGGTGCTACCCAGCTACCCTTCTCCGTCAAAGGTACCACAAAGTAAGTCGCGGTATATTTTCGTTTAAACGTAGTCAATCATCTTGTTTTCATTCCATTTTTTAGGATAGGTAACTACCTAGGTCTATTCAAACCCCCTGTACTCCCTTTCGTCTAGTGGTATATTTGAAATTTTCATACTAGAACAGCGGATGAATTATCACTCATACCATGGCGATCTAGACAGCGACTCAATCTCTCCTGGATGGTAGCCTTCATACTAAAAAGTTCCTCGCGATCTCGTCCGCCGAATATTAGTTGCGCTGTGGAGTTGTTTGGAAGGGACTCTGTAACCGCAGCCACGACAATTTGCCCTTTGTTAATGAAAGGCGCTAAAAGGGTGTAAACATCTGCCGGTTTACCCTCATAGTTAAAGGTTTGGGCCTGAGCCAAAGGTAGGCTTCGTTCCTTCAGGAAATGGTTCGAAAGTAAACATATAACGAAACCGCCCGTTAGCCGTGCATTGAGGTCAATAACCACCGTCCGGTTACTATCCTCATCAATAATGACATCTATTCCTATCCATCCGACGTAAGAGCCTATTAGGGTGCGAGCAACCGCCTGGATCGTACCCATAAGCTGCTCCTCGATCTGCTTCTGTGCTCGATAATCGATCACCGAGCCCGCCCAGCGTCCCGCCTGAGAGAAGAGCTGTTCCGTGGCACCCAGGAAAGTCACGATTGAGCTTCCATTAGACGGGCCAGCCGCTCCTAAGAAAAAGTTCACGGAATAATGAGGTCGCCTGGAATGTACGAACTCGGAAACCTGAATTTCAGGGACTCCACGGGCTTGATATGCTTCCATGTCGGTAAGCATCTCCTCTCTCTGGTCTTCTCTAGTGACAATCCACGTTCCTCGACTTCCGCTGCAGCGGCGCAGTTTGACGACGAACGGCAACGGCCTTGTCATCAGGACTGAGGTCCTCAGATCTTGGCCCTGCTGCAGTGGGAACATTTTTAGATCCGGGGTTGGAATGCCGGGGTGGAGAAGGAAGCGTTTGTCGTTAATCTTGTATGCGAAATCAGGGCTGACCAGGGTGTCGAACTGTCGCATGTATGATTTTGGTCGATAGTACCATAGCTTCTTCCCATGGTTAATCCGCCGCACCTCTGTTTGCAGGTCTTGCTTGTCCAAGTCAATATAATGCAACTGTGGTCGCTGATTTGCTGGTAGAGGCGACAAAATTCGGTCGATGTTTTTTGGAGCATTGGCTGGACGGTACAGGTACACGTCAAGCGGGCCCACTCCCAGCAGGAACTTGACCGTCTTGTAGGTCAGGGCCAGGGTTCGGAATCGTTCGAGCCTCTCATCGGTAATGTTGCTGGAGAGACCGACATCCTCGTCCTGGGTGTAGACAGTTTCACGAAGAAGTTGCGGGTGGATATCGACGTGGGAGTAACCATTGTATATATCCAGGACAATCGAGTCCGAAATGCCGTGTTCGCGAAATAGGTTGGCCAGGGTGTTGTCTAGCGTTATTGATGGCGAACTCGGAGTGTCGAAACGGGAGACGGCCTAGGAGAGTATTCTTTGTCAATTGCAAGTCGGCTAGCAAGATCCAGACCAGCAGGTGGTTTTGTTAATACCGTTGACAGTTTGGAATTGGTTGCGTGAGATATCAGGCCCTCTGGAATAATCTCAAGGGCGATGCGAGAGAGCAGACTCCCCGCGTCGAAAACGTCATTTTTAAAAGAGAATAATATTAAAACAACGGGGAATAATAAGCTATAATGGAGAATATTCATCTTCGAAAACATGGTCCCAGAGCAACGAGCGAAGAATGGGGAACTGAAAACAGTGGGAAGAACTTGACCTAGGTCATGGGTGAATTCTTGCGAACTAACGACGGCTGATCCATTACAGCTGACGGCTCTTATATATATATATATAAATGCGATTGCAACCAAGCCACTAATCAAGCCCCTTAAAACCTCTTGGAAGCTCAAAAAGCTGAAAATGGTGAGAGGATATGGGCTTGGATATCAGAGAAACCCCCCTGGGCAGTTTTAGGCTTGGACACAGCCCAGCACTGCAGAAGCCGCAAGGAAAAAGTGGTCATCGTAGCCTGATCTTCGTCAATGAACTGCTTGTCCACCCAACTTATCAATCGTTAGCAGGGTAACGGCACGGAATAATGCTGCTGTCAAAAGTATGCTTATCCAGGGGTCCAGCCATCTCTCGCCCTTAAAACATGGCCTGGCAGAGATTTTCCACCCGACATCAAAATCTATCTTCCCAGATAGTTAAGCTCATCGCTGTGTCCACGCAATTCCAGCCCCGACGTCGTGCCGCTTGCATGCAGGCCAATCATCGCCTGCATCTGGCTCCCTCTGCAGCTCAGATTTGACGACCTCGGATTAAGGTTCAATAATGCATCTGTGCTTATGCATGCCGCTAGTGAGCGGATCTCGCGTCCGCCCAAATATTCAGTCTTGCACGCCCAAAGCCCCCACAAAATATAGTTCTCCGTAGTTATCCCTGGGCCGCAAGAATATCGGAACTTCTTCTTGTGTCTGTGAGTATAGTAATAGGGCAAGTAATGGGTCGAAGACTGTTCTATTGTAAGAGACGAGAGTCAAGAGGGATGTTGAATAGAATAATCGAAGCTGATGTCACAAACCTAGTTATCCCACCCATGCTCGCATCCCAAACCCCTAGCAAAACGGACGTACATACGGGGTACATACTGAAACCGGGAAGCTCGGTCTCTGTGTTGTGCTTTCGGTGCCAGATCTCTCTAGCTTCCACATGGCCTTGTACCCAACTATGGCTTCCCCGTCTAAAGGGATGATATTCCAATTTAGCTAGACTCGCACACATTACCCAAGGATACCTTGGGGCATGAGGCCTTCTGTCCCTTGTGGTCCAGCATTAGGTGATCTTCTTGCCGTTTTGATATTTGATATCATCGTCAGTATCGTATAGTATGTTCAAATCCCCGTCTATTATTCAGTTATTTAGGTAATAAACAAAATATTAGATATATTACTTACCCCAATGCCCAGCTTTCTCCAGGAGCTCCACCAACTCCTCCTGAGTCATGCCATCTATTTTTTTTTGAGATGATACTAGAATACCTTGTGCCTTCCCTCCTTGCTTATTATCTGGGGTTTAGAATCAAATGGTGGAGAGGATACAGTAGGATTGCTCGTAAGGTGGGTCAAGGCAGGGGAGCCGGATAACTCGCTTGACGAGGATTCAGAGGTAGGTTTAACGGTCTTTTTTGAGGGAGCCATCGTGTCTGTAGTTGTAGTTTGAGGTTGTGGTTTATAGTTACCTGTGTTGGTCGCTTATATAATTGACTATGGCTCAACCACAGATCGAGTTACTTATAATTATCCCATTAGGCTATAAAGAGAGTGAATACTAAGATCAAACCGTGCCCCGGATATAGCTAGTTAATCTATCTAACACAGAGTAAAGCCAGAGTAAATAGGGAAAAGTGAAAACACAGAGAGTTATTTGTATGCATCTGTACCTCGACAAGTGACTATGGCTAGTGCCGAACATAGCGAGCGACCGGTTAAAGATAAGAAGAAGAAGAAGAAGAAGAAGAAGAAGGGAAGAACAAGCTTAAGCTCGCCGGCACTAACTTGACTTTGACCTCAGGCGTGACAAAAAAAGAAAGAAGAAAAAAGAAAAGAAAGGGGGAGGGATGAAGTCTGGGGTGGCCGTTGGGGGGAGGAAGCAGGGTCAGGAGGGAAGATGGAGGTAAAAGAAGTGTAACCCTTGATAATACCTCAGAAGAAACCTAAGGCAGTATCAGGAAGAGGTTGACTGACAGGTCGAATAACTAGTTCATTAGCTAACTACCGCTGCCCGATAAGCCTTCCCTACTCACTTCATAGTTAAGTATTTACGGTGAGCGTTAGCGACAGGCCATAAAGCTTGTTTCGGTGTAGAGACTGACACAAGAAGTACTTTTAATAAGGAATTACGGAGTACTAGATTTAGATAATATCGTTAGTATATAGAAGACATAGAGACAAAGGAAAGTGCTGGGGAGCGACATCTCACAAGCCATTCCTTAAACCCTGGCCATGAATGATCCTTGACCTTCGTCTTCTGATACTGTTCTCTCCCTTCTCCATATCTTTTCTAAGGTAATTTCTGCCTTTCCTAGCCCCCTTATTCTGTCTGTCCGTTGGCTAATCAAGATGCAATCTCAAAAAACTCCCCGGTCACGCGAGAGTCCACCCCCGTCCTTTTCGCAACTGGCTTTCTCTCATCCGCGGTTCAGCTAGACCTCTTATCCCGGTTTCCTACTTGCTTGGCGGTAGTTCAGGGTGAATCACCCAAATCCTCACCAAGAGGGCCACATGAACTGTGTCCAAAGGCCACCATCTGTGTCGGTACTTTTGGTGACACCCCCATTTACTCCATACTTAGTGCTCCGTAGCACTCCCTAGTTGTGAAATCCAAGGTCCAGGCGACGGCTCTCCGCAAAGCTGTGACGACTGCGCCATGACAAGGAACATCTGAAATCCTTGGCTGTTGATGGCCTCGACTTGCCCCAGACACCCAGACGGCTGACGTCGGCGGCTATCACAGCCCTTATCCAGCCGAGGCGAGGTTATTTAGCGCGGAAGGGTGGGTCCATCGGGCGGGCGAGGATCGGCTGAAGAAACGACACTATTGGCTGGCGTTTTGCTGATTCGAGCCAACAGAGACGCGTTATGGATCGCTTGGCGCTGACCAATCAGAGCGCAACGTAACTGCCCGTGGCTGAGTAAGCACTGCGCCAAAAAGTCACTTCCCAGATTTTTGTTGATCTTCTCGACCCCCAAGTCTCTCACGGTCCTTCAGTGATCATCATGTCAAGCGACTTATCGAACATTCTTCGAAGGAACGAGCTAGCAAACCCAGCAGGCCCATTGGATATCGAACCGAGCATTGAGTTGAGAATTGGGCTCTGAATAGAAGATCTAAGCAGTCAACATCAAGTCGCGAACCGGCCTAGTTATCCACGAGACGAACGAGTCTAATATCAAGCCATCAACATGCTTGCTCTGCCAACATGGCTTTTATCGGCCTTATATGCATCCCGATATGGCCCGCGTTGCGGACAACGCGTATAAATCGCATCTTATATAAGCCCATCACGTGAATCATGAGCTCCCCGCCTCGATTCATACTGGGAGCCGACAATTTATACGATAGAGGCGAGGAAGAAGATGGAAAATGGCGCCTTGAAAGCTGGTAGAGCGATTGATTGAGACAAGGTAGTAAATGGGGGTAAAAGCGTGGAGAAGTTGAAGCCTTCATGCCACTAACTGCGGCAATGTAGCTAACTTGGTATTCATAAGTAACGAATTATTCAAAGCCAAGTTTGCCCACCAACGTCATATTCCAAGAGGGCAAACTACAGCATAGAAACGTATCGGCTATTACCGTCGAGAGAGAAAGGAGGCTAGAGAAGGTCTCCATTATCCATCTATAGCATACAACTGCCTCAGAGATATACATAGCCATCCCACCATGGCCTCCAAAGCATTCAACGTGGGGGTTATCGGCTACGGCATGAGTGCCAAAGTCTTCCATATTCCCTTCATCAGCGCCCTCCCAGAGTTCAATTTACATGCAATTGTGCAAAGAACACCATCAGCTTCAGACGATGCTCAAAAGGATCACCCGAAAAGCAAAGTCTATCGAAGTGCTGAGGAATTGGTCAACGATAGCGCCGTCGATGTGGTGGTGATCACAACCACGCCGGATAGCCATTACGCTTTGGCAAAGCTTGCTCTGGAAGCGAAGAAACATGGTACGGTTGATTACCCACCCGGAGGGAATACTTTATACAGACCACTGACTGACTGGTGGATGGGTTATTATATAGTCATTGTTGAGAAACCCTTTACTCCAACTAGGAAAGAAGCAGATGAGTTGATAGAGCTGGCAAGGACACAGGATAAGCTGCTCACAGTGTATCAGAGTGAGTAGATTGCTATTATTATTCTACAGGCAGGACGGCTTTTCTAACAAAATCTATTTTGACAGACCGAAGATGGGATGCAGACTTCGTGACGGCTTCAAAGCTCATCAAGGACGGATCCCTAGGCCGCGTGGTAGAGTTCGAGACTCATTTCGATCGCCATCGTCCAGAATTGAATATCAAGAAAGCATGGAAGGGCAAGGACATCCCTGGTGGTGGCTCCATCTACGACCTGGGAACCCATCTCATAGACCAGGCAGTTCACCTGTTCGGTCTACCAAACGAGATCACCGGCTTCATCACCGCTCAGCGTGAGATTACTACGGAGAACTACGAGGATTCGTTTACCGTTCTCTTGCATTATGACAGACTGCTGGTAACAGCGAAGAGTGGGGTTATCAGCCCTGAAGAGAATCAGCTCCGGTTCTGGATCAGGGGCGAAAAGGGGAGCTTTAAGAAGGTACGGCACTATACCACCCTCGTACTCTTCCGTATAATCGCAAAGAGGTTGACCATAGTTCTCTGTGCAGTATCACCTTGACCCTCAAGAAGACCAATTACAAGCCGGTGTAAAACTAGATGATGCTCAGTATGGATGCGAACCCAGTGATAGGCACGGTACGTTGTTCAGCAGTCCTACCCCGAATGTCTGATGCGCATGCACTTCAACACATGTGTCGCATGTAGTGCAACCAGCGATCCACGATAGTTAACTCGTTAGCTAACTGCTGCTCTAGGTATCCTTACAACATCTGTTGGTGGAAAGTTCACATCGCAGACTGTTCAGCCGGAGCCTCCAACTTACAAAGAGTTCTACCGTTTATTCGCAAAGTCTCTGTCTGGCCAAGGGCAGGTCCCCGTAAACCCAGCTGATTCGAGTATTGTCATCAGTTTGATTGAACTTGCAAAGGAGAGCTCCAAAAAGAGAGCTACCCTTCCTGTTCCGAAGTCCTAGGGTATTGTTTTAGTCTTAAGCCTATATACGTTTAAAACATACATATATCTTCGAGAATCTATGGTGCCAGAGTATAAATTAGTATTTCGCCATAATTACTAGGAATCTCTTGCACTGCCTAGGTAGTTAATGATAGTGCCACCGAGAGCCATGGAAGCGTTGTAGTAGGTGCGGAGGCAATATTATTGTTGCATCACCACCAATTTGAGTCTTTACTTCCTTCAAACTGTTCACGAAAGAGAAGAACGGCAACAATAGCAACAGATACTTAGCCTGAATTAGTTATAGCTAGGTAAAACACTACGTATACAAGTTATCACTTTGAAGAATAACTATCTTACCGTCATTCAGGAATATCAAGCTTCCCATGATGGACCGGTTTGGGTGGTATACCTATCCCTATAATCCGCACATTTCTCTGGCATCGTCCCCGGACTTCTCTGACAGGAGCTTCAAATCCAGATCGCCTATTTTCACTCATTCTCTCGCCCCCGATCATCCGATAGTTTCGCAATAGGATGCTGTCTCCGAGCGCATCATAGAGCTCTTGGACAGTGTAGGGATTCAGTGGGTGGCCGTAGACTGTTTTGAGCGGCGTCAGGGTTTCACACTCGGAGGCGAACACTCTGAGAGACACAAGACCACAGTTCTTATCACTATGCAGGAATTCCCATATATCGATTCTGTGTTTAAGAAGATACTTCATGAAATCTATGAATGCTCAGGTATGCCTCGTTACCTTTACTCAGCCGGGGATAGGTAAGGCTAATGATCCATCTATATCTTACATGGTGTCAGGAGGTCTCTTCATTGAGCTACTGGAGGGAAAAATCTGGTGCGGCGCAACAGAGTCCATCTATAGGTGGTGGTATAACTGCTTAGATGAACAATGGCCAACGGAGACCAGAGATGAGAGGAGTTGGAGAACGTGGGATTCATACCGAGGAGATCTAGTTGCTAATACCTATGTTGCTACCGACGGTATTGACAAGTCTCTGGGTAACTTCAGCTGCTATTTGCTCCTGTCTAAGCCTGGCGAGGATGCCACCCCTGATGTCAAGCAGTGCGGCTTAGCATGCCATCACGTTGTCAGCCTATGCAATGGGGATTCCACCCTCGCTGGCAAAGAGCCAAGTCAGTACTTCGCTGACAATCAAATGTTTCCTCCTAAGCGCTTGAAAGTCATAGAATCAGCTCCTGCGTTAGGTGGTAAGATGAATATGGCTGATGAAAACAATCCTTTAGGGCCGATCACTAGGGATGTAGGGAAGAATATCAGGATCCGGTATCCAACTACTCAAGAGCACGAAATAGAACGAAATGGGATGCCCCCCGATAACCTCGAGTTTGCGAATGAGGAGGAGAAGGAAATTGGCACCGTTCTGGCCAGTTCTGGTTTAGCGATGTCAATGGACGACAACTGCAGGTTGGACTGGGCAGTGGTCCTCTGCAAGCCAGAAGAATCCGGGAAGAACGTCATCGTCCACGGCCAGGGGGGATATGTGACGATTAACCATTGGGCGAGGCCTACTGGTAACAGTGAAATTTATCTTCCTGAACGAGGAGTCAAGGGGTATCTGAACACAGTGAAAAGCTGTGTTTGTTATAAGAATGCCGGCCAGGAGACGAGAACAAAAGAGTGGGCAGTCATTGGTGGATGCAAGGGTTTCTTCGACATCCAGGACGTCTCTGGACAGCTGGTTGTTGGGAAGTCCAACGACCATGCTCTCGGTGTTATTTGGGGAGGAACCAGATCTAAACTGATAGTAGGGACAGTATACATCACACCACTGCATGTCATTGCTCGAAGCATCCGTGAGACAACTAGCTACAGTGTTTCACTTGCTGGGGGACCAGAGATTATCTGATTCCCCCATGGGGGCCCCATGGATGCTCCATCGCGGCTCCATGAAACGACAAATAAGTAGTTATTCGCCCACATCCTCGCTCGTTAGAAAAGCCTCATCCCAATTAACTATAATGTGACGCTTCCTCTTTGTTTGGTTTAACTCAAGCCAGCAGTTGGCCTCGATATACGACCTGGTTCCCGCAACAAATAGTCAACTACCGAGATCGTTAAGCTTCAGCCATCGAGCCATGGACCAAGATGAACCCAGGCTCGCAGCCAACTGAAAACGGCTTTGGCCACCTAGTTAGTTAGGACTATTTTATATTCAGATCGGGAATCGAATACCACCAACCAGCTATGCATGGAGTTTAACAGGCGAAAAGGATGAACAAAAAGCAAATACCAATGTGATCAGTGGATTCCCAACCAAAGGTCAACCAACATCTACCGTTTTATACATCGACTTTTCGAACAAGCCAACCACATGCGCATCTTCTACCAGTCTCGAAACAGACAAAGTCCTTCCCTTCACGCTTGATTCCAGTAATATGATATATACCCTTTCAACCATGAGGAGGAAAAGGGGGCAAGCCCGACAGATTAAACCTTTTGCAGTCTGCATTCTGCTCTCTACTTCGTGCAGATTGAAACTTCGCCTGCATCGCTAGCTGCGCGTGTACTCCGTGAGCTGAGGAGATAGCTGGAACCACATATGTAGCGACCTTTCAAACCATCTGGCAATCGGTTTTCTTTTCCTTGGTATCGTCTCACGGTGCATGGCGTACGGGAGTCGGGAGCACCACGGGAAAATTAGTGAAAACTCTCGGACTAGTCTGTGCTGTTTGCTTTTTCACTTATTCTGGCCCTTCCTCGCAGGTCCTGCTCCTCTCCCTCCTAGTCGATGGTTTGAAAAGCATGGATGGCTGTTGTGCCTTGGCCATTCTCGCGGCGGGCGGCCACCTGTGCTGCCCTTGTCCTACGTTCCTGTTGATGGTGGCTTTCTCTCTTTTCTTCTTCGTCTTCCTCCCTCCTCCGTGTGTGTGTCTCTTCTTTGAGCCTGCGGATACACACAGGCCATGGCATCAAAAATGCAACCAACTCCTGCCTTGCCCTACCGTCTGTGATATCGCCATCCCATCCCCAAATAGCTACTTCCATGGTGAAGTAACTAACTAAGCCTCTAGATGCAGATCGAGGCCATGCCAAACAAAGAAGAAGCCTTTCGAACCCCCTTCGCCTCCTGGTGGTTTTTAGTTCATCTCTTCTAACTTCCCGCAGCCTTTCTTCTCTTATCTGACCATCCAGCTCCGTGTATTCGGAACTAGATGGAGGTATCACGGGCCCTCCTAGCTAACGAGAGAGGAAGTATAAGAAGAAAAGAGCGAGAGAGGGAGAAAAAAAGCAAATCTCGTGCATCTCCATGAAAACAAGAAGAAGCAAAAGTGCTACTCCCAAGAAAAGAAAGGAAAGGACAAGACCCGGCGAGGAGCCTTCGAATAGGCAGAGAAACGGGGGGAGGGGGTTGTTCAGCTCATATTCATGGCCATTAGGTTCCCAGTTAAACGGTCCCTTTATATCTCCCGCGTACAGAGTACATACCTACGAATATGTATATGTATGCTTCTGCGCCTCCGTGGTCAAGAATTTAGTTCTTCGTTCGCCTTTTATTTTCATGCTGTCAAACACGCACCGGGACACGTTTCTCATGCACCATCATTATCGCTATCACCAGGACTAGGACCGACTTCAGCCTCGATATATATACATACCTTCATATATATAGCTGCAGCATAAGATCCTTACATACCCTCCTTTTTTTTTTCCCTCGCCTTCTCTGTGTTGTTCCTTGTCCTTGCTTTACCACTCGTACCCTCCGCTGGCCATGAGACGAGAATAAGCATACTTCGCGCTCATACTAACCTCAACTCCGTCTCTGGTTCAAGTTCATGGCTGGACAGGATGGGGTTGTTGGTCTCTACACAAGGCCTGCCGTCCAGCCTTCATGTCGCTCGCAGCCAGCGAGACTTTGCGTTTGAGCGAACCTTCAGCCATGGCAGCAAATCTGCCATGATCCTAAGCACGGCTGGCATATTCTCGGGACTCTCATGCCTCATCGTCCTGCTACGCTGCTACGCTCGGTTCTACCTACTAAGGCGCTGTAGGCCAGATGACGGAATGCTAGTCGTGGCAACCGTAGGTTAAACTTTTTGCGACTGTTGATATTTCTCCATTTTTGGATAACTGATGTGCAGGCTGTTGTCAGGTGTTCTCCTTCGTGTGTATTGCATTTTTAATAGATGAGTCGCGGCATGGGCTGGGTGAATATACGGATGACATGTCGATCCCGGACATCGAGAGACTAGCCTTGATATCATACATCCATTGGATTTTCTTGATAATAGCCAAGTCGATGGTGAAAGTCGCAATTTGCTTCCAGTTTCTTCGGATTCCGCAGCCGAAAGCATGTCTGCTACTGGTCAAGGGCTTAATGGGTAAGATCTCCCTGCCCCTATATCTTTAAATGTCAAATGCTCAAGGGAAATCCATATAGGCCTTATAATAGTGACAACCATAGCGCGGCTTGGACCATTCATCTTTCGATGTCGGCCTATCAAGGTGTACTGGACATACTCTATGTCTGATGAAACCTGCATTGGGAGCAAGGCAATGTCCGCTATTAGTGTGGTTATGTGTGGTTCGTCATATCCCTAATCTTTAACTAGGCACCTTCTAAGGAGCTGACGGAGTCGATGCACCCAACAGGACAGGATGTTGTGACAGACTTGATTCTCACGAACCTACCGCTTTATTATTTCCCTCCAAGAAGCCTAGTACGGCGTGCAGGCATTGTCCTTGCTGGCATTGTGGGACTGGGGTATCTGTATGGTTGCAACTGTTGCAGTGAACAACAGGGGAGAGCATATGCTGACAGTTCATGTTCTAGGGGGTGCTGCGTAGCTATCGTCAAGATGGCTCATTCCATACTCAGTGTATATCTTGACAGCGGGTATAGGTGTGTCTCTGCTCTTCCGCCTCAATATTTTTGATAGACAACGGAGAGTCTAACACTACTTCCTTAGGGGCGATATCTTCTTCCTGCTGAGCACGTATGTTGTCTTACCTCCATACCCATGCAATATCAAATTAATCATTAATACTGGTCTCAGGCTCGAACTCCATATTGCCATAATAGCATGTTCAATACACACTCTTCGCCCCTTATTCGAGAGCTACAGCGATGCAATCTTCATCAGTCGATACGGTCATGACGGCCATAACCTCGATGACGACTCCTCTTCGACCAGTCCAGGCGACGGTTCTAGGATACGAATGATCTCAATATCCAAATATGCATCCAACCGACTAACGTTTGATGAGGATAGGCTCAGTCCAATTAACAGCTACGACAGCAAGAACAGGGGGCCGCATTGCAGTGCAAGGGTGGGCAGCATTGGGCCGGCATTGTCATCGGCATCAGCGTGTGAATATAAAGTTGAAGTTAGCGCTTCAAGGGTATCACCTACAGGGACTTATCACCTCCCTCCTTTCCTCAAGGATGCGCAGAGTAACGGCTCACTTCGAAACGGCGGCGAGACACAACTGGGCGCACTGCCTGGGATAATGTGTACGACAGACGTATATGTTCGGATGGACAGCCCGTCGGAAAAAGCGAGCGTACAGGGAGTCTAGCTGAGAGTTGCTTGGGCCCAAACTCTTTGTATACATAACTAGTTAGTAAAACTAATAGCAATTAAGTGCCATCCCGTTCTGCGGATGAATCGTGTGATCGTCGCTATCAAGCTTAGTCGTATCAATACCATAAATAGTAAGACAGCTAGGCCTATACCTCAGGGGTTGGTATGTATAAGTTTGATGTCTGTGGGTATACGGGAATCCCGCAGGGGAACAAGGCTGGGGGTTTATGCAAAGTCCGTTTCACGGGGCACCCTACAGGCCACCACAACGGAGCCTATCTCGAGAAACAGCACCTAAGTTCGAGTATATATAACTAATATAGTTCCCCAGATCCTCAGCGGCTGAGCCTTTTATCTCTGATAAACAGTTTATCGCTGCCACGAAGGAGGGAGGATCCGTTAGCTGGATCTGCCGTCGATAGGGGCCAGTCCGGCGTTGTCAGGACAGGGGAGGATACCATCGTCGTCGTCATCACTCTGGCCTGTCGAGTACGCACAGAGTAGGGGTCAAGGTGCTCTCTCTCCTGTGTCTTTCTCTCGGCTGTTTGTTTCTCTTCTCTGATGCTCGTGTTGGTTGAAGTTGAGGGAGCAGAAGTTGGTCAACCGCTGGGGTTTGCCGCGGTAACTAACTGCATAGCAAGTTAGTTAAATAACCAACACTGACCAGCAGCCCATGCCCTGCAAAGCTTCTCCAACCAAGCTTTTCTGGATCTCCGGTACTTCGCCCACCACCAAACTTGGGTGGGATACGAAGTACCTGCCAGTCCCGGTGGCGGATCATGCCACACGCTGGGCCGGCACGACCAACCAGTCAGCGTCCCGACCTTCCGCGGAGAAATGGTTCCTCGCAGGGGGAAAGGAACATCGAAATGAGAAAAAGAGGAACAGAGTTGAAGCCTTCAAGATGATGATAAACTAGCGTTTATCCTCTTGATTTATATCCCCCGTTTCTGTTGGTTCTTTTTCATATGTGATAATTAGTTATCTAGTTATAGAGCCTGTTTCTCTCTCTCGGGCTCTGTTTTCTAGTGTTGTTGTCCCTGTGGGCCAAGGAGACCTGAATAGTCATTTGGCTGCCTGTTGATGCGGCATCTCATGACAACCGGCTCTGAGGTCGATGAATAGAGAGTCTTCGATTCCTTTCTTCCATGCATTATAGACATTGTCGTTTCTTTCGCCATTTTCCTTGCTGAACATAGTCTTTTCTTGGGCAAGTTTCTTTCCGGGTCTCCCGTTGTTTGCTGTATAAAAAGATTTTCGCGCCAATGAACCTCAACAGCCTCCGGAGGATAGAGATCGATATCGATATCTTCCTCAACCGGTTTATCCCCCATCCGCGATGGCACCGATATCCATACCCTATTGCCCACTTCCTCGGCCATAGACGTGAAGCTGTGCCTAAGCTCGGGACGCTGGTAGTCATATTCTGGACGTTTGTTGGCGTTTTCTGCGGCCTGTTGACTATTACTGCATTATCTCAACATATCCCTTCTTTCACACAACACGAAGCCCCTCTGGTAGTGGGCAGTTTTGTAAGTGCTACTCCAACCTCCCCGTTTCATCATAAACCCAGGAGACTCATTTTTATTTTGGTGACTAGGGAGCTGCAGCCGTGCTTGCATACTGTGCTATAGAATCACCACTCGCACAGCCCAGGAATGCAGTGCTTGGTCACTTTCTTGCAGCAGTTGTCGGGGTGGGGATAACAAAGCTGTTCGCCCTCCATCCCCGTCATGAGGAGCTCTACTGGATAGCAGGCCCTCTGTGCTGTGCTTCTGCCACGCTGGTGATGGCGCTTACAAAAACGGTCCACCCCCCAGCAGGCGCCACTGCTTTACTTGCAGCCGTTGACCCGAGGACGAGACACCTCGGCTGGTTCCTTCTGCCAGTCGTCCTTCTTGCCTGCACTATCGTCCTTGTCACAGCTCTGATCTTCAACAATATAGAACGACGCTTCCCGACGCATTGGTGGACTCCTGTCAGCCTGATTCCACCAAAGACGGCAGACCTAGAGTCCTCGACTTCCGAAGAGACCGTCCACCCTGATCCGCCAGGCCAACGGCCCTCCTCCGATGGCACTGAAAAGCAGCCTGGAGACTATATCACCATCAGACCAGGACAGGTCGAGATATCAGGATCCATCTCCCTCACTGCCGCTGAACATGACTTCCTCGAACGACTCAGTAGACGTATCATAGACATAGATGAGAAAGACGCTTCAACCGAAGAAAAAGCAGACGAACCCAAACAAAACTAGACCTCATTCCTCTTCTCTTCTTTTCTTCCTCTCTTCTTCACTTTCTTCATCTGTTATGATTTTCCTTTTTTGTTTTGTCTTTTTTTGCTTTTCCTTGGGCTCAGCTCTGATGTCATAGCCACGTGATCTACAGCCAATGATAATTCATGGAATTACTTACATAAGCTTCACCCTCCTAGATTTTTCACCCGCGACCTTTTTTTCCGCCTAAAACTCATCATCTTCATCTTCATCTTTTAACTGCAGCCTCAAGCAGCAACAGCGACAAGTCATCGTGGGCGACTTGTCTCTCCAGCTTTATATCGCGGGATAGGATAGAGCCGTCTGGATACCCCAGGACTGTCTCTGCCAGCCAGCTTTCTTTCCTTGCCTTTTTTTTTATTTAAAATAGACCGCTGTTCATCCCACTCTTAGGGCTTCCTATCGATAAGGCATCGAAACCCCCACCATCGGTTTGTGCTTCCTCCTTTTTGAGGCCCGATATTGATATTCATCCTCTCACACTTGGCTGCCTGTTTACATATCAAATGCTGGAACTACACCTGCTGGGCATACCTGACATATAACTGACATCTGATATATACAATCTAGATCGATAGTAAAGCAATATCCAGTTGATCTAGACCAAAAAGGAAAAGTTATCTAGCAAATATGGTGTCTGCATCGAAAGCTGCCCGTCAGGCCAAACGTGCCGCTGAGGGAGACAAGAAGAAGACAGCGACCTCCAAGCTGTCGTCAAAGGCCAACTCTAAGAACGTCTCCACGGCTTCTTCTGTTAACGGTGACGATGCGGAGGAGGCCGCCACCAGCTCCGCCAAGATGTCCGACGTCAAGAAGTTAACAGAGCAGACGGACAAGTTCGGACTGTCAGATCGTGTCACTACCGGTGTTTTAGCATCTATCCCATCCAGCAGAGACGTTAAGATGTCATCCATCTCGCTTGTGTTCCACGGACGAGTCCTCATCACAGACTCTACTCTTGAACTCACCTACGGCAAACGATATGGTCTCCTCGGAGAGAACGGTTGCGGTAAATCTACCCTCCTAAAGGCCATTTCCAAGAGAGAATTCCCCATCCCAGAGCACATTGATATCTATCTACTCAACGAGGGTGCTCCCCCAAGTGACCTCGGAGCTTTGGACTGGGTCGTCACAGAGGCACAGAACGAGCTGGACCGACTAGAGAAACTTGCTGAAGATGTCTTGGAAAACGAGGGGCCAGATTCGCCTGTCCTCGAGGATATCTACGAGGTAAGTAGAGTAAAAAAAAAAAAAAAAAAAAAACTAGATAATGGACATATACTGACGAAATTTACAGCGAATGGACGGCATGGACCCATCTACTTTCCACACCCGAGCCTCTCTCATCCTTACTGGTCTTGGTTTCAACAAGGTCACTATCAAGAAGATGACCAAGGATATGTCCGGTGGTTGGAGAATGCGTGTTGCTTTGGCCAAGGCTTTGTTCGTCAAACCATCTTTGCTTCTTCTCGACGACCCCACTGCCCATCTTGACCTTGAGGCCTGCGTGTGGTTGGAAGAATACTTAAAGAAGTGGGACCGAACCCTCATCCTCGTCTCCCACAGTATGGACTTCTTGAACGGTGTCTGCACAACCATGATTGATATGCGAATGAAGCAGCTTATGTACTATGGTGGAAACTACGATTCCTACCAGAAAACCCGTGCTGAACAGGAAACAAACCAGATGAAGGCATACCACAAGCAACAGGAAGAAATTGCCCACATCAAGAAGTTCATTGCATCCGCTGGTACATACGCCAACTTGGTACGACAGGCTAAATCCCGACAAAAGATCCTCGACAAGATGGAGGCCGATGGTTTCATCCAGCCCGTTATCCCCGACAAGATCTTCACCTTCAGATTTGCCGATGTTGAAAAGCTACCTCCACCAGTCCTTTCATTCGACGACGTCACATTCTCCTACTCCGGTGATCCAAAGGATAACCTGTATGAGAACCTTGACTTCGGTGTAGATATGGACTCTCGAACTGCTCTCGTCGGCCCCAACGGTGTTGGAAAGTCTACCCTTCTCCGTATCATGACTGGCAAGCTCGCTCCCACAGCTGGTGTTGTCACCCGCCATACCCACTTGAAACTCGGCATGTACAGTCAGCACTCTGCTGAGCAGCTCGACCTGACCAAGAGTGCCCTCGACTTCGTTCGTGACAAGTATTCTGAGAAGAGTCAAGATTACCAGTACTGGCGTCAGCAGCTTGGCCGATACGGTCTTTCTGGCGAATCTCAGACTGCCCTCATGGGAACTCTTTCTGAGGGTCAGAAGAGCAGAATCGTCTTTGCCATTTTGGCCATTGAGAGCCCCAACATGTTGTTGCTTGACGAACCTACCAACGGATTGGATATTCCTACCATTGACAGTTTGGCAGATGCTATCAATGCTTTCAGCGGTGGTGTCGTCGTTGTTTCTCACGACTTCAGGTACGAATTTAGTCCTCCAGTTTTTACATGTTGTTCATGAATCAAGATACTAACATCATTATTTAGACTCCTTGACAAGATTGCCAAAGATATTATGGTGTGCGAGAACAAGACCGTCCGCCGATGGGACGGCACCATCGGCGAGTACAAGAACCACCTCCGAAAAAAGATGATCAACGCCGGCCAAGTCTAATGCCGACAATCGGAGGCTTGTTCTTTTCTTGCTTGATTCCCCATTTATTTACTCATTCTCTTTACTGCCGACAAAAGCAACCTCTGCAACCAACGGCCTTACTTCAAAATTTTGTCATGTTTCACTTCCCTTCACGGTCTCGGTGGTACGAATGGTTTTATCATCCCTTGACCTATTATCGTTATGTAAATGGGCCTTTTCCCCTGGTCAGCGCACTAAAAATCGATTTGCGTACATGGGAACCGGGATTGTTTAGATTAAAACTGATGTTTTCTATCCTTCCGTTTGAATTATTTTTTTGCATTTTGCTTCGACATAGGAGGCTTCTATTTTCGCCTTCATGAAATGGCAAGGTAATAGAAAAGGTTATGTGATGAAATGAAAGATTACTTACTACCGTTCGTTTATATTATGACATAACTCTTATATTTGAATAGCTATGGTAAAAGTAATACCGTGATGCCACGCCTACACAATATAGGTAGTTATGTTGTTGATAGAGCAAGGACCCAATTGCCATAAAACACCAATCCAGTACACTCAATGCTATGCTTATTTTGCTTCGACGGCGTCTACCATTCACCGTATAGTATATAATTATATCTGTTATCCCTTCTTCAGGTCCCCTCCAAAGGGAGAGTTCATCCGTCCTCCAAGCCTCTCACCCTCCAATTTACGCTTCTTAGCAGCGCGGTCTATATCATTTTCCACGCCCTGCTCCTCATTCCCAACAGCTGCATTAGATAAAACTGGTGCAGCAATGGGTTCCGAGGGCGTATTAGTTCCGGTCGGGACGGCGGAGCCGCCCGCCTTTTGCAACCTGTTTAAAGCAATCAGATCTTCCCTTTCTGGGTTCTGGCAGTGGAACAGCTTTTTGCCTATCAGCTTTAGCCTCTTCATCCGCGCAGAGCCGGGAACAGTACTTGATGTTCCATTATTTTGAATGTAAGAGGTAAGTAAATCGCTGCAGGATTGTATGACAGGGATCAGTTTGGCGTGTATGTTGGAGAGCATGGCTGACGGCGACGTTGGGGAAGAAGAGGATGTAGCTGGGCCGAGCTTTGTTTCTAGATAAAATTCGGCTAGGGGTCTATCGGCGATGAACAAGGCAGATACCCAGATCTGGGAAGGGGTATAGAGGAAATATGCATCTGTCATTTGCGCGGAGTGTTTGAGGATTTCTCTGGTATTATGGTGTACTTTTGCCAAACGGGTTGACAGCGGCGAGGCAGGCACTGGCCCTGCTATCGAAGTAGGGGGAGGTGGAAGTGATTGGATAGATTTCTGAAGTCCAGCTGCAGTAAGGCCTGGAAGATGTGGTCCTGGTGTAGCTTCTCCCTTTGCAATTGCGTTCAGCTCCATCATCCCGCCCTCCAACCCACGAAACGGATGGCGTACGTCAAAAGTGAATCGTAGACCCTGTGTGAGTAGGAACTCAGGAGCAATTATACCTTCCATCGTCGAATTGGGTATGTGTTCGGTAAAAGACCGGAGGGACATGTAGAAGTTATCTGTCTTGGTAGCCAGGAAGAGCGCACACGGCATGATTGATTTCGGGTGATAAGTCATTGGGGAGTTTGTAAGGTAGAATCGCCGAAGGTATTGGATTGCAGTCGCCTTTTTCAAAACATCTATTAGCATCGATATAGATTCGAGGTGTACAGACGCATACATACCCTCACTGTTGTGGGTAGAGGTGGTTTATACTCGTCTCCCAGCTCCATGGTCTTCTCGCAAAAGTATTGTACCAGCTCAAACTCCTCGTCCGGTGTAAGACAATCTATCTCCTGCTCGTTTGCTGCTCCCGTTCGAGCTGGCGTAACGGCTCTTTCGCCATCGCTTGGGGTTGGATTCGGCGTGCCTTGGTCTGGTGTTGGAGCTGAAGAGGCTTGTTGTCGGGCTTCTCTGGCCCGGCGGACAGCGGCACGAACACGCTCGCTTGCAACGGCGTTTGTATTAGCTCGAATCGACCGGAGAGAGTCTTCTGTAAATGACCATAGGCGGAATTGTGTGGAGGTTCGGTATATGTCGTCTTCTAGCATGGTGGGCCGGTGAGCGTGGATATCCAGGTGAGTAGAGGTGAAAATGACCCAACAATCAAACGTATAAGGGAGACAGGAGAGCAGGTATAGAGAAGAATCTCAAAATGTCGTGTCTTGGATCAAGCCATAAACCGTGGTCAAGATGTATCTGAGTAGTTAAATATGCGAGCTTGGAGCTTTTGTATTGGGAGGTTGAAGTAAAATATTACACTTTTGCATAGAAGCTAAATATATCAGCCCTATACATCATCATGCGACACCACTACTGCTGCTACTATAGTTATAGCAAACTATCGAGAAAAATACTGAATATAAATACGATGAGGGAAGTTGAATGTGATTTGGGATTGAAGCACCTATTTAGTTTCCACACAAAAGCCTTTGCTCCGCGCTATAACGCCAGTCTTGTTGATCCATCGCCAGACACCGCTTATGCTCCCCCCTGGCTCCCTCTTCTCTCCATCCGCTCTTCTCCTCTCCTTCCCATGGAACAGGTCCAATTACTCAATTGCGCAGATAGTGAAAGAAAGAGAAACAAGGGGAAATATATGGGGGTTTGGGATGGGGGAAGAGTAGTATATGAAAGCAATGATGAGACAAAAAACAAGAAACAGAATGAAAGGGGGTTAAAACAGAAAATGCAGGGGAGGGATGTATGTATGAAAGTAGGTAATGGTGATAGATGATATAATGTGGTCAGTAAAGTTGAATAAAATCAATAGGGAAGGGAAGAAAAGGGAAGAAAGAGGCGGTTTTGTCCAAAATGGAGTGGATGGGGGGTATCATGGCTCGCCAAGGAGACGGGCAGTGATATCACCCATGTATGCTTCCTCGAGTTCGTAATCATCACCGTCCATGGGGTCGATACCAACGTACTTGAAGGCAGAGACGACACGAGGAACGTCGAAACCCATGCTACAGAAGCGGTCAATGAGATTCTTGTTGTAACCCTCGTACCTACGCCGTGTTAGTTATTTTTCAAGTATGACAGGGAACACTTGGGAGCTTACGCCGCAAGCTTCTCTCGTTGCTCATCTTCCTTAGCCTTGAGGGCCTTTTTCCTAATCGACTCGTCGGTAGCACCGCCGCTGCCTTCTCCAGTGTGTCTCCGTGGGGCTCCGGCGTGCATCACAGCCCATTCTCTAGCAACTCTTTCAAACTCCTTTGGGTCTGTGAGAAGCATACGAGCAACTTCGGCATCCTGAGGGTCTCGGGGCTCGGGTGTGCTGAGAAGAGACTGGAGAGAAAGAAGGGCTGATTTCATAGTCAGAACAGGTGACCAGGCAGACGAAAGTGTATCCAGGCAGATAGCACCCTAGACAGCAAGCTTTCCATTAGTCTTTATCCTTCCTTATACGCTATGTAGAAGTCTTATCTGAATTATAGGGGGACATGATATATATACCGTCTGACTGCTAATGTTTGGGTGCCAGACTCGGGTATCAAACTTCATGACCGGCGGACGGAACGGGTACTCGGTGGGAATTGTGATGTCGACCTTGAACGTTCCGCCTTCGTAGGCAGTACCAGGCGGTCCCGGAAAGCTGCCCTTTAGGCGTGTAAGGTCATCGTCTGAGATAGGATCTACCGAGATTTGCGAGTGGCGGTCCGCTTGGATATCGGCGATTTCCTTGGTGATCCGGCGGGTGCGGTTGGAAGCCATGATGGGATGCGATATCAGGCTGAGCACTGGTGTCTCGGGGATCCCTCCTCTGAGCACTAATAGGTGTGTCGTTGGCAGCGTTGATGGGTGTTGGGCGCGGGGGAGCTAGGCAGCCTTGGAGGAGTTAGAGATGGTACGACCAGACGGCGCCAAACAGGGACATATAAATAGCCCAGAATGAGAGGGCGGCTCAAGCTGGGGGGACAGAGGGCCTGAGTAGCCACCTTTTATACCTTGGCCTGGGATGCGGCAGATGGGGACCAGCCAGGGGGACTGCAGGCGTGTGCGAGACTGTGAGTCAAGGCAGCAGGCGCCGAGCGGGTTTGGCAGGTCGCAGGGTCGCGGGTCGGTCTAGTTATAGCTAGGTTATGTGACAGGCTGCGGGCTTGTGGGGAGGACTCCGGCGTCTGTCTGGCAGCTGATAGCCTGAGGGGAGGGAAGTGTGCGATGTCTGCGCTTCTTTTCGACTGTTCTGAATAGGGGATGAGTTGGTTTGCTGGTCGTCTCATGAAAGATGGTGATAGTGACTTTCGCTGGCTAGTTGGTTAGTGGTTGGTCGGTGACCTCACCTCACCTGCGACTACTGACTACCTAGGCACCTAACAAGTTCCATAGTCAGCTAAGTTAGGTATGATTTAAGCTAACCGCGGAGGCGTTTTTTCTTTTTGGCAGCAGTTGACGTGTTAGGCGTCCGCCTCATTCTGGAATAGAGCAAATGATAGGACGATGATATAGCAATAATAGCTGCACTATTACGAATGCGAATGGGTAGTTAGAAGGTTTCTCGCCCTGTTTCTGGCTAATATAAATACATAAGCTACACTCATTCATGTCTCTGCCCTGCGGTCCACCACCCACCGGGTCGAGGCCTCGAACTCGTCCCTTTCCTCGCCTTCCAAGCTGGCCAGCCCGGCTTCTCGCAGCTGGGAAAAGTATTCTACGGCGTCGTCGAAGTCCTCGACAGAGGTCCAGCCGTCTGGTTGGACTCTGCTCTGCAGCATCTCCCAGAATTCCTGGGCTGCGTTGAAGGCCTTTGCCTCCTCGCAGTGTTGGGAGCGCTCGTCAGGCGAAAAGTGATATGGACATTTGCCAGACTCGAAGATCTTCAGCCAGTCCCTGGAACATCTCTGTTAGCATCTAATCGTACTCGAAGCCGTACCAGTCTTGCTATATACCTTTCAACGTCAATCAGTGTATCCCTAAGGGGCACAATGTGGTCATCCCAAGAGTTTCCAGCAAAGCTTACAAGCTGACCCAGTGTTTTCCCGTGGGGTTTCCTAATCGCCCTATTAAGCAATGGGTTGAACTTTGCTGTCTGATGTTCATAAAGATATACTTGAATAGACCGTTGGACGCGGTCTCTGACTTGATCTTTCTCTTCCTCGGGTAACATTTTAAAGTCTTCGGGAAGTCTCAGCTGGATATCTCCATTGTAGTCGATCAGCCGAGGGGTTCTGGCTTGGAGAAGCAGAGGAGCAACCCAGACTGACTGCCAGTCGATAAGACTGGAGATTCTACCGTCTTGGACAAAGATATTACCATCATGAATGTCAGGATACCAGAGTGTCGGGCGGACAAGCTCAGTATCATCGGGAAGAAGCTTGGAAACAACAGCTAAGTATCTCTCCAGTAAGGCGATGTGGTCCTCGGGTGGTTTTTGGCTTCCTTTGCCCCTGGGGTAGCCAGACAAGATTGAATCTCTCTTTGCATACTGGGAAATCCACGCAATCTCGCGGCGTGCTATAGACTCCACATATCCACTGGCCGATTTCCCTAGATCGAAGAAGAATCTTTAGCAAAGAGTGCTCCATAAACACCAACTAAACGAGCTCAGTAACTCACAAGGTCCTCGATCCAAGGACATCACAGCCCGTTCCTTCTCCCAAAACTCCCTGTGAGAAGTAGGACCGATGACATATTGGCTTCTAACAGCATCCTTGGTTTCTTCTGTTATATCACCGCTAATTTTTGCCGGCTGGCAGCCTGGGAAAGTATCTTTGGCAAAATACAATGAGCCATATCTAGTATGCAAGGGTTCAGTACCGCATCCAGCCCCCTATTTAAAAGAGCTATACCCACAGGTCAAAAGTCACAGAGAGAAGTTTCTGCTCTATAGAAACAATATCATTGATTATCTCGCTTCTGTCATGTATTTTCAGGCCATCCCATGTCTGAGAGAGCTGTGTGCCGTTGGCCTCTTCCATAACGATGTATTCTACACCTACGGAGTTATCAGGAGACGAAGACCACGCTAAGACTTTAGGGACCGGTATTTTAAGCATTGACCTTGCCTATGTACTGGAGTCAATTCGTGCTTTTTTTTAGACGTTCCCGAGACGGGTACCACTAACAAATTCCATAGTAGCAACCTCTGACATGGTAGTGTACCGTGACGGACCAGCATTCGGATGGGGAATTCGAGCAATTGCTACCGCTCTGTCATTCATCACGAGACGGAAGACTTTGTTGAAATTGCCTTCTCCGATTTTCGACATAGAAACACAGGCACGAGAGCCCAGGGTGTCTGCCGCTGTCGTCTGGAGCTCTCGTACTTTGAATTCTCTGTGACGTTCAAGCAGTTGCTCCTTTTCTCCCCAGAGCCATCGTCCTGTGGTATTCCTGAAAAAGTCTGTTGTGCAAGTATCGGCAGAAGAAGCCCTAGTTTTGAAACCTCTTATGAAGAGTCGAGGTCCTGTATGGGCCATGCCTATGTTAACAGGCCGGGGAAGAAGTATTCGCAGTAGATCCATTGGGTATCATTCATTTGAAAACAGAAGAAGGGATGTACATCAGTGTATCTGGCGATACCAGCACAAGAGGGAACCAGCCCCTTACTCAAGTTTGGAGACGAATGTGCTCTCCGAGGCTCTTCCCTTCAGAGCTTAATGATAATAAGAATGGTAAATGAAACATAAACCTGCATCGACGGGGTCTATATCTTTATAAATAGCAGTTTTGGGGGTTGTTATCGGCCATTGCGTGTTGTCTATGACAATACCCAGTTTGATAACTGCAGGATAGCCCCTAGTTAAGATAATTTAACCCAGATAGTGAAACCTTTCCAGCCTCACCATCGTCAATTCCATCTTTGATTCACCAAGTGGTTACTCCTTTTTCTCGCGTGTTTGCACCCATAGTCAATAGTCGGCGTTGTCTTTTTAGCTCTGGGATGACTCATCAAGTATTCGGAGTATAATTTTTACGTTCCGATGGATTATGGATGACAAACTTTTCATTACTAAGCAGAGCTCGATGCAGGAGAGCGAAGCAAGAAGAAGCTCCAAAGTTGAACAACAGTGACATACCCCAATCGAACATTCAACAAACACCCTCCCTTACCACTAAGACGGTTGACGGCGCAGACGGAGATCTACTTCCAGGACTTACCACTCACTGATATATTCCGTGTCTACAATAAGAAACAGTTGATCGGCCGACTGGGCGGTTAGCTTGTCACCATGGTATGTTTGCCTGCTGCTCAGATCTGTTAAAATGGATACTAAACGATGGTTAAATAGGGAAACCAACCATCCAGTATGGGTGGCCAAGGAGGAGAGGGCAAAGACGATAAGGATAAGAAGGTACATTTTCACTTTTACTCGTCTTCGGGTTTCCTACCGGGTCATTCGCTCACCAGGCTCTACAGAAAGAGAAGCCAAAGTACGAACCACCACCACAGCCAACCACCCGCGTCGGACGAAAGAAGCGTAAGCAACAGGGCCCAAATGCCTCTGCCAAACTACCGTCTATCTATCCGACGTCAAGATGCAAGTTAAAATACCTCCGCATGCAGCGTGTGCATGACCACCTTCTCCTTGAAGAGGAGTACGTGGAGAATCAAGAGCGTATCCGCAAGTCCAAGGCCCAGACTTCTTCGACTCACCCAGCGGCGGACGATAACAACAGTGCTCTGGACCGAAATGCAGATGAGAGGGGCCGGGTGGATGATATGAGAGGCAGTCCCATGGGAGTCGGAAACCTGGAGGAGATGATCGATGATGACCATGCTATTGTTTCCAGTGCGACAGGGCCAGAGTACTACGTCTCCATCATGTCCTTTGTCGATAAGGACCTGTTAGAGCCGGGAGCTAGTATCCTACTTCATCACAAGTCAGTCTCGGTCGTGGGTGTTCTCACCGACGATGCCGACCCGCTTGTATCTGTTATGAAGCTGGAGAAAGCCCCCACAGAGTCGTACGCAGACATAGGCGGTCTAGAATCGCAGATCCAGGAAGTGAGAGAAGCCGTCGAACTGCCGTTGCTGCATCCAGAACTTTACGAAGAGATGGGTATCAAACCCCCGAAGGGTGTCATCTTGTACGGTGGTCCGGGTACTGGAAAAACCCTTCTCGCCAAAGCCGTCGCCAACCAAACGAGCGCTACTTTCTTGCGTATCGTGGGTAGTGAACTTATTCAAAAGTATCTCGGTGACGGACCTCGTCTTGTCCGCCAGATCTTCCAGGTTGCTGCCGAACATGCCCCATCAATCGTCTTTATTGATGAGATCGATGCAATTGGTACGAAGCGTTATGATTCTACATCTGGCGGTGAGCGAGAAATTCAGCGTACTATGCTTGAACTTCTGAATCAGCTTGACGGTTTCGACGATAGAGGTGATGTTAAAGTCATCATGGCCACGAATAAGATTGAATCCTTGGATCCTGCACTTATTCGTCCCGGCCGTATTGACAGAAAGATTCTCTTTGAGAACCCTGACCGTATGTTCCATTTCCCCCCAAAACATCAATGCTGAATACAAACTAACGGGCCTTTAGAAAACACTAAGAAAAAGATCTTCACGCTCCATACTTCCAAGATGTCCTTAAGCGAAGATGTTGAACTCGACGAATTCATCACCCAGAAGGACGATCTCTCCGGTGCTGACATCAAAGCCATATGCTCCGAGGCGGGTCTCATGGCCCTTCGTGAGCGCCGCATGCGTGTGCAGATGGCCGATTTCAGATCAGCTAGGGAGCGTGTCATGAAGACCAAGCAAGAGAACGAGCCAGAAGGACTTTACTTGTAGTCCTACTTTTACTTCTCATGTATAATATCATTTAAGCACGCCCCTTTTGCAAGCCCATAATCTGATATTAGACATTTCTATCCGTACACACTCCGTTTATATCGCAAGCTTGGTATTCTATCTAAACTCACTCTGTTGGGTAATTTTTATGGAGCCAAGGGTCATCGAGGAGCTCTCGCGCGGTGCTGCGCTCCTCTGGCTTCCACTTGGTCATTTTCTTCACGAATTTGATGAACATTTGTTTTTCCTCCCCTGTAACTGTAGTTATGGTGTTTTCGAAGCCGAAATCTTCTCCAGGCCCTATAACCGGTTGTTTCAGGCCTGATAAACGTTATCAGGTCGATATTCAATCAACGAATGGATATTTGCACTTACACCTACTTTGTGAATCATAAAATAAGGAAGTCCGCTTCCCCTTTTCAAGTAGCCGTACTGGAGGAGAGCCCAACAGACCTGTGATATATGCAAGATGGTTTGCATCATCATATCTATCCTCGCCGGGAGGATCAACTTCATCAAAAAGTGCCTTCTTCTCCAGAAGATCCCACAGCTTTTGTGGCGAGGTTAGTAACTCGTTCAATCACACGTGTAATCTAAGACCTACCATTACGCCCAGGCTCCAAATATCGGCACTGTATAAATATCCTGCTTCAAGAATGACTTCAGGAGCACGGTAAATCTCCGCTTGAATGCAGCCTGAGTTTGGCGTGTCCCCCTTGACAGTCAAGTCAAAATCTGTAATCACGGTTCGTATGGTGGTCCTGATATGTTTCCCGTGATTGTTTCTTGATAGGTAGATAATGCGCCCATCATCACAATGCTTCTGCGGAAGTGGGTTGTGATACTCATCTAGAGCATCTCTGTGAAGTATTGAGCTATCTTCTAGCTTTATTAGGAGATTATCGGGGTTTAAGTCTAGTATCGACGTTAGGCCGTGACTATCATGAATGGTCCTAAGTGCTGGAAAGCATCCATACCTGTATGAATAATGTGACACTCAGAATGAAGATAGTCTAGGTCGTGTAGAATAGTCTGTAGCATAATTTTTAATATTTCGGATGGAATAACGTCCTCTTTCCATCTCCTCTGGTAGAGCCACAGAGGTTCACGCAGAGGCTCGAAGGCGAGGCAAGTGTGGTTACCATACTTCGTAGTCAGATTAAATGAGTCTAAAGGCAGCCTAACAAATTCTCGACTGCGAGGGTCCGGGTTACATTTCGCAATGTGTTGGAGAATATTCAGCTCGTTGTCGGCTGCGATATCCTGTGAGTGGTGGGATGTAGCGTTTATTTTGATAGCGACATATCGTTCCTCCATCCAGCGCCACCTATAGGGTCAGCACAGTTCCTCGAATAATGAAAGACGTAAGTACCAATAAAGATCCCAAGCTAGCCAAACTGTTGAGTTGGAGCCATATCCAAGCTTTGTGGAGATTTGGTATCTTTGATTCAGGACTTCCCCGACATGCGCGGGATAAAAGCGTTCAGGTTTGTAGTATGGTGTGTTTTCCTCCTCCCACAACTGGGATTGTTTTAGAGGGGCTACCTAAAACGAAGTCTTCGACCATGGAGGCCGCCGAAAGAGCCATATATTGCGCATATTTCGGCCCTTGAAACTTGTGCTTTCAATGAAGCTTTCCTGATGCTGTTGCGCGCGCCTTAGATAAAGTTCAGCGTCAAAAGTGGATCTGCCGCCGATTAACGATGTCTAAAACCCCACTGAACTCTATTTTATGATGACATAATCAACGCTGATTTGCTAATATGCGCTTACCAAAGCTAACAAGGTTTGTTTACAAGCGCGTGTAAAAAGTTTCAGTTATGCAAACAAGGCAAACTCTGCAAGAAAGGGACTTAGCTCGTTAGTGCATTTCTTGCCCTTCAAGAAGACAAAACTAGCCTCAGTTTCCTAATCATAGACAGCCTATCAGTTACACCATGGAAGGGTTCGATGAGGAAGAGTTTAAGAAGTTCTTCCCGAGCGGCTTTGGGAAGCAGACGAAAGAAGCCGATATCAAGACGCAGATTGATCGAACGAAGCGAAAGGAGCCTATCGAAACACCTAGTGCTGGGGCAATAGAAAAGCCGGCAAACCCATCGCAGGAAGCTGCTGAAGATAAAGGCAACGGAGATTCAGATTCGGACTCGGATTCGGACTCTGACTCCGATTCACCTGAAGATGAATTCCCCGTTTCCCATAACCTCGTCTTTAGAACGCACGATCGAGCTGTGACGACAATAACACTTGATACCGCTGGAGCGCGCATGATAACGGGTTCGACGGACTGCACAGTTAAATTCCACGATTTTGCATCACTGACGCCTTCGACACTACGGGCGTTTAAATCGGTGGAACCAAATGCGAGAAAAAATGCAACATCTTCGTCCGAGATACATCCTGTCCACATTGCCAAGTTCAACCCTATTTCCCCTAGCCAGATCTTGGTGGTATCGGCCACTCCTCAAGCGAAAGTCCTCAGCCGCGATGGCGATACGCTTGCAGAATTTGTGAAGGGAGACATGTATTTGCGGGATATGAAGAATACCAAGGGTCACATATCTGAAGTTACCAGTGGAACCTGGAGCCCAACAGATTACAACCTGTGCGTCACGGCTGGTACGGATAGCACATTGCGTATCTGGGACGTTAATGATTCAAGGAGCCAGAAGGAAGTCATCGTGCATAGGTCAAAGGTGGCTGGGTCTGCAGGTAGAAGCAGAATGACTGCTGTTGCCTGGGCATCCCCTACGCAGGGAGGACCAAATGCGCTGATAGCAAGCGCTCTCGACGGCAGTCTTATTATGTGGGGAGGAGATGGGCCCTTTACGAGACCAAGTGCTGAGATTAAAGATGCACATACAAGAGACTCGTGGACCAGCGGCCTGGATATTAGCCCGGATGGGAGGTTGGTAGTTACCAAGGGAGGAGACGACTTGATCAAACTGTGGGATACCAGGAAATTCAAACAGCCGATAACGACTGTCTCGCATATATCTGGATCAAAACATTACCCGACGTCTAACATACAATTTTCCCCAAGCGGAGCAAACATTGTGACGGGTTCTGAGACCGGACATCTCCATATATTGAATCCCGCTACTCTCAAACCTGAACTGGTCACCCTGGTCACCCCCGACTCACCTCTAATTTCCGTACTGTGGCACGAAAAGCTCAACCAGATTGTTACAGGGTCTGCCAACGCAGAGACGCATCTACTATATAACCCATCGCTCTCGCATAATGGAGCTCTGACGATAATGTCCAAAGCACCAAAACGGCGGCATGTCGATGATGATCCAAACTTCACGACTGACATCTCCCTCGGATTCTCGGGCGAAGGCATCGTTAATGGCAGCGGAATAGCAGCGGCCAGCTTCGCAGCCAGACATCCTAATGTTGGACTCACAGCTTCTGGACGATCAAGAGACCCTCGCCGGCCGCACATACCAGCTCAGACGCCCTTCGCTAAAAGCCAGCCTGACGAGAAACATATCAAAGACAACATCCCTCTCAGCTCAATGAGAGACGAGGACCCTCGCGAGGCGCTTCTGAAGTATGCCGAAGCAGCCGAGAAGAATCCAATATTCACTTATGCATGGAAAGACACGCAGCCCAAGACCATCTACGCTGAGCTGAGTGACGAGGAGGAAGAAACCAAGCGAACAGGCTCTGATAAGAAGCGGATAAAACGGAATTATTAGCTGAAGCTATTCAACAGTCATGAATAAGGGGAGTTGTATGGAGTAAATGTAGTATATATGGTATGGACTCATAACAGGCATAACAGGCGCAACGAGCTTGGGAGGATTTGAAATCAACTATCGAATTAATATACTCCGTATACGCTTATTACATCTAAATTTTCAGACACTCGAGATTTTCCCCCTAATACGAATTCCATTTTGCCATCGAGCATGCTGTGCTACTCGATGCTGCTGCTAGATCTCGTCTTGCACGGAGTAACTCCTGTAGCAGCCTACCCAGGTAAATATCTAACCGACCAACACCGCCCATCGCCGCCGCATCCCCAGCATCATCGCCGTCATCATCACCGCTCAAGGCGCCCTTGATAAACACTCCTGACGCACCTTTTGCAGCTTTGACTCCACTGAATTAATTTAGCTGCATATAAAGCACAAGCTGGGCTTCTCGCGCCCATTCTGGTTGGTTGGCGCGCAAGTCATCTAAAATCCCAGCCATCCACCACGCTGAGGGTCATCGTCCAAATCCTCGCATCCTCCGGCAACTCTTCATGCCCTCGTCTGTCTAAAGTGCGTCGCAGACAAAGGCGCAGCCGTCCCAGGAGTCTCGGTATGACGAGCAGGTCGACCAGTTGCCCTCGTTAAGAAGCAAACTTATGCCCTGCTCCAGCTGAGTAAAATATTTACTTCTGGCTTATCGACGCAAGCTAGCTTGAAGACCCTGACCAAACCTGGGAGCGCCCTGAGAGCGGATGAAGGCTTGATAGCAGCCTCATAATCGTCCCTCTACATGCGGTAGAACCTCTACGGCGCCGTCAAAGGAAGCCCACAAGAGGCGTTGGCTAGTTACGACCGCTGGTGTGCAAGCTCAGGGACACCACCAGCAATAGCCGGAACGCCTGGTTATTCGATCTAGCTACGAGTGAGAAGGAGAAGAAGCACTATTGAAGTCGAGCGGACTCCTTTCTTCCTGTGACAATGCTTGTCGCACTCCTCCTCTTCCTTATCGCCGAGCAGGTCTCCTCCACAGCGCTACCTTCGTCGCTACGCCAATCATCCTATGCTGCTCGCAACGCTCCCGTTCTCATCAGCGAGAAACCTGGGGATGGCGGACATGTGAGGGATCCGATCAGCGAATGGTCTTCTACGATTGGCATTGTCACGGCGATTGTAGGCAATGTCCTTATCTCGGTTGCCCTGAATATCCAGCGATACGCCCATGTCCGTATCGAACGGGAATATGAAGGAAATATACTACGACTGAGGGCTGAGTGGAAACGATCTTCTTCATCGCCCCATAGGCCAGACGGACCGACAAACGGTTACAAATATGGGACGGCGGACAGGGAAACTGCCCGAAACCAGGAAGACGTTGGTACGTCGCGGTATACAGATGACCCAGAGGAGGACGAACGAAGGCCGCGCAAGGTGTACACCAACGGAAATGGACACGCTCATGCGCAAGGCAGGGAGAATCAAGCTTCGGAAGATGAGGAAACTGATGACCCGTTGCAGAGCTCCTTTCTATCCGACCGGACAGCGACCTCGTTCGAGAAGAGTATCGCGGGTGTTGACAGAAAGTCGTACCTCCGTTCCTCATACTGGTGGTTTGGAATAATACTGATGACCGTGGGAGAGGCTGGCAATTTCCTGGCCTATGGATTCGCTCCGGCTTCCATTGTTTCACCCCTAGGAGTTGTTGCGCTGGTGTCGAACTGTGTGATTGCGCCGTTCATGCTCAAGGAGAGATTCCGCCAGCGAGACCTCCTAGGAGTTGTAATTGCGGTTGCCGGCGCTGTCATCGTCGTACTGAGTGCCAAAACATCAGAGAACAAGATCGGTCCGGATGAGATTTGGGGTATGATTACGCGTTGGGAGTTTGAGACATACCTCGGGATCACTGTCATTTTGATTATTGGTTTAATGTCGATAAGTAGAAAGTATGGGAGGAAGACCATCCTGATTGATGTTGGGCTTGTTGGATTATTTGGTAAGATTCTTTTCATAGTCTACTTCTCCCTTGTATTTGAGCTGACATTTGGATGAATAGGCGGTTATACAGCCCTATCCACTAAGGGCGTATCTTCTCTTCTTTCAAACACACTTTGGCATGCAATTACATTCCCAATAACGTATGTCCTTGTGGCTGTCCTGGTGTTTAGTGCCGTGATGCAGATTCGATATATCAATCGCGCACTTCAGCACTTCAACTCAACGCAGGTGATCCCAACTCAGTTTGTGCTCTTCACCTTGTCCGTTATCATGGGAAGTGCTATATTATACCGTGATTTCGAATCTGCAACAGGAGAAAGAGTTGCAAAGTTCGTTGGTGGTTGTCTGTTGACCTTCTTTGCCGTGTATCTGATCACGAGCGGAAGAGTTCAGAAGGAAGATGAATCCGAATCCGAGTCAGAGACCGATGAGGAGGAAGCTATCGGTCTTCAAAATGAGGAGCCGTACCGAGATTATGTTGACTGGCAGCAAGATAGCGCACCGATACCCAGGAGACAGGGCACCGATAGCGCTGGCCAAGGGACAAGGACAAAACCTTCACCATCTCGCTCACTCCAAAGCCTTGAGGAGGTTTATGAGCCTGAGGATGAAGACGACGGACAGTTGACTCCGCGTGCCCGGATATCTGCATCCCCCGGGTCTCTGCTACCCCCTATCTCAAGCGCCTCTTCCATCCTGGATCCTTCCCCGCTGCCGGCTATTTCCAATAACCCCTGGGCCACCCCAAGTAGCGAGAGAGAAGGACCAGACTTCCTTTCTGGAAGCCCCGGTAAAGATACCTTGGCCCATAGTGCGGACGTCTACCCTCCTCCAACCAATGTAATTTTGCAGTTCCCTGCTGCCCCGGGTGCAACGGATTCGCCTCCTCGAATATCACCTCCTCAGCATGGTCCTCAGACGCCTCAAGGAAGCCCTCGACGCCGTTCCCCTACCAGAGCAGATCATCATGGCACTCACAAGCATTCTAACCAACCTCTACGTACCCCAGGCACAGTACATCGAAATTCTCTCTCCCGTTTCTCTCCCGGGCCGCTTCTGCCGCCATTATCAGGGGGATTAAGTGCCGTGGTTGCAGACTCTCTACGACGAGGAGAAGGATCTCCCCAACAACTCCGGAAAAGTCTGCGTGGAAGCTCCAGGCACAGATCAAAGAACCGGGTACGAGCAGGCATTCCGCTCTACCTGGACCCAGCTCTTGATTCCCACCCTGTGGCTGAAGCGGAAGATGAGACGACTGGAATTATAGCTTGTACCACGAGAAATATACCCCAGATATCCCGATCGACTTCGACTACTGGCCCAGACGCGTTTCCAAGTGAGCAACAACGGATAAGGAGCCTGAGTGATTCGTGGAGCGGTGGCCTTTTGAACTTTGGAGGCAACTTACGGCTCAGCGGCCGTCGGTCAAAGGGGAAACTCCCTGCAGCTGAGAATCTAGAAGAAGCCGCCAGCCGCCAAACGGAACCATGAAGCTATCTATCTATTGTCGTTAATCCGTGAACTCGAGCCATGTCTATATATCTCTGACGCCTCTACTCGCCGTTACCCTCGCCTCTCTTCCCAAATCTGCTTTTTCTCGTGCGTTTCTTTTCCTTTCTTTTACTTTTCTATTTTCCCTTTCTAGGCCTTACCAGGTCTTCCATTCTTCTTCTATCTTTAATACATTTAATACTCCGCTATAGAGCCCAGCAGGCGATGTATTTAATTATCATCTAGCGTTCCGTTTGGTGGTGGTGGTTGTTGCTGCTGTTATTTCCTTTTCTACTTTCGTTATCTCATAGCCATTCATGTTGATACTTGGAAGCGTCCATCAAAACCAAACCAGTCAGTCTTTTATGCAAATACCGAGAATGAGTGACTTAGATCCAAAGTGTGTATATAAAGATTCTTCTTTTTCAAGTCTGATCCGAAAGACATTCTTTATAAATTCGTCTCAATCTGCTTGCTTGCTGGTATCTTCTTCCTCGGGTCTCTCTTTAGAGTCCTTAGATGGCCTCCCATTCCCATTGCCGGCTCCCTCACGTCTAACTCGGGCGCCTTCTTTCAGCTTCTCCCATCGCTCTCTATATCTCTCGACTACGGCTCTAAGCTTCTCATTCTCACGACTGAGTTTTTCCAGCTCTCGCTCATTGTTCTTGATCAGCTCCTGTAGCTCTCTGATGCGCATGTCTGAGGCAGCATTGGGTACTGCCGATGAGATGGCTTCACCGGCAGCAGAGGCCGCAGGAGATGTCTGTCGAGACGGTAAGATGGCATGCTGGTTGTGCATGGCGCGGATAGACTGTTGGAGGGCAAGTGACGAAGACTGTGCATTCACCTCCCACATATGTAGGCGTTTCGCCAGTGTATCAGATACATGTCTCAGAGCCTCGTTCTCCATGTGTAACTCCTCTACAGTTTTGAAGGGCCTCGGCTGATCGACCTTGTTCTTGCGTGGCTGCAAGGAAGTGATACTTCGATCGAGCCTGGCGGTGCTTTTATGCATGATGTCTTCAGGGGAAGGCGGATTTTCACTGGCATCAACAAAGTCATCTTCAACGGACTCCATGCTGTCCTTCACTGCCTCCTTTTCTTCCCGAGAAAGTATCCCGGCATAAGATATCATTCCACCAGCCGTGGGCACTACATAGAATGACTCTGCAGGGTTATGCGAGGCAAAGTGGCCGTCTTTGTCCTTGATTGCTCTCAACGCCGCACTAGAAACAAGTTTAGACACGTCTGGGTCCTTGTCTGAGAAACTCGTAAAATCCGCTATGGCGGCGTCAGTGTTAGTCTTCGTGTCTGCGGCAGGAGCCTTTTGTCCCGAGAGAAGTCGAGGCTGGGACGCGTCAACCCCAAGGGGCAAACTTGCAAAAGCGAGGGGAGCAGAAAGTTTGGATATGACGCCTTCAAAGGTCGAATAGAAGCGTCTGAATGGTTCATCTCCCGTGATTGACCTGATACCGGCTATGGCAGTACCTTTGCTGTAAGGAGAGGCGTACTCCTGCGCCGTGACCTGAGTCGGGCTGATCGGCGGAGCCCAGGAGCGACTCCCTCCATGGGGACGATTCTGTGAAGCCTGAGGATCGTTTGACAGCTGGTCAGCTCGTCTACTGTCTCTCTGTCTCGCTTGGACGGGGGAGCCCGCCATCCTCGCTCGGGCATTCTGGGCCGACACTGTAGGTGAAACCGGGTTGGAATGCTGTCTCTGGGAGGGTATGCCCCTTGCAGATGCCAGGTTCCCGGCAATAGACGAATTGCGTGACCCGGAGCTGGTCTGTGAAAGTAGTCGTGGTGGATACTGTATGTGTTGTTGTTGTTGCTGTTGTTGTTGCTGATATTGATGTTGCTGTTGCTGCTGATGCGGTCCAACAGAGGTCAAACCGGGCTCCTTATGCGTAACAGGGCTGACTGCTGGATTGGAGGCCAACCCTTCTGCGTCGTTCGAGAGCTTCCGCTCTGTTTCTGAAGCTGCCGGAGGGTTCTCATGTTGAAACCGGATAATGGCAGCAAGTTGCTTGTGGTGGTCTTCTAGCAGTCGAAGTGTCCTCTCAGCCTGCCAAACACCCCAGATACGTCAGAACAGAAGCCTTCCTACCTGTGGGTTTATCCGATATATCGAAGGGGAAAGCTCTTACACTTGGGTCTGTAATGGACTGTCGAGCAGTTGCAAACTCGCCTGCCGCGAGGTCGTGCTCCTCGCTGGCGGCGACAGGGTTCGACTTGCGGGTCTCATGGAGCGCATTCCGGGCGTGAGTATGAGCCTGGACAAGTAGATATACACGTTAGAAACAATGGACAGAGACGAGTATGGACGAGCAGAGACGGGCAGGGTCTTAACTACCAGCAGCAGCGGCGAGGACTCCATGGCGGTCTCTGTAAACGGTTCGAACGGCGATGACTATCCAGTTAAGACGGCGTCAACGGCGAGCAAGCAGGTCATAGCCCCTATCCCTGTGCCCTGTGTACCCAGCAGCCGTTGCGGTATACCTGTGGGCGCTGCCGGTACGTACTGGTTATTAACCAGCATTAACGACGTAGTCATGTATATTTGCATCTGGACGGGCAGCAGAAGCAGCAGAAGAAAGCCTGGCGATGATGTCAAGTGGGCAGCGGCCGCGATGTTGCGGTACTTCTGTTCTCACATGTTTTTGGTGGTGGAAGAAGTACCAAAACATCGCCCACTTGGCGCTTTCGTTCCCTTGTTGCAGCGAACTCCGCCTATCGTCCGCTTGCTCTGCATAACAGCAGCAAGACCCGTTACAACAGACCGACAAGAGATAAAGACAGGCACAGAGAGAGACCGAAGAATTCGACAGTGACAGGGGCAGATTACAGCTATTCTCTCTCTCTCGCTCGCTGTGTGCTCCTTTCCTCTGCCGTCCCTTGATGGTGCCCAGTTACAGCTTCCACCACACTGCAACGGAGTATATACATATCGACGAACACCCCCCAGGCCAGCCTTGTTCGACCAGGCTGCAGGACGACCATACACGCCCGTTACCGGCGGAATAAAGCGACAGACCGCTACTGCGAGCATCCTCGACAGCCCTGGTCGTCTTTTTCGTTAGCCTCCGACAGCGAATGCTCATGTTCTGGCGCCGATGGAGAGCCATGGTGAACCTGCACCTGCAGTCGCCTCCCCAAACGGCCTGAGAAAGGTGTTTACAATGCAGAATCGAAGCAAGACAGCGCTGGGGAAGGCAGACGCGCCCGAGACGGATCAGAGGAACAGAAGTTCGACCATTGAGACGAGGGCGGAGGAGGCGAGGCCGGCAACCAGCAGCGCTGCCTCAAGCCACAGCGATGCTCCAAGCGGTATCTCAAAGCTGCTGGCGGGAGCCAGACGGCGGCATCGCAAGAAGGCCGACTCGTCTACCTCGTCGAACAAGGATGGTGAGCAGGTCGAGGGCTACGACTGGCAGGCCGGGGAGTCCAAGGCCTCCCTGCCGTCAGTAGAGATCAATGGGCAACGCCGCCGGTCCATGACAAACCCGGAGAGCAGCCATGTCTCAGACTGCTCGGAATCAGACATGTACGTCCCTTTCCGTTTACTCTTGCTCAGGATGCTGGATGTTGAATGCTAACGATGTATAAAAGTCACTCCCGTGGGGATCCGATTGCATCCACACCCGAACTCGGCGTCTACAAAGATGAAATCGACAGCAGCGCCGGCGGAGCACGCTCAAACACGGGCTCAGAGGTCAGTCTCGACAGCTTTAAGGGGTCCTCCAGGCGTAAGTCGACCCTAGGGGGTTCGACAGACAGGCCTTCGACAGGCACTCCGACCGGCCGGAAACTGAAGGAGGCGTTCGTTCACCGGATGACGAACAAGAGTACCGATACGAGCCCCAACAGGAGTTCTGGAAATCTATCCGGCAACAACAACAATGCAAAAGATTCCACCGGATCTGTAAATGGCGATTCTTCCGGGAAAACGCTACCACGCCTACAGACTGCACCGCCGCTGCCCCATCCGATAATAACAACATCGACTTCGCAACCTCAGTATTCGCTTGATGCTGGTCGTCAAGGAGCTAATAAACCTGCCCCGTTGAACGGAAACCCCCAGACTCCTCCAACCTCCAGGAACCCCCCTGACATAGTCACCACAGTCACACCTCCTACTCCTACCAACCGCCAGTTCAATTCCCAGCATTCTCTTCTAGCCGACATCGTCAACTCCCCGGAATCTACGCAAAATGATACCCATGATCCGCCGTCCAACATTGTTGTTAGCCCTTCAGGCAACATGATATCCCACCGCCGTGTACGGTCAGCTTCTGCCGCCCACCAGCCAAGCAAATTATCCAACTCATCGGTCCCTCCCCTTACGCCAGCTATGGAAGATACCAAATCACAGGGCAAGTCGTCCACCTCTCAATTTGGAGCTGGTTTCTTCTCGTCCATGGTCTCTGCGGCACAGAACGCTGCCACCACTCTAAGTAGCAGCTTAAACCCCCAGGCCAAGGGCAAGAGTTCCCAAGAGCAGGCCGAGGGGGATGCCCAGGCTTCCAGTAACAAAGAGAACTCTGAAACAGCCCCCGAAGGCGAAGAAAATTCCGCCCCAGAAAACGCCAAAAAGGAGCTGGCAGTCAATACCCTTGGTACGGGTGACCTCGACTTTAGTCACCTTGGGCTTGAGCATCTTGATAAGGCCGCAGGTGATAATGATGGCAGCAAACTGGACGTGGTTGGAAGGCCTCGCGCAAAGACGGCGGTCTCACAGCGTGATGAGCTTGCTGCACGCATGGAGGACGTACGGGCTGCTCGAGCTGTCTCGATGGCCTATGGGAATACTCCTGTTACCCCCATAGTTACTGTTGATGGCATTAACGCAGAAAACCAACCTCCAAATTCTCTAAGCACCGCGGTCAGAGATAACGCTGGTGAGAACACACCACCTGGAGGTAGTGTTCACAGCGAGACGGCCGAAAGTCTTAAACAGAACGGCAGTCTTAAGAGTCGTCGTGCTCGCAGGGACCGCGGATCCTCCGCTGCAACAACAAATACTACAATTGGTGCCCCCATAGGAACAAACCTCTCCGCGAGGAATACAAGTGTTCCCCGTCTCACTGGATTTGCTGTTGCCAGTAAGAAGCGGAACCGTGACTTTCATTCACTTTTCCGCAGTGTTCCCGAAGATGATTACCTTATTGAGGATTACAGCTGTGCACTACAGCGAGAGATCATCCTTGCAGGCCGAATCTACATCTCCGAAGGCCATATCTGCTTTTCAAGCAATATTTTAGGATGGGTAACGACATTAGTAATCGCCTTCGACGAAGTCATTGCCATAGAAAAGGAGTCCACGGCCATGGTTTTCCCCAATGCCATTGCCATCCAGTCCTTGCATGCACGCCATACCTTCCGCAGTTTGCTCAGTCGAGATGCAACGTACGACTTGATGGTTAATATCTGGAAAATCAGTCACCCAACTCTCAAGAGTTCTATCAACGGAACGCATATTGACCAAGGCACTGGTGATAAAACCGAGAAGACAGATGATGTCTTTGACGACAGTGCCTCAGACTTGGACGATGATGACGAAGTGTATGACGAAGATGAAGATGGTGCCGAAGTTGCTAATAACGGGAGCGAAGATAACAGTGTGGCTGGTAGCGATGCACCGGACCAGACACAGCGCATCCTCCGAAAGTCCTCTACAGTCCCATTGTCTGCCACGGGAGCTCCTCAGACCCCTGGTTCTGGCGAAGAACCGAAAACAGGCGAAAACGGAACCAGCTCAGGTCAGGATTTCCCAGGTCCCAAGTCCCATGCGCCAACAGAGTATAACGACCCTGCTGGACGCTTTGATAAACTTATCAAAGACGAAGTCATTCCCGCTCCGCTAGGGCAGGTATACTCTCTTATTTTCGGTGTTCCTTCGGCTGCCTTCATGGCCAAATTTTTGGTTGATTACCAGAAAGTTACCGATCTTCAATTCGAAGATGACAAAAAGGGTCTCACCAACGACACCAAAACCCGGTCCTACAACTATATCAAGCCGCTGAACGGAGCAATTGGCCCAAAGCAAACCAAATGTATCAGCTCAGAACAACTCGACTTTCTCGACTTTGAGAAGGCGGTCCTTGTCACTCTTACCACGCAGACGCCAGACGTACCCAGCGGAAATGTCTTTTCGGTGAAAACTAAGTATCTCCTTACCTGGGCTCCTGGAAATGCCACAAGGATGGTCATGTCATGTCTTGTAGAATGGACTGGTAAGAGTTGGATCAAAGGTACCGCACTCGCCCCTATTGATTTGCTTATCGTTCCTTCTTACTAACATGCTGCTTAGGCCCAATCGAAAAAGGCGCTAGTGACGGCCAACTTAGTTTTGGCAACGATCTAGTCAAAGCGGTCAGAGCTGCAGTTGCCCGCGGTCCTGGGATTAAAGGCGGGCCAAAGGGCAAAGGACGACGCATCCGCATGGCAGCCGAAATGGCAGTTGCCGCCAAAGACCAAGCTGCTCTCGAATCCAGCAAAGCCCAGGCTAGTAACAACGGTTTCTTGTCGACCCTCTACGGCCCCTTTGCTCCGGTCGTGGATATCATAAAACCATTCTGGAGCAGCAATATGACTATCGGTGTTCTCGTGATACTTCTCATCACCATGTGGTTCCGTACTGCCGCCCCCAGTTATCCAACTTCTAGAGTCGGGCTTTCTTCACGCTCCGCCCCCGAACGGCTGATTGCATTAGAGGAGCTATGGCAACGAGAAGAGAATGAGCTTTGGGACTGGTTAGAAGAAAGAGTAGGACTTGACGGCCTCTCATTTCCGGTTGTCGATACCGCCCATTCTCGAGATGACAGGCAGCGGCCCAACCGCCGTGCTGAAAAGGTGTTTGAAGATCGTCTACATCGCGAGAGGATGTCAGAGCGCGAGGCCGAAAGTGCCATTCGAGTTACACAAGAACGTCTCGAGACTCTACAGAAAATCGTCGAAAAGCGGAAACAAAACCGCCAGGCCTCATTAGAAGAGACAGAACCTCCTTCAACATGACAGACAGAGCAAGAATATATCTCAGATATTTCTGCCTTAGACCTGTCACCCTCATTATAACTTCGTTCACCCAACGAATCTCCACATTCCTTGCAATTTTCTACTTTTTCCATCCCTGTATATCATACATTCGCCTTGTACGGGCCATTTCCTTTGTTCCTGCATATCTGCATTTTATCTACCGTTGGGCGTATCTCCTGGTTCAAAAACGTCGAGTTTTCATTGCTCCTTTCTTCTCTTTGCCTAATCAAGTGTTGGAGTTGGCTGGCGTGCTATCATTTATCATATTCACTATGTACCAGACACAACATATCTCAATTGCATTTCTTAGCATTCTTTATTATTCATACGTATTATCACCGTATTTCTTCTTGACCCCTGTATGTATAGGCCCGCTTTTCTCCAGAGTAACTACAGTGATCGATAGTATTTGTTCCAGAATTGCTTTCATCTTTACCCAAGTAGAAACCGATAGATTTAGTAAAGGACTAAAGATAAACAGAGAAAGTAAAGCTAGGTATCGTAAAAGAAAAGAGTCATCTAAAGCTTCTTCCCAAGTCCTGTGTGAATGTCCACCAACAATGCATTTAACTCCTTTGTAAAATCACCCGCACTTTCAATATCCAGAGCCTTCGTGATCCACTTCTGTGCTTCTTCCCATCTTCCCATCTCAACAAGACACTTTCCACCACGCCACCAAGCTTTACCATTGCCCTGCTCGTTACACTCCACACTAAGTTGAGCGTCAACCCATGCTTCAGCCCATAGCTGTTGCTGCATATATGCCTGTGCTCTGTTTGCATACAGTGCTGATAGCTCTTCGCGCACTAACCCTACAGGCTCCCACATAGGTCGTCCAAGTGCCATGTCAATAGCAAGGGTATACATCTTCGCAGCCTCCGCAAAGCTAGACTTTCGATAAGCGGCGTTGGCTGTATCGCGGAGTTTCCCTATTTGTGCACTCCGCTTGGGGTTTACGGGCCGAGGTGGGGGAGGAATATTTGGAGGTTCCAGGTTGAGGAGAGCACGGTGTGTTTGGTTTATAGCTTCGAGTTGGGCATTGAGCTCTGCGGAAGTGGATGTGGGGTCGGAGAGTGCTTTGGAGGTTGGGTCGAGGTGTATTGGGTATTGTGTAAAAGTCTCTGCGTCGGAAGCCATGGTGAGGTATAAACTGGCTCTCTCGGATCAAAGGCTGCGTATAGCCTTGACGAAGATGGGAAGCAGGGGGTGATGGAGCAGTCTTGATTCAGTGATCTGTGGTTGAATGAGGTCCTAACGGTGGAGTTTGTCAGTTATTTTTTGCCTGATTGCACGGGTATAGAATACAACTAACTCTGTGTACTAATAGAGTTAGGTATTTGAATCTGCTCTGTGAAGACAGGCTTGTTCAAATCGAGTTATATGGCGATGCTTGTAGCAAAGCTGCAAAAGTGCCGATGACCAACATGAGACCAACATGTTCTTATGCAATAATACGCTAGTCCAGAAACTGACTAGTCTACAATGGCCTTCGAGAAAGCGCTCGGACCACACTCTAACTCCACGAGGAAGACTAAAAAGGAAATTCACGAAACGTCATCAACTTGGGAGTGAAGAAGTTGAGATTTTCACGCGCACTCAACTACTTCGGATGCTTACTACGAACGTCTCTCATACACCTGACCCATATACTCTGAAATTTGGGTCCGTTATTCTAGACCGACTGGTTTGTTGGTCTTTGTTTAGCGCTGGTTTCATATTCGGTAGTTGTCCATTACTAACCCATTACCTATCCTGTTCGCAAAGCAATCACATGGGGTATCTCGAATAAAACTTTGGATACCATCAAACAGAACACTACGCGCGAAGGTATGTGCCGAAAAGAAACTGGCCTCGTTTACACACACGTCTCTTTGTCTACTATGTAGCACAAGCAGCTTCGGCTTTACTTTTTCTCAGGAGAGTCATAGAGGGAATCACGGTGACTCTTTTTACCCAGGGTAGCTTCTATCCATGGCATGTGTGTTATTTATGCCTATACATATACTTGCATCGGGATCCCCTATCAGATTCAAGTCCTAGGCCGGCTCGAATACCCGATTTTTTATTGGCAACTCATCCAACCGCTTATGGCGGAACGCACTCCATGAAGCATTACGATAGACATGCATCATACTGCACTATGAAACCTCTTTTGGCGGTTTCGTTTGTTACTTAGCCTTGGCCGAACAAGGGGCAACCTGCGCTAGCCATTCGTGCCACAGCAATGTCCGAATGCCAATATAACAACTATGGCTGTTTTGGGGGCGATGCTCCGACCACAACGATCTTCTATTATAATCATTGCATATACACTATCGTGTGGTGTATATATAGTACATAATTCACAAAAGGGACTTTCAATCTCCAGACGATCAACATCAGTTAATTGCCTCGATCCTCTGTGTAGACAACTGTACCACTGTTTTCCGTTTCCTATCCTCGTTCTAGCTCATAATGAGACTCTCCCCATATTTCACTGCATCCGCATTTCTTTTTAGATTCTTGACATTTACGCAAGGCCTGCCTACCAACAAATTTGCGACCGCTGGTCATTTTACCGTCGAGCAGAAAGGCGTAAATACCTATAAATCGAATTGGCCGCCGAGTGAGTTATGGAGGGGTCTTAGAAAACACCACAGACCTCTGCAACCGGCAGTCTCTCGTATGACTATGAATGGAGGTCATACTGTCAATGGGACTGTCAAAGCAACACCGGATGAGTATGATACTGAATTCGTTAACGAAATAACAGTCGGGAATGATACTCTCTTCGTTGATATTGACACTGGGTCTTCCGATTTGTGAGACTGACCTTTCTCCCAAAGATTTGCACCTGGCAACAAAACAGCTAATGTATTGGCCTTCAATAGCTGGATTTTCTCGTCACAACTTCCAGAAAAATCGCAGCAAAACCATCGTATCTATCATCCAGAAGTAACAGGAACAAAGATTCCAAAACATATTTGGGATATCACATACAATGATGGAACTGGGGCTGCGGGCAATGTATTCTTAGACAAAGTCAGTCTCTCCGGATTAGAGGTGCCTTCCCAGGCTGTGGAAGCAGCGACATGGGTTAGTTATGAATTTGCGGACCAAGAAGTGACGGATGGGATTATGGGTTTTGGCTTTGATAGTTTCAACACAGGTAAGCCACATACATATTCTCAACTTATTTGGGTTAAATAACCAATTACTAACATATATATCTATCTGTAGTAACGCCCAAAAAGCAAAAGACTTGGTTTAGCAATATTATGGAGCAACTTGAAAGACCTCTCTTCACCGCTTGCCTGAAGCATCGAGCTCCCGGGTTCTATGACTTCGGTTTCATAGATGAAAACAAGCATGTCGGGAAACTTAGCTATCTTCCTGTTGATACCTCAAGAGGGCGGTGGGAAACGACTTTTAGTGGGTTTTCTACTGGAAAAGTTGACAACTCTACATACCGTTTTAAGGCGGTAGTCGGTATGTTGCAATAAACACCTTTATTGATACCGCAAGGCAGATCAATTAAATTATGATATTTAGATACTGGAACTACATTCATGCTTCTCCCCAAGCAAATTACCGAGCAGTATTACTCCTCCATCGCTAATTCGGCATATGATCGAGAAAATGGAGGCTGGACATTCCCCTGCAATGCAACATTACCAGACTTTGCAATTCACATCAATGACTACAAAGCCATAGTACCCGGTAAGCATATCAACTGGGCGCAGATACCTGGAGCTGACATTTGCTTTGGTGGTCTTCAACCAGTTAGCAACCCGCCCGCTATACTTGGGGGATCATTTCTAAAGAGCCAGTTTGTTATCTTTGATTACACTGGGCCCAGAATGGGGTTTGCGGCTCAAAGGAAATAAAAACATATGGGGTGACTTTAACGAAGGGAAGTGGGCTATTCTAAATGTGTGCCAAACAACTATGTCTGTATTGTCAATGGATTCATTTGCAGTATCTGGAATCCATGGTGGAAGGCCATCTGATGGTTTGCCTGAAGGTTGAGGGACATGCCGCCTAGCTGAATTTGATCATCTGAGCCAAAGAAGGCGGCTAGTCAATCTGGCTACGTGGAAAAGAGTGATATGCTGAAAGTTTTGGAACCTGCACTTGGTAACATAAATAGCATGCCCGGCAAACCCAGCCCACTTCTAGACAATACTCCCATCCTTAGAGAGAGGAGAAGACACTTCCCGGCCAATTAATTTACAGCTTACAGGCATTTTGCTAGACTTGTTCAATTTGTTGGTATTAGATGTTTGTTGGAGACGACGTTCTGGTTTCCTCTTCGGGCACCACCACACAAGCATCAGCATCCATCAGTCTGAATATCAAAAGTACGACTTGATATTCATTTACTAGAGAGAGGGATCGATTCTACAATATCTAACAGGATAAGTGGTAAGGACCAAATAAAAATAACATTCCCTCTCCGTCAAGTAACAACAAGAACAAACCTCGATCCGTGGCAGCTCATCCAGAGCCGATGAATATAACCCGGTTTACCAAACATTTACGAGCCAATGCACACAACCCGTCTGCCAACCATATCCCACCTCGGCAACAGTATAAAAGAGAAGACGAAAAGAAGATAGTGTAAGGGATAGATAGAGAGAGAGAAAGGACACCGTGTGAATGAAAAGTAAGCCCATTTTTTCAAAACGCCAGGACACTCTTGTACAACAAAGTGGTTCGAGCTCAACACAAACACCACAAGCTGAAAATGCAAGGAGCAAAACACCGAGAAGAAAAAGAATATTCGTGTCGTAGAACACACAAAGCGCCATCCTCCAAGTTTTCTAGGGAAATGTTATAGATAGTTAAAAGGATGAAGTTGTTTTTGTCGTTTGTGCGGCTATCCTTCATATTATGGGTTTGAGTCTGCCTTTTATCTCTAAGACCGTGGATGGAAGTTTGCATATGCACCTGTTCCCGGGGTTATGCTACCTGTCTGACGGCCGGGTGTTTGATGGCTGTTCAATGCTGCGTGGCCTGTGTTTGGGGTACTAGGCGTTCCTGCGGCGGAATACATAACTGTTCCGTTAGGACCTGGGGTTTGGTGTGGCTGGTTATTAGGATAGAAAGGGACAGCAGCTATTTGGCCATTAAGTCCCCAGATCTGGCCGGAATATTTAGATCCATCGATGTTTCCGTTAAACACGAGCTGTCTGATTTTCCAGAATATCTCACCAGTGACAAGAGAGTCCGAACCAGCTTGGTGGGCAATGCCTACCCGTTTAACTCCTAGCTCGTCCGCAATATCCTGAAGACCGGACTTTTGGCCGAGGTTTGCAATAATCTGAGCTGCAGCATGGGTTAGTGGGGATCCATTGGCAGTTTGATTCCGGCCGGCATGTTTCATAAGGTATTTTATATCAAAGAGCGAAGGGAAGAATATGTTGAGGAGTTTGTGGAAGTCCTTCTCGTCGTCCGGTAGGGGTTTGCACAGCATGATCTTCATCAAATAGCCAAAGTCATATCCGGAGTGGAAGGAGATCCAGTGAACATCATCGAGCAAAACGAGTCCAGAGCTCATAAGCAAGGCTCCAAAATCTAGTGGGTCAATTCCGTTCTTTTCATGAAGGGAAAAGTCGATACCAGCCTTGGCTAGCATACTGGTAGACTCCTGGGCGTACATGTCATTTTCGAGAGAGAACTTGAAGTTGAACTGCCAGGTACATGGCGCGGGTACCAGGACTCCGTTATACCCTTCTGAGTTCGCATGTGTAGCCGTAACTGGAGGAACCTCCCCGTCCTCGGAGAAAAGGGTAATTCCAAGCTGTATCATCTTCAACAGGTCAACATTGCACCGTAGGGTCTGGTAGTGGTAGTCTGCTTTTGTGGTAAAAGTGCCCATCGGCCGGGCGACTATGCCTGGAAACTCCGTGTCCTAGACGTTGATTAGCCATCACCGACTAACATTAATTTGGTCACTTCAGGGGAGGAGGGCTACCATGCTGATGTATGGGTATTTCTCTACTAATGACCTTAGCATGGCCATCTCCTGCGCAAGATTGTGCTTCCAGACATCACGTATCCTTGACTTCACTGCGTTATTCTTGCTATCCATGGTCAAACGGCCGTCATGACCCAGGTGGACCTGCTGCACCTGGTGTTGTTGTAGTTGCTGCTGCGCTTGTTGTTGTTGCTGTTGCTGCTGCATCTGAGCACCCCTTACAAACCCCATCTGTGCGGCATGGCTGGCAAGTCCGGTTCCACTCCCGTCGCCCAGCACCCCCCCGCCAGCCCCGGTAGGGAAACCGGCAACTCCAATACCATTGGCACCGGGTATACTGAAGGGATTGATGCTTGACTGGGGGTTACTGGGGCCGAAACCCGGGTGTCCACCTAGCGAGGGAGGGGGTAGGCCGGCGTTGGACTGCGGATGCCCGGTATGATGTTGGGTCTGCTGCTGCTGCTGCTGTAGATGTGCTTGCTGTAGATGAGGAAAGGGAGCCGTCATGCCCGAGGGGCCATAACGGTTGACCGGCGGCGGCATCGATGCTACGAGGCGCGAGATGTATCACGGCGTGAGGGGGGAGAGGAGGTCGAAAGGAGCATCAGGATGTGAGCGAGCGGTTGGCCGAGCACCAGACACCTCAACTGCGCTGTCTCCTCGCAGTATCGTCACTCCGGCGGTCTCTCCTGGCGTATCTCTTCCGTCTACCGTCTTCTGTTTCCCGTGTCTTCTGTTATATTTGTTGGCAGTCCGTCGTCTTCTTTTGCTCGTCGTTGTCTCTTCGTCTTTCTTCGTCTTCAGCTTCGACTTTCAACTTGTCCCTTTGCCAAGCCTCGTTGCCACATCGGGTTAGAAGCTTCAGCGACCAACATCGAACTTCAACCAGAAATTCGAGAGCCGAACTTGACGTCTGCAACCAGATTGAACAGCGAGAGACACGCCGGCAACGAGCTCAATTGACCTGCTACTGCGCCCGTAGCACGATAGCGGCCTTTCTGTGGACTGCGGACTGCGAAATCCCGGCTAACCAGACGACTGTCGACCCCTTGCTGCGTTTGTTGCTGGACCCCTCCGCCTACGACAAGTCAAGATGGCGCCTCCAAACCCAACCGGCTTCGACATGAAGACCTTCAAGGCTGCGGCCTCACCTACATCAGAATGGGCGCTAAGAGATCCATGGAAGCGAAAGTACGTTTGGGCGTTTACTGCTTTTTTCCGTTGACGTTCGAAGGTTCAATGGATGGCTAACAATGAAATGGTACATATAGTGAGGCATGGCGATACACAGGCCCATTCTCCCGATGGAACAGATTTAAGACCGGATTTCCAGGCCTCGGAATTGCGACTGTTGCTTTTGCCATATACTGCGGCTACGAGTACGCTTTCTTGAATGACAACCACCATGGCCACAAGGAGGAGGGTCACCACTGAAGCCTGTCGACTGGAGGAAGCAACGTGCAAAGATATAAATGCAATACAAAGGTCGATTAGACATGCTGAGACCAGACAGACCTTATAGAGCTACCCGCGGGGACCCCTTTTTTTTCTACCTTGGAACGGAGGCTGAGTTTCGGACTCCAAGAGTCGTTGTACATATTCTACTGAAAGGCGCAAATGGGAACAACAACTTTGTACTATTGAGTCTTTGGTTTTTTATGGCCTGATTTATGTCAGGCCAACCTACTTTTCATGTTCACGTCAGGTCTATGCTGGCCCATTATGCTAAAATAAAAGAAAAAATAGCCCATTCCACCCAGAACTGCCAAAATCCCCCCATTTTCATGAATGCAACCCCTACTCTTCAAATACAAGAGCTATACCATCATCACCGGCGGTGACTATCCGTCCGCCTTCCTTATCACCCTGTATGAAGCCCAATATGCCACCAGACTGCTCTCCCTCTTCGTTTTCCGACACACCAACATGGCCTCTCCATTCTTTCAACAGTCCATGGCCTGCAGCCACAGTCCCACCTCGGGTATCCCATCGTCTTACCACGCCATCCATACCGACTGAGGTGAGCAACCATGGCCTGCCTGATGATGTACCGGCAGAGGCGGTGTTGGTCTCACAGTGAACAAACTCAACCTTCACCACGGCTGTTTCCTCATGAGCTCCACGGATATGCCGTCTAACAGCAAATCTATGCGCAACATCAAACAGGGCAATGGAACCATCGACTGATCCTGCTGCAAGGAGGTTCAGCGGAGGAGAGGAGAAAGACAGAGACTCAATGCCATCTGACTGAGCTTGGAGAGATGCAAGAAGCGTGCCAGCTCCAGCGCCACCAGATGCGCCAGCACCCCCCTTACCCTTAGCCTTGGACTTTGCAGAGGTATCAGTCAAACGAGGAAGTCCGACAACTTTGATATGGCCTTCTGCACCGCCGACGACAGCGAATGACCCCGAAGGCGAGATAGCAACGGAATATAATCCCCCTTCCACAGCGAACCTTTGGTCCTGCACCGTCAGCGCAACGACGGACTGCGTGCCAGCAGAAGCAGTAACTCCAGCAGCCGCCGCAGCCCCAAAGACGTCATAAACGTAAAAGCTACCTTCCTCAGACACCGTAGCCAACAATTGTCCGTCCGGAGTCCATGCGCCAGCCGTACAAGGCGCCGTATGCTGGAAATAAGTAGCCACTATCGTCAACGGCTCCGCAGCCTCCTCGCTCGCATCCACACGGTAAACCCAGACACTGCCATCACTGGCACCGATCGCAACCACGTTCTTCGTCTGCTCGTTATCACCAGACTTATTTGACGGACAAGTAGCGATCCAGTTAATCTCCTCGACTTCCTGCGACTCAGCCAGGAACTGCCATGCCCTGCCCGCCAGGTTCTCACTCGTATCTTTCCAGGCACGTAACTTCCCATCCAGGCCCGCGGTGACCGCGTATTCACCATTCGGTGCAGTGAAGCATACCGCGTTCACCGAGTCCTTGTGTCCATCTAGATGCGCAATGGCGGGGAGTGATTCTCTCTCTTTCTTCTGCTGTGGCGTGGTCTCGTAGCTCTTAGGCAGTAGCGGTTTCTCAGCAGCAGTCTGGCTGGAGTCAAATATGTATGCGGTATCATCTCCGGAACCAGTAACTATGATTTCAGGGTGGATTGGGTGCTGCGCTATGCAGAATATCGAGTCTGTATGCTTGTCGAAGTGTGCGGAGGAGTCGTTCTCAAGCAGTAGCTCCTCGTCTTCATCTTCCATCGGGTGGTCATCGTCGACCTGGACTATTTCTTCTGCATCTGCCTCGTCTATGAACTCCTCTTCCATGTGCTCGCCACGATCTTCATCCATCGGATCTTGTTGCTGTTGATGCTCCGGCATCTTGTCGTTGATGTTTTTTGCGACAGAAAATATGGTTGGAGGGGCGAGGCGAGGGGCAGCTGGAAGTAAGCTCGGTATTTATCAACAGGATGTATCACGCCAACTCTAGATATTTAGGATACCTAGAGACAGACACAGTTTATCAGAGATGGTATTGAATATTTATAGCATTATTGCGATAAAATGGGCGGAAGAAACTGGAAGAAGGTTTGCATTTCCAATGTCGTTGATTATAAATATAGGAAAGTTGATGAGCAACGCTGACAAAATATCTAGTTTAACTACTATCTATGAGATCAAACAGATGAAATCTACAGCTTCGCCTTCGCCTTCTGTCGAGCTTCCTTCTCGCGGTCTCTAAGCAGACGACGGAGGATCTTACCGCTGGGGCTCTTGGGGATGATATCTATGAACTCGACGCCGCCCTTCAGCCACTTGTGCCGGGCCTTGTGCTCTTCCACAAACAGCTGGATCGACTTGATGACGGCAGCGTCGTCTTTGCCGGTAGCCGACGCCCCCTTGACTACAAAGGCCTTGGGCAGTTCTCCGGCTCTCTCGTCTGGTACGGGGATGACGGCACAGTCGGCGACGTCAGGATGAGATAGGACGTGTGCTTCAAGCTCAGCCGGTGCAACCTGCATTCCCTTGACCTTGATCAGCTCCTTTATCCGGTCCACGATGAAGAGATGCTCGTTTCCCTTGGGGGAAACACGGAAGACAACTTCGTCTCCTGTACGCATCCAGCCGTCCTGGAAGGTCTCTGCGGTGGCCTTTTGGTTGTTCAGATAGCCCAGGACGACGGAAGGGGATCGTACAACCAATTCCCCTGGCTGGTCGTAGCCGGTCAATTCGACGCCTTCGGGAGAGACGACTCTTGCTTCATAGCCAGGGAGGAGACAGCCGGATGAGCCCAGCCAGGTGTCGGATAAGCTTGTGGATGATACCACAGTACATGTTTCAGTGAGGCCTGCCACGCAGCGTTAGTCCGCCTATCCTCTATTAACTGATGTATATGTTTCCGGGGCCATTCAAGACGTACCGTATCCCTGCTTTATAGCCCAGGATGGTTTCCAGGCCTGTAGCTCTTCAGCCGTCTCCTTACCCAGCGGCGCAGCTCCTGTGAAGATGGAAGATACGCTGGAGAGGTCTACTTTATCACAGATTGCCTTGTTACGCAGCATTGCAATAATGATCGGAGGCACGAGGAAGAGTGTGTTGATTTTATATTTCACAATGGCTCCCAGGTACTGAGCCATGTCGAATTTGGGCAGGATTACCAGAGAGTCTCCTCGATAGGAGCCGGCATGGCAGAGGACAACCAGTGAGTAGATGTGACTCTGAGGCAACAAACCGAGGCTGACTGTCGTAGCCGATCCTCCGCGTTTGACACGGTTATCCCGTTCCGGCTGCTCTTTGGTCTTGATCTGCATGGTGTTTGCCATAACATTCCTATGCGAGATCATGACGCCTTTCTATGCATGGGTGAGTTAGTTAACTTTCCTTCTTAAGGCCGATCCCAGGAGACATAAATACCGGTAGACCAGAGGTGCCGCTAGAATAGCATAGGAAGGCCGTCTGCTTAGCAGCTTGGCCAGGTGCCCATTTGGCCTTCTCAAGTGGCGGAAGCGAGTATCCGGCGGTAATGAACTGTTCCAGCGTCTTGAAGCCCGCTGGTGTCTTTGCCGAGCCAGTAAATTCGGCAGGGAGATCGATGATGTACACCCGGCTCTTGGGTATCCCAGCCTTTTCAGCAGCTTCCAACGCACTAGGTAAGGAGGGAACACAAGTGAATAAGGCCTTGCAGCGAGAGTCTACAAGCTGATGGGCGAGTTCTGGCGCAGAGTACGCTGCGTTGGCCGCACTCACAATGCCAGACAGCCTGTGTACAGCCCAGCATAGCACCAAGTAGTCAATCTACCCTCAGGTTAGCGAGGCATCTTTGAGCATGCTTCAAACATGCATTAATAGCGGGAACAAGAGGCATCCTACCGAGTTGAAACTGTAGATGCCCAGGACCTTTTCCCACTCGGTTCCCTGGCTCGGATGCCAGCCAAACTCCCTTGCCAGAGCGCGAGAGAGGGCATCAACTCGCTCAGCTACCTGAGATATCGAGTACGTCCTGCCCGTGATGCCACAGACAAACGGATCCCTCGACGAAGCGAACGGCACGCGACCGTTCTTCTCATCCAGCATGAAATCGCATATTGGTATATCATCGGGGACCTGCGGCAGCTTCCCGGAACTCGCAGGCGGATAGAACACCATCTTGCAGGCACGCTCGGTTAACTAGTAAAAGAAAAGAAACAGCGAGAACTCCGTATACTGCAGGAGTCAACACTTCACCAGCTGTATCCCTAGGTAGCTATCATCCCTGGCTGTTTAAATACCTAGTTACCCCCATCGCGGCATCCCCGGCCTCCACCCTGTAACTTTTACCCCAGGCTTTCCCCAGATGCCTGGCCCGACCAACCGGCGCCCGAGCCGAGCCTTAACCGAGGCTGCGATGTGTAGCTAACTGGCTAGCCGACTTGTGACTACGGCAAACTACAGTATAAACACTTCACTTTGTTAATGTCCGTAGAGCTGTGTAATAATTATCTATCTCTCTGCCCAAAATTGTAGCTTCATTATCAATCATTAATGGTTTTTTCATGCCCGTATGTTAAATTTAACCCAACCTCCTACCATTCCTAAACTCGCCTCACATGTCTCCGGAACACGTCACATTCTCTGTCCGCCAGCATTCTCAATAGC